GTTTCTGCAATATTTCGACCTTCGGATGGCTTTTTTAATTCACAAGAATCACCAAAAATTCGGAGCCCACAGTCCGAGAAGATGATGGAAAATGGCCAGTCTTTAGATTCAGCAGATAAGGAGCCATCAATAAAGAGGCAGGATAGTTTTGAAATGAGACTACCAGAGTTACCCAAGATTGATGTTCAATGTGTGCATCGACAAACATCGAATGGTTCTGATCCAGAATCCCCTGTTTCACCTCTTTTGACATCTGATCCTAAAAATGAACGCTCCCATTCACAGACTTTTAGCAGACCTGATAGTCATTCTGATGATCTTTCGGTGAAAATGAGTGAAACAAAGGATACCAGGCATCGAAAACAACCCTCAATATGGAGGCTAGCAGAACTTAGCTTTGCTGAGTGGCTTTATGCCGTGTTAGGAAGTACAGGTGCTGCTATATTTGGTTCTTTCAATCCCCTTCTTGCTTATGTTATTGGTCTGGTGGTGACAGATTACTATAAAATTGATAAATCTCATCACTTACGAAGGGAGATAGACAAATGGTGTCTGATCATTGCCTGCATGGGTATCGTGACAGTTGTTGCCAACTTTTTACAGCATTTCTACTTTGGTATTATGGGAGAGAAAATGACAGAAAGGGTTAGGAGAATGATGTTCTCAGGTGCGTAGATTTGAAGTTTTATTATTTAAGAGAGAAACAATTTGGGCTTCTGCACTGTACTTAACCTGTTTGCATAACATTGCAGCCATGCTACGCAATGAAACTGGATGGTTTGATGAAGAGGAAAATAGTGCTGACAATCTATCCATGCGCTTGGCCAATGATGCTACATTTGTGCGAGCGGCTTTCAGTAACCGTCTTTCCATATTTATACAGGACAGTGCTGCAGTTATTGTTGCTTTTCTCATTGGTGTCTTACTGCACTGGAGATTAGCCCTAGTGGCTTTAGCAACACTTCCAGTTCTTTGTGTTTCTGCCGTTGCCCAGGTTTGCACCTGCTTTTCTGATTTTGCCTTGTAATTTTGTTGGATTGAGGTTGTATTTATTTTTCATGTCAATACAGTCCCAAAAAATTTATACCTCTTGCAAAATTCATTGCTTTTGAAATTCATATTTTCTACATCTTCTCATACTGTTTTAAAGCTGGACTCGACTGGCCGATTCAAAGTCTAATTGGAATCGGCGGTCCGATACTTCCAATTAATTGGATTTAATTAAATCGGAAAACCGGTTTTGGTATAAAAAAAAATTAAAGATCAATTTTTTTTAATATAAATTTTTTATAAAAGATGTAATATATTTTTTTTTCTTTTTTATCTCATTAATTATGTTAACTTTAAATAATAGATATTTTATTGTGTTTTTATCTTATTTTAATTATCCATCTTACACTTTTTAATATATTTTATAATTATAACTTTCATTATAACATATGGTAACCATGATAGTAATCTTTATTTTTATTTTTTTTGTAAAAAAATGTTATATTAATGAACTTATTATATTGTAAAAATATTATTTTATTAAATCTGATTGAATCTCGGTTAAACCTTTAAAAACATTGTTCTTGTATCAACGACAGCCATGTCTTTTCCCACAAGGTGGATGGTGTATATTTCTCTGTGAAATTAAAAAGAATGGTCCATGCATCTCATCAAGTAATGAAAACTAAAGCAATTTAATTGTGATTGTTTTAACAAATTTTACATTGACATTATCTGTGGTGCATTGTGATAATTTCAATTATAATTTTTAATATATCTGTCTGTGCTTTAGTTATCACTGGTCTGTAATTATTGTAATTTGGCAGTGTCTTTACTATTTTTATTCTTAAGACGGATTTCATATTTTTCCTTTGGAAATCAAAGTTTTGTTACATTCTATTACCTTGCAGGATCAAGGATACCATTATTGCATGCTACTTATACCTCTATATGGGGATTTCATGTTCATTTATGGAAATTTTTAGTTATGTCAATTTGTGTTCAATTTCAATTACTAAATCTAATGAACCTGGTTTTGCTAACTTTTGTGAATGACTGATAATACTGGCCATGCATAATGATGTTTTTATTAATTTGCTTGTGTTTTGCATAATGCATGTGTTAAATCAGTTTCCTTGATCTTGCAGAAAATGTGGCTGGCTGGATTTTCAAAAGGCATACAAGAAATGCACAGAAAGGCATCTTTGGTTCTTGAAGATGCAGTTAGGAATATTTACACTGTTGTTTCATTTTGTGCTGGTAATAAGGTGATGGAACTCTACCAGTTACAGTTAAATAAAATATTTAAGCAAAGCTTTCTTCATGGAGTGGCCATTGGTTTTGCATTTGGCTTTTCACAGTTTCTGCTCTTTGCTTGTAATGCCCTTCTACTTTGGTACACTGCAATATGTGTAAATAAGGGATATGTGGATCCACCTACTGCTCTCAAGGAATACATGGTTTTCTCATTTGCCACATTTGCCCTTGTGGAGCCTTTTGGGTTGGCTCCTTACATACTTAAGCGACGGAAATCTCTCATGTCAGTCTTTGAAATTATAGATCGTGTACCTAAGATTGATCCTGATGATACCAAATCAATGAAGCCACCCAATGTATATGGGAGCATTGAGTTGAAAAATGTTGATTTTTGTTATCCTTCTAGACCAGAAGTGTTGGTACTAAGCAATTTTAGTCTGAAAGTCAATGGAGGACAAACAATTGCTGTAGTGGGAGTTTCGGGGTCAGGGAAAAGCACAATAATATCTTTGATAGAGAGATTCTACGATCCGGTTTCTGGCCAAGTTTTGCTAGATGGGAGGGATTTAAAACAATATAATCTGAGATGGTTGAGGAGCCACCTAGGACTGGTTCAGCAGGAACCAATTATCTTCTCAACAACCATAAGGGAAAACATCATATATGCCAGACATAATGCCAGTGAAGCTGAAATTAAGGAGGCAGCAAGAATAGCAAATGCTCATCACTTCATTAGTAGCTTGCCTCATGGTTATGACACTCATGTTGGGATGAGAGGTGTTGACTTAACTCCAGGACAAAAACAGAGAATTGCAATTGCAAGGGTAATTCTTAAAAATGCTCCTATTTTGTTGTTGGATGAAGCTAGTTCATCGATTGAATCTGAGTCAAGCCGAGTGGTGCAAGAGGCACTAGACACCCTAATAATGGGAAACAAGACTACTATTTTAATAGCACACAGAGTTGCAATGATGAGGCACGTGGACAACATAGTAGTTCTAAATGGAGGAAGGATAGTGGAGGAGGGGACCCATGATTCATTGGTGGCAAAAAATGGTCTGTATGTACGATTGATGCAACCTCATTTTGGCAAGGCTCTGCGTCAGCATCGGCTTGTTTAGAATGAGAGTATGCGATGTGAGTAGTTGCAACTAATATTGGTTCATGAGAATTGTTTCATAAACTACTTGAGTTGAATGACTGGTGATTGCAGCACCTGATGGAATTTTCCATGTCAGGTGTAGGCTCGCATGTAGTAGCAAGAATGGGAGTATTGCATCAGCACTCAGGCATTGGTAGACATAGGAAGAGGGTGCTGTGGCAGGGATAGTGTAAAATTTGAAGGTAGGGATTTGGAATTTGGTTGGTTTGAGTATTGAAGCTGTGGATGCGTATTCTTTTGGAGGCAAGAAGTGTAGGCTGACCCACGGCATATTTTTGTTCTACAATTAGATGAAGGCGGCGGAATCAACACTAATTCAGCTGAGTTACTCTTCTATTCTATTGGACTTCCTTTTCACTCTTCCACTCTCTCAAGCGTGAATCATATGTGAAAATTGTAGAATATACATTCTCAAGTGTTGTAAACCCTCTGTATATACATGGCCATAGTTTAGAAGCAGTCCCTTAAGTGCTTGAATGAGTGCTTGAGTTTTTTGTTTTCCTTAGATAATAGATGCAAATTTCCACGTGTATTTTGTCTACTAGTTTCAAATATTCTTATAGTTTGAACTATTCTACTTATAAACGTATAAACCGACAATTGAGTGTGGAGAATGACACTAAATTATTCCATCTGAATGTGAGATTTACATAGCTTTGAATGACCTTTTCACGTCCAATCTTCGGTTTCACATTTCGTACGAACTCTGGTGACTCTTTGATCGTTGTTTTTAATGTTTCTTTCCCCCGGCAACGTGATGTCAATCAATTGTTAGATATAATTTGATTTCTTGTAATGTAATTAATTTACTAGTTTCCTTGACAATTTTTTTTTACGTTATTATTTTTCATCCCGTCCCTCTGGGAAAGAATCCAAAGACTACAGATGGGACAGTCCCCACATAGATCGCCGGTAACAAGAAAAATGTCATTCTGAATGTGCTCGATAAGAAAAATGCAGAACAAACCAGAAAACAGAATACAATAATGTTTCAAATAATTGGCATAAAAGAAAAAAAAAAATCCTCGGAGGCAGAAATTACAAACAAAGCATAATTATAACAATGAAATAAGCAAAAAAGATGAAAAATATATTTAGAAGGTTTTAGAAAAGCCTACATTGATTGAAGCGCTCCCTTTGTCGATGAAGAAAATGTCTCCCCTGTACTTTAAAGTATGATACATTCTTCTTCCATCAATCCGCTGGCTCAATCCTTAAATTAATGATCATGGATCTTACGCAATATTTATTTATATTAGAGTAGTAGAACTCTAAGAAGAGAAGATAAATATTTCTCCTTATTTGAACCTGTCAAGTCGAATTCCTAAAAAATTAGGTAATGTAGTTCTTATCTTAGAAAAACTTATTCGATAACAAATTTGGGTTAGTTTGTACCACCACACATGACAAAATCAGGGACACCATTAGCATATCATTGATATGAATAATGCTATAGAGAACACTATTAGTATTGGAGTGGTAGAAAACCTCATTTACTTGTAAAAGTTTATATTTACTGATATACAAATATTTCAAATCAACCTTGATATGTAGGCATATTTAAACACATCTTGCATTGTCCTGTGACATTTCAGATGTCAAGAAGCCTAAAGGAATCTGCTACCACTTTAAGCTGATCTCGTACTCTTTTCCATCGCCTTTCATTGGCTCCCACAATTAACGTGTAGTACCTTCCTGCAAAAAGTTCACGTTGTTTGTTAGGTATATAACCTTTATAAAGGTGACAAATTGTGAAGATGCCATGGAAGGTTACTTACCATTTCCTATAGCAATTGTTGTAAAGGAGCCACTAGAGTAGTTTGGTGATGTAAGTATGTATTCAAAGGTATAGTAATGTTTTCCATCTATGGTTCGCTGCATTCAGAAGTCAAAAATAGTTGTTGACCATCTAAATCTAAGACATATTTAATAGAAAAAAAAAGGTGTGAAGAAATAACGTGAGAAGAAACCTCCTGCATGTCATATATTGTTGATCTTTGGTTTGGTGTAGCATATCTATGGTTCACCAAATAGTATACAACCTGGTTAAGATACAAATTGGTTAAGCATAAATTAGACTAGAGAGTACAGAACAAAACATTAGAACACAATTTTGCGGCATCACCTCTTCCAAAGGACCTAAATCTCGGATGTCTTTCTTCTCAGTTGGTATAAATCTCACCCTTACATTCTGTAACTGTAGGTATCTGTCTTTGAATGCAGAATCATGAGCCATGAAGTCAAATTCCTAGGGAGAGGAGATGCATTCAAACTTGTAGAAAATTATATGGTTTTGTAACTAGAGTTTCTGAAAAGATTAACTTGATTCTTATTTCCTACCTTCCAATCTCTAGGATATACGTAAGAATACCCATCTTCATAGTCCACAAAAGCTTGGTATCTGTCTAGTTTTTCTACATGACGAACAGTAATGAAATTTTAAAATTTCAGAAGATTATGTTATGACAAGTTTCTCAGTTTAACATATGAACAAAGATCCTTTTACTGAAGTGAAAGTGAATGACACAAAATATGATCACATCAGCGGGCATGAATACCTTGAGCAAAGACCGAATTTGTCAGTTGTAAATTTGCAGTCAAAGCTCCAATTCCCATCAATAGGGGTCTTCTCTGGCAGTGGCCTGAAAATCATAACAGACAAGTAATTTCAAAATCTAGTAATTTTCTGAAAGCAAGCTGTTTCAGGTCTCCTATATATAAAGCAAGACTTAATGAAGAATTGAAGATAGATACTTCTGAGTTATGATTTTTTACTAGCACAGACATGGAAATACTCTTTGATTCGGAAGTCCCTGAAAGTTGATTATCATTAATTTTGGTGTGGTTCAAATTGACATTAATCTGAAGCAGTTTTGCACTAGGAAAGTCATTTTAAGTTCTTACTTTCTCCACTGTAGGTTGTCTCCAATGCACAGAAGACAGTGTTGTTGGGAGATGAAGTTGCAGTATTGCGAGGCAAATAGTTTGAATGTGGCAAGTTTAGCTGAAATAGTGGAAAGTAGAGTGCATGTGCATGAGCTGTGCATAGAAAACATTTCATTGTCTTAATGAAGTAGAGAGAAATTGTGACAGACCTTTGGGGACAAGCTGGGTGAAATCCAAGTGATAGAGCAAGAAGAAAGTACCATTCTTGACACTGGTTTAGAGCTTCACTTTTGAGATAGTGTAAATTGTATCATAGAATTTACGCCTTTTGATGTGGCTAGGAGTTTGTGGCCATATATGACAATGAAACATGCTTTTTCTTCTCTCTTTTTCCTCAACATTTGTCATTGGATCATGCCAGTTATTATGTTATGCTAGTTGAGGTGGATTGGGCTGGCCCAGAAATGCTTATGACCATGAACCAGCTACTTTTTACACCTACCTTTTTTGTCTTTTGCCCTGCCTTTCACTGTTTTTTAAACTTTTTAACAAAACTACCTTTTTATTATGTATATACGACGTTGATCCTTCATTTTAAATATGATATTTTTATGGGTGAGGTTATTCAAAATAACCCTAATAAAACGAAACAAAGAAGAAAGACCATATTGATTTGGATAAGTTACATTAGTCATTTAACAATATTATTAAGGTTTAATCCAGTAACTGGGTCCACGAAAATAATTTTATATTATCAACTAAAAAATTATTGTTTGTGAAGTCACCTAATGTATTTAATATATAATAATTTATAGTTACACAACGATGTAAACTTATTTTACCCTATAGGAAAACAAAATTATGTAGTGAAGGATGATTTTGCTTGATTTTGTAATTGGATGGGGGTGTAAAAATTTATTAGAATATTATAAATTATTGATGCACTTAGATTTACTAAGATGAGGATAAACTGTACTAATTAATTCAACCTTAGGGAATAACACGTAGCATGACATGAGTGGCTATCTCAATCTTTTGATCTACCATGCATGCAGTTACATCTACATGAAATCACAGCCACAAAAGTGTGGAAACTAGAACCAATTATAGGCATGAAGTGGCAAACAAGTGATTTTGGTACTGCAAGTATAATTGGACCGTTTCCTTAGCCTTTGATTTTGTTATTTGAAGAGCAAATCACAACACAATTTCATGCACACTCTTAACCAAACTGTCTTCTGTTTCTGTAGCTTCTGATTCCTTAACAAATGGCAGTCTATAGAATTGCAATTGGGTCCCCCAGAGAGGCCAGCAACCCTGCTGCCATCAGAGCAGCATTTGCTGAGTTCTTCTCCACGCTCATTTTTGTTTTTGCAGGGCAAGGCTCTGGCATGGCCTATAGTGAGTACCCTCCATCATTCCATTTACTCATCTTCTTTAAGTGTTTTAGAATTTGGAGACTTGGTTTTGTCCCAATAGAAGTTGAAAATGCAATCAGCACAGTTAACAGTATAACTTAACCCTTTTTCAACCTGAGGCTGTGTGTTTTGCCCTCCTTTTTAAGATCTATTATTGTTATGAACATGCAGCAATATCTTGTTTTCACTTTTATAATAATCATCTTAACCAACAATAATTTGTGTCTGAGACGTAGCATTGTGAGCATTTTAGGATTCTATGGCATGTTTGTGACAAGCTGTGGTGGCAGGCAAACTTACAGGTAATGGACCTGCAACACCTGAGGGTCTCTTAATTGCATCAGTGTCTCATGCATTTGGGCTTTTTGTGGCGGTTTCTGTGGGGGCAAATATTTCTGGTGGTCATGTGAACCCTGCAGTCACATTTGGTGCTTTCATACGAGGAAACATAACCCTCTTGAGAAGTATTTTGTATTGGATTGCACAGTTACTTGGTTCAGTTGTTGCTTGCATTCTTCTCAACTTTGCTTCTGGTGGAATGGTATGCTGGTCAACCTTCCCTGCATTCACTCTTGAGCTTTGAACATTATTGAAAGCAATGATGGATTGAAATTGAGTGTAATTTGGTTTGTGTTATGCAGGAAACAACAGGTTTTTCTCTCTCATCTGGTGTCTCAGTGTGGAATGCAGTGGTTTTTGAGACTGTGATGACTTTTGGTTTGGTGTACACAGTTTATGCCACAGCAGTGGATCCAAAGAAAGGGAATGTGGGTGTTATTGCCCCACTAGCAATTGGGCTTATTGTAGGTGCCAACATCTTGGTTGGTGGGCCTTTTGATGGAGCATCAATGAACCCAGCTGTCTCATTTGGGCCAGCTCTTGTTAGCTGGTCATGGACCCATCACTGGGTTTACTGGTTTGGCCCATTCTTTGGTTCAGCTGCTGCTGCCATCCTCTATGATAACATCTTTATTGGTGATGATGGTCATGAAACCCTTATAAGTAGTGATTTCTAGATTTTTTTTTTTTACCTTTATTTAAAGAAATTATATTCTTCTTTTTTTTCAATTTCTTTTTTTGCAAAGATTGCTTAGAATGTTTGTAGAGAAAAAATCATAAGACTAAAAAAATTACAAGTTCTACAAAAAATATTCATATGTGCCTTTTTAACTTGTAATTCCCCACTCCTAATTCTTATGTGGATGAAAACAAAATTCCCCTAAAAAAAGGACCAATTAGTTTATTCACAGAAACTTTAACCAAATTAGAATTTTTTTTATTACATTAATCAAACTAGAAAAGATGGAAAATAAATATTTGCATTTTGCTATTTAAATCTGCAATTACTTCTTATACACGTCTTGTAAGATTAAAATATTTTAGTTTTTTCAAAGTGATTAAATAATTTCGAACGCAATAATAAATATGATTACCCTTGCATTGCATGTCTCATGCCATGTGACATTATGACCACTTCATTTTCGTTGATCTTATTTGACATGCACATTAATACAATTTGCATGCAATAATAAGTAAATTGTAATGTAAAGTATATATATATATATATATATATATATATATATATATATATATATATAACTCTTTTTATTTTAATTAAAAAATATATCAATTCATAATTTCTATGGCTTTTTTATGTCTTTAATACCTCCTACATATGTGATTAAATACAGAAGAAAAGTGAGATAAATGATTAATGCAGAAATAAATTTTCTTTAGACAATAAATACTGCAATTATTATTATTTAATTGGTATCTATCAGTTGATTTTGCAATTGATTGATCAACAATTAAAAAAAATGTAAAAAATAAATGAACACTAGTTTAACATTCTTATTATAGATGACTAAAATTATAAATTAAAAAACTTAAGAAAAAGTAGTTTGTAATTTGTATGCAGTTATATATCTTAAAGATTATTAAATAATGGAGGAATTCATTAGCAGGTGAAAGCGTCATAGACACGGCATCAACTAATATATTTCTGTAAAATAAGAACTATAAAATTGATAACAAATTTAATCAAAACTAAAAATAATAAATATTATTATGAATTTGACAATTTTGTGAAGCAAACGAAAATCTCCAAAATTCAGAGGAAGTACACAATTTTGTGACGTCATTGAATAAATATTTTATTTTGACATAAACTCTGTATTATTTATAATGAAAGAATGGTTTTTTAAAACGAAAGAAAATTATTTATTTTGAATTAGTTTATGTTGATAAATTTTATATTTTCATCTTATCTGTAATTATTTTATAATAAAGATTAATATTGTATGTGCATTCATCATTATTAAAATGTTAATCCATCATTAATTTTCTGATCGATCAAGAAACTCATTTTCACTTGAGTTTAAAGTCAATTTTTTAGTTGTGTAATACTAGCATCCCTCTTTAAAAAAAAAAAAAACCATTGACTTAGAAAAATAAGATCAACATGGTGTATATGAGGTTGTGGAATACCCACATCGAACCATACTTTCATATGCATTAGACTGGAAGGTAGGATCTCTGCATAAATGTCCATATTTCATAGCAGGGACAGAACATGAGTTCTGAGCCATCTAAACTCATGGAAACCACCTACCCTTCTCTTTCAACCATCCATTCTCATCAACTGGTGAAACACTAGAGACTCATGGAGGATTTGTTTAGCAATTTGCCAGATGAAGTTCTAAGTAGCATAGTTTCTTTTCTGCCAAATGAATCAGCCCTAGAAACCAGTCTCATATGTACTAGGTGGAGAGACTTGTGGAACCAAGTCCTCGTTGAACATGGAACCACACAAGATGTAGCTGGCGTTGTTGCTGGATTTCTGGCTCGTTTTGAAGAGCTTGATCCACTAAAATATCCCCGCAAGCTTCAATTTCACATTGCTGAAGACACTGCACTCTTTGCATCCATTGCAACCAACAACAAGCTTCTTCTTGATTTCCCTGGTGGGAACAAACACCTTGAGAGGAATTATGAACTGCAGTTCGTGCTCAACAAGGATCACATCACACACCGCACTTTTCCCCCCATTTTCTTAGTCAAAACACTCTATTTGAAATCAGTGAGTCACTTGACTAGTTTGGTGGCTTCCTCTATCGTTTCAATTTTGGAGCATCTTGAGAAGTTGGTGATTGTTGAGTGCACCGGGTTGCAGTCTTTATGCATCGAGTCTGAATCAAAGCTTTACAAGTTAACCGTATTAGACTGTCCCCAGTTGAAGTTTCTTCATCTTAGAACTTCTAAGCTTAAAAATTTCAGATATGGTGGCCTTCTTCCAAGGATTTGGCCAGAATCTCATTTCAACCTGAGGCATGCCATACTTGATTTCAGACAAGGACCAAGCTGTGCTGACTTGAATTCTCAAGATTTCAATCAAACACTGTTAACAATAAAGAATTGTGAAATTCTAACTTTATGTGAGTGGACTTTTGAGGTATGCATATGTTCTTTCATTGACTTCCCATCTACTATTGCTCATTGAACACAAATATCAAGTGAATTAATAATTTGAGTCAAATTTACATGCACCGCAGGGTAAATTTTACGTATTGTTTATACTGTTGGATCAATAAAAATTCACAGTAATATATGAATATAACAGTTTATGATTGAATTGCAGTCTAAAGATTCTTTTCATCATGATCATGCACTGATTAATTACGAGTCGATGAATTTGGATATCACATTTTTAGCGTACACGACTTGAACTCGAAAAGAGTTTTTTGCTTGTAGGCATTGATATGGCCATCGATTTCCCCAAGTGGGAACTTCATATTCTATAAGATACGAGAGCTATGGTGGATTCACAATCACAAGGGTGAAAATAGCATCAATGCCTTAGTCTCCTTTTTGAAATTATGCCCTGCCTTGGAGCAACTATTTGTGACGGTACATGCCATTTTGGAATTAATCAATTCTCTTGTTCTGCTATAGTCTAAACTTCAGCTTCTGACTTTAGTTTTTCTTCATCACTGTTTGAGTGCAGAATGATTCTACAAGTTATTCAGCTCCACGGACCAAATCATGTTTAACCCGAGCAACTAAACGCGCAAAATTGGTTCATCTCAGAGGGATAAAGTTTTTGGGGTTTACAAATGTGAAGGAAGAAGTCCCACATCCGTGGGAACTTCAATTGGGGGCTCTCCTCCTTCTTATAAAAGGAGCCCCTCCCCCCTTATTTCATACATCCCAAAATATTTCTCCTTCTTTCTCTTTTACTTTCCTAGTATTGGTAATTTCCAATTGTAAAAGGAAAGAGTGGTCATTATAAAATTTTCATTTTTGTCTATTGTCAGGGTTATTTTTCTCGTCTCTATTTTAGTTGTGTGTATTTATGCTAGTACTCTGATCCTAACAGTGGTATCAGAGCTGTGTTCGAGTTCTGTTGCGCGTCACTAGAATAGTGTTGGTAAAATTCGAGTATGCTTCTGTGGTTGCAGTTTAATCTGATCTTCCACATCGAGAAAGGAGTTATTACTGGAAAAGGTGTGGTAGTGTGAAAGTACTATTGAGGAAAGTTCACGCTAGGAAAGACTTGAGTACTTAAGCGTGTCCATTAGTGACTCACCTCTCTTTCCTGGAACCTACTTGGTGTACTTGGTTCACGGTTTACTACTATTGTTCCGGTAGACAATACTATTTATAAGTGATAGTTGCATAAGTCTGTATACAACCATGGCAGCAAAGTACGAGATAGAGAAGTTCAACGGGAACAATTTCTCGTTGTGGAAATTGAAGATGAAGGCAATCTTGAGAAAGGACAATTGCGCAGAAGCAATTGAGGGAAAACCTGCAGAAATGACGGATAAAGATTGGAAGAAAATTGACGGCAACGCTATTGCAAATTTACACTTGGCAATGGCAGACTCAGTTCTATCCAGTGTTGCGGAGAAAGATTCTGCAAAGGAGATTTGGGATGCCCTCATTAAATTATATGAGGTGAAGTCACTTCACACAAGGATATTCCTGAAGAGGAAACTCTATACTCTTCGGATGAGTGAGTCCACATCGGTGACGGACCACATCAACCAACTGAACACCTTGTTTGCCCAATTAGCAGCAGCAAATTTCAACATAGTTGAGAATGAGCGTGCGGAGCTCTTACTTCAGAGCTTGCCAGACTCGTATGATCAACTCATCATCAACATTACAAATAATAATATTGAAGGACAACTACACTTTGACGATGTTGCCGGAGCTATTCTAGAAGAAGAATCCAAGCGAATGAATAAGGTAGAAAGTTCTAAACAAGCAGAAGTTTTGACGATGATGAGAGGAAGATCAGCGGAACGTGGCTCAAGTGGGAGTCAAGATCATGGCAGATCTAGCTCTCGAAACAAGAAGACTTTCAAATTTAAATGCTACTACTGTGGCAAGAAAGGGCACACGAAGAAAGAGTGTTGGAAGAGGAAGAATGAAGAATCAACCTCACAAGGTTGCATTGCGAGTACTTCGAGAGGAAGGAGTAATTCGGTAAGCGAAGCAGCAATCAGCTCTAATGGCGGAAACGAATTTCATGACAAGTGGATAATGGATTCAGGTGCAACTTGGCATATGACCCCACACCGAGATTGGTTTCAAACCTACAAGCCTATCTCAGGTGGATCCGTGTTCATGGGAAATGACCATGCATTGGAGATTGCTTGGAGTTGAGTACTGTCAAATTAAAAATGTATGACTGCATCTATTCGCACAATCCAAGAAGTACGACATGTGAAGGACTTGAAGAAAAATATATTGTCTATAGGGCAATTGGATGACCTCAGTCGCAAGATCCATGTTGAAGGAGGAATCTTAAAGGTAGTGAGGGGAAACATAGTTGTCATGAAAGCGAGAGAAAATCATGGCAAACTTGTATGTGCTTATGGGAGACACCTTGCAAGAAAATCATGCAACAACTGCGTCGACAAGCCAAGAAGAAGCGGCGATAACGTGGCACCGTAGACTTGGACATATGTCGGAGCGAGGTCTGCAGATTCTTGCGGAACGTGATCTCATACCTGGGCTCAAGAAGGTCGATTTATCCTTCTGTGAGCATTGTGTGACAAGCAAACAACACAGGTTGAAGTTTGCAAGAACCACCACAAGGAGTAAGCAAACTTTGGACTTGATCCATTCCGATGTCCGGGAATCACCGGAATTATCTCTCGGAGGAGCAAAATATTTTGTGTCGTTCATCGATGACTACTCGAGGAGATTATGGGTATACCCTATCAAGAAGAAGTCTGAAGTATTTGCGCGGTTCAAAGACTTCAAAGCACAAGTAGAACTTGAGACCGGAAGGAGAATCAAGTGTTTGAGGACGGACAATGGAGGAGAATATGTAGATGGAGATTTTCTAGCATTCTCGCAAGCAAGAAGGAATTGTGAGACAATTTTCTGTTCCACACACGCCTCAGCGAGAATGGTGTAGCAGAGCGGATGAATAGAACTCTTCTAGAGAGAACCAGGAGCTATGCCTGCAAACTGCAGGCATAACAAAGTCTTTCTGGGCGAAGCCGTGAATACTGCTCGTTACTTGATAAATCGGTCTCCATCAACAGCAATTGGGTTGAAAACTCCTATGGAAATGTGGAGTGGAAAATCAACCGATTATTCTTCCTTACATGTGTTTGGTTGTCCCGCGTACGTGATGTACAACACCCAAGAAAGGACGAAGTTGGATCCAAAATCCAGGAAATGCATCTTCTTGGGATATGCCGACAATGTGAAGGGGTATCGCTTGTGGGATCCCACTGCCCACAAAGTTATTGTTAGCAGAGATGTCGTCTTTGCGAGAAAATGAACTGCAAAGCAAGCGGATAAATGACAGCTCGGAAAAGGACAAGACTATAGTACAGATAGAGAAGAAGACTTCGGAACATTCCTCCGAGTCGGAGGAGGAGCATGAAGAACATGAGCCAAATGAGGTGGAAGAAGGAGAACTCCGACGATCAACAAGAGAAAGAGTCGGACCATCTTGGCATTCACAATATGTGATGACAAGTCATGATGCGTATTGTCTCCTAAGTGAAGAAGGAGAACCTTCAACTTTTCAAGAGGCCGTGAGTGGTTCGAAGCTCCTCTATGGATGGCTGCTATGGAAGAAGAAATTGAAGCTCTTCATAAAAACAAGACATGGCATCTTGTGGAACTTCCAAAAGGTCGCAGAGCCATTGGTTGCAAATGGGTCTATAAGATCAAGAGAGATGCCAATGATCAAGTAGAAAGATATCGTGCTAGGACTGGTGGTAAAAGGATATGCTCGGAAAGAAGGCATTGATTTCAACGAGATATTCTCACCAGTTGTTAGATTGACAACAATCGAATTGTCCTGGCGATGTGTGCTTGCATTTGATTTACATCTTGAGCAATTGGATGTAAAAACTGCTTTTCTTCATGGAGAACTTGAAGAGGAAATATATATGCTCCAACCAGAAGGCTTCAAAGAGCAAGAAAACTTGGTTTGCAGGTTGAACAAATCTCTATACTGGTCTAAAGCGAGCGCCAAGGTGTTGGTATAAGAGATTTGATTCCTTCATTATTAGCCTCGGATACTACGGACTAAGTTCGGACCATTGTACTTACCACAATAGGTTTGAAGAAAATGATTTCATCATATTGCTGTTGTATGTGGATGACATGTTGGTGGTAGGCCCTAACAAAGCTCGAATCCAAGAATTGAAGGCACAATTGGCTAGGGAGTTTGATATGAAGGACTTGGGACCAAGCAAACAAGATTTTAGGGATGCAAATTCACCGAGACAGAAAAGATAGGAAGATTTGGCTTTCTCAAAAGAATTATTTACTTAAGATCTTGCGGCGCTTCAACATGCAAGATTGCAAGCCAATTTCTACCCCACTTCCTGTCAACTGTAAGTTATCCTCAAGTATGAGTCCTAGCAGTGAAGCGGAGAGGATCGAAATGTCTCGAGTACCGTATGCATCGGCAGTGGGAAGTCTTATGTATGCCATGATTTGTACAAGACCGGACATTGCACAAGCAGTGGGAGTGGTTAGTAGATTCATGGGGAATCCCGGTGGAGAACATTGGCAAAATGTGAAGAGGGTCCTTAGGTATATAAAAGGAACCTCAAATGTTGCATTATGTTATGGAGGATCGAAGCGGTTGTCGGAGGTTATGTAGATTCGGATTTTGCAGGTGATCTGGATAAAAGGAAGTCTACTACTTGGTTATGTGTTTACCATCAATGGAGGGGCAGTAAGTTGGTTATCCAAGTTACAAGATGTGGTAGCTCGTCTACTACTGAAGCTGAATACATGGTCGTCACCCAAGCATGTAAAGAAGCTATCTGGATTAAAAGAATAATGGGGAACTTGGTCACAAGCAACAACAAATTGTTGTGTACTGTGATAGTCAAAGTGGCTTACACATTGCAAGGAATCCAGCCTTTCATTCGAGGACAAAACACATAGGAATAAGATATCATTTTGTTCGAGAAGTAGTAGAAGAAGGAAGTGTAGACTTACAGAAGATCCACACTGAAAAGAACCTAGCAGATGTAATGACAAAACCGGTTAATGCTGACAAGTTTATATGGAGTCGATCCCTCTATGGCCTATCGGAAGCATAAGCAACATGGATGTGAGAGAAGAAGACATAGTGTGAAGATTTGATTAATTTCATCAAAATCTTCAAGTGGGAGATTGTGAAGGAAGAAGTCCCACATCCGTGGGAACTTCAATTGGGGGCTCTCCTCCTTCTTATAAAAGGAGCCCCTCCCCCCTTATTTCATACATCCCAAAATATTTCTCCTTCTTTCTCTTTTACTTTCCTAGTATTGGTAATTTCCAATTGTAAAAGGAAAGAGTGGTCATTATAAAATTTTTATTTTTGTCTATTGTCAGGGTTATTTTTCTCGTCTCTATTTTAGTTGTGTGTATTTATGCTAGTACTCTGATCCTAACAACAAACAGAGTGGGTGAAATCTCAGTGGCAAAAAGATTAATCCCGCTAATGAGAGAAGAGCATCCAAAGATAGAGACATCAGATGGAAGTTGCTTGGATAATTGGATGCAGTTTAGTGATATTTGAAATAAGAAAAATGATATGAAAAGTGATGTGGCTTAGAGTTAGGATGTATTGTTCTCTGTTTCTATCATTTTCTGCTGTCTGAAACCGTACGCAATGTTAAAGTTTTTAGCTTCTTCTTTTGGTTCATTTTTTGTATCTAGTTTTTGTTGTTTGGTGATCACTGATGTTGTAACGACAATGTTGTAGTCCAATAATTTTGTTACTTTCTTAAAAGTGTGACGTATAGTTATGTATAACTTTTCTGATAAATTTTATTTTAAATTCTCACATGCTTGTAACTAAAAGTAATAAAGAAGCAAAGGTTGAGAGCTTAAAATTTAGGTTAAGAAGATGAAGTAGAAATTGGAAAGTGTTTTGGAATAAAAACATACGAAAACCTTCATAATGATATTAAGGTGCAGTGGACATGGTCACGTCAAACACCAAACTGAAAAAGGTGAAGGAGTTGGATCAACACATGACAGTGCCGAGAAAAACGATGGAACTCACGTGTTTGATGTTTTTTGCGTGACATTGCAACCAGAGGAAGGAAAGGAAAATTTGTATGGTTATGTTCATTTTTTAGTTTTTATTATAAGATAAAACCAAACAATATTTCATTCACGTTACTTCATTACTATTTAACGTTGTATAATATTGTTATATGATTTATAGTATATTTTTATAAGAGGTTCATGATATATTATTTTTTTTAATTATAATAAACATTAGAGTATAAAAAAAGTGTGAAAAATAAAAAAATTGAATAATATATATATATATATATATATATTTGAGGAAAAATTACATAAAAGTGAATATCTTTTTTACAATTTTTTTACCGAAAAAATAAATATATTTATTACAAAAAAAAAATAACATTTTTTATTTATTACTTTCCTTGTTAGAAACGTTCTTACTTTTATTTATTTTCCTACAATGGTCACTTTTTATTCTAAACTTTACACGTGAAGTAACGGAGTTAAATTAATTTATAATATTGTAGTTTCTCTGTAATTGATGTGAACTATTTACTTTTATTTGTTATATAAAATGTGTATTAGATGTTTAAAGAATAATGTTAAATAATAAAAAAAGTCGACACAAACTATTTAAATATATTTTTTATAAAGAATATACAACACAATGATTATGTAAATCTATTTATTAATTTATTTTATTTTAAAAAATTCAAATTTTGGTTTAGATGTAATGTTAAATTAAAATCGAACCAAAATAAATTACGCATTAATTTCATTCTACTTTCTTTAAGAAAGAACTCGAATCAAGCTGCACAACAAAACCAGTTGGGTTTGTAGCCCAAATAGGAAACGGTTTTGCCAAGGCCCAAAAAAATCTCCTCGTATTTCCGAAGCCCAAAAGAACAAAAAGATTGTACGGTATATACTCTCCGAGTTGACGGCGTCGTTTTCTTCGTCTTCCCCAAAACCCTTTTGATTGCGATTCTGTGTTGAGGGTTTGAGAGTGGGGGTGCAGCCATAACTGGGTTTGGGGATATGGTTCTGTCAAACAAGAAACTGAAGCTTAAGCTCAGAGCTGAATTGGCCCAACAGCAAAATCATACCAACGAAGTCCCTTCATCTTCGAACTCTCTCAAAACTCTTTTGGACGCTGCCACCCCCACACCCAGATTGTCCAAGCGAGATAAACGCCGAAAGCTTCGATCTTCCGAACACCCCCCACAAGAACCCAACAAGGAAACTGAAACTGAGGGTTCGGCCAATAAGAAAAACAAAAAGAGAAAGAGGAAGGTAGAGAACGATGACGTAGCAAATGGAGTCCCTGACAAAACACCAAAGAAGAAGAAGAAAAAGAAGCAGAAGAAGAACAAGAAGAAAAAATCCAAAACTAAGGAAGAAAATGGTTCTAATGGCGGAGGGGAAGTGACAGAGGCTACGGAGTTAACCAAAACCAATATGACTACCAGGTTATTATATAATTATTACATTATATATATAACTACTGTTTCATATGAGTGTGAGATTTTGTTTTTTTAATGTTCGTGTTCTGTGATGTGTATTCAGTCAAGACAGTGTTGATGTCCCTACAAAGGTTTATGTTGGAGGAATTCCTTATTATTCAACTGAGGATGATATTCGAAGTTATTTTGAAAGCTGTGGCACCATAACGGAAGTTGATTGCATGTATTTTCCTGAAACTGGCAAGTTTAGAGGGATTGCCATTATTGATTTTAAGGTGAGTGACGACTAATGCAGTATTCTTTACTTCATTTTTCTTTATTTTACCTTCACATTGCCCCCTACACTTCACCATATTTTGGTATTCCTCAATTTCAACTTGAATCTATAAACCTCTTTTTTTGGTCTTCCTTATTGGTAAGATTGATTACAACCTTGAGCTTTGTCATCACACTATATTAGCTATACATCAGAATTCTTCTTCCATCACTTTGTTGCTTCTTACGTTCAAACTTCGTATGGTAGTAATGAGCATGTTCTAACTTACTGAGATTTTTGTGGCATTGTTCCTGCAGACTGAAGCAGCAGCTAAACGAGCATTGGCTCTTGATGGAGCTGACATGTCAGTAACACTCGCAATTTTTTTTCTTACTTTACATTATTTACTGTTTTTGTGCATTTCTCATGAAATATTAATGTGTATCAGGGGAGGACTATTTCTTAAAATCCAACCATACAAAGCAACGCGAGCCAATAAAGCATCTGATTTTGCTCCAGAAATTTTGGAGGGGTACAACAGAGTATATGTTGGGAATTTGTCATGGGATATAACAGAGGAAGAACTGAGGAAATTCTTTAATAATTGCAAGATAACTTCGCTACGATTCGGTATGGACAAGGAGACAGGTGAGTTTCGAGGTTATGCCCATGTGGATTTCAGTGATAGTCAGTCACTGAAAACAGCACTTACGTTGGACCAAAATGTTTTGTATGAGAGACCTGTCAGAATAAGTTGTGCAGTTCCTCTGAAGAAAAAACTAGGAACTCGTTCAAGCTCCACAATTAATGGAGCTGATGGTGGTAAATCAACTTCCTTAGGAAATGGCAATATGAATGGAGCTGATGGTGATAAATCAAGTTCCACAGTAAGTGGCAAGATGAAGAGGAGGACGTGCTATGAATGTGGTGAGAAAGGACATGGTTTTTCAGAATGCCCTAAGAAACAAGCAGGTGCTGCAACTACAACCTGAAGTATGTAGGCAAGCTCAAACAAGTCACTGTTCATATTTCTTCTTGTGGACAGTTTGATTGTAGTTTATAGAATACAATAGTGTTGCATTCATTGTTTTGATCAGGTTTTGCAGTTTTCTACTTCCCTTGTTATTTTTATCATTATTTTCCCCTCTTTAAACGAAAATTCTGTCTTTATTGTAAGCAAAGAAAAGGGAAGACTAAAAAGTTAACTAGTAAGTTGAGATTTTGTTCGCTGATAGACAGACAATTTGATGTGCATTAATAGCAAATCCCAAGTTTTGTTTTGTCGCACCTTATCCTGGTTGTATTCCTCAAGACTCTGATTTTACTCCCCATTCGTATGTAAATGACTAGCTTTTGCATATATTCGCGGGAATTTTTTTGAGCCTTATAATTATAAGGAAGACGATAATTTTATAAACTGATAAAAACTGAAGCATAGATCGTAGAGGTGATAAGCCATTCAGACAGTGAAAATCGACATATTGGAAGAGAGAATTGAGAAAATCATACTTAGTAGGTGATTCCTTAAACTAAAATAGTTTTAAACAAATTGTATGTCAATATAATCAAACTGTTACTGGAATATTATGTGGAAATCTGCTAACGATGGCTAATTTATGTTGCTGCACTGCATCAGCAGCTGCATTCTAACATGTTTGCACAACGTAGCAATGTTTGAAAGCAGAGATATCTAAACTGCACTTTCTACATGTTGAAAGATTCAGTGATTCATTTCACCCATATCAAGGTTGAATGAAACCAAGAATTCTGGAAGGAAACCGAAAAGGATGCTCATTTGAGCAGAAGGGATCAATTCTCCCATCCTCTGCAGGTGGGATCTAACACTGTTGAAAGAGAGAACGAAAATTGACGGACTTGAAATTGGTGGCAAAGAATGAAGGCAGAAATAGATTAAAAAAAGAAAGATATTTAAGCTTTGATCGGCAAAACTATTTAGAAAATTAGCAGTTAGTTTATTAAATCAATAAATTTTGATATATTTGATTATCTTTCACCTTATTTGATGTTTTTTTAGTTTTTAATAAATTTTAATTAATAGGAATATGTATTACAAAAGGTATTTGAAATGAGATTTTTTATTTAAAAAAAAAATTAAAACAAAAAAGAGTGAAATCATATTGAAAAGCATCACTTCACTAAAAAACTGGAAATAACATTTTGGTATGATTTTAAACGCGAAAATTAGAATCAATGAAATAATGAATTAACATAACAGCCAAATTGATGAACATAATCCAGTAAAAGCGCAAAATCGATTAACAAAAATAGAAACGACTGTGACAGTTTCTTTATTGGGATCCACATCTCAGTTTGTAGCATGCATTCAGTGACCCACCTTGCCTCAAAATTGCAACACCAACACTGGCTGCAGGAGCCACGGTAACTCTTAAAATGGATTGCAGATTATCATATTTTCCTTGCATTGCTTCCGTGTAAAGAATCTGCTCCTAGCATTTCTGGATTAATGACTACAAGATTAACAAATTATCATAAGATATTGTTAAGATTCTGCTTCTACGGAGAACTAAAGATCACAGGATTGAAATAATTGATAAGATATGATTGTCTGTAATATAATAAAAAAGCTTTGTCTCAGCAGGTACTTTCTTGTGATGCCATTATCACCTGACAGATACGAGTCAGGGGGGGGCTCTCTCAAAGTTTCTGGTTTCAATCCAGCATAAGAAACTTATCAAATCAATTATTATGACTACTTGCTTCAATGTCTGACAATGATTCACTGTATTTGAAAAGTCTTACATAGTTTCAGTCACCATCTAAGGGTCATTTTTTTTTAGTTATTATTTATTGTGTATAATTTACTTTTTATGGCTAGGATTTTTTTATGCAGTCACATAAGAATCAACACTCTGCAACGCCAAAGCCATATCACTCATTGCAGTTCAAAGATTTCAAATGAATAATAAAAATATGAGTGAAATCCTTGAAAAACTTTCCTGGTGATCATTGATTAGAATCATTTGGTTACCTGCTCACTGAAAATGAAATCTAAGAAGTAAGTTGTCCTCAGATTGTAAGGAAGATGGATGGATTCATGAGTTATTATCACTTGTATTGTATGCATGCATACATATACGAATATACAGTGAATTAATTCATAGCTTAATCCCTCAAATTCTTTTCTTCTTGCAATTTAATCAATTTATGAAATTTGTATCATCAATAAAAGTACTACATTATCCATGTTTTTAAAAATTCAGGAACTAAATCATTCAAAGACTAAACTTCATGTGAAAATATTTGTATGGACTATGTAGCTAACTAATCTCAGAAAAAATATATAATAAGCTATAAAATCAGATCACTAGAACTGCTTGCACAGGCTTCTAAGCGCACAGTACACATACCCTTGTGAGCAAAGTGACAAAATCCTTGATATTCAAAGACAATAAAGTGTTCTGTTCAAATCTTACTGTTGTTTTAGAAATGATGAACTGGCCTCGATCTTCTTGGATTCCTTCTCATTCATGTTTGGTCTTGTATGAAGTTGTGGACTCTAAGAAGACAACTTACCAAACACCTTATTTTTCATAATAACAAATAACACACTCCTCCCTCTTCTCCATGTATTTTGCTCTGTCTGCACTCTGCAGTGATATTGGAACGTAGTGGTTCCAAATAGTGGCCCGGTAGCCTGTTCTGTGCATTGAAGGGCTCAATGCAAATGCCACGCTGTGCTTTGCCTGTCCACAGTTTCTTCATTTGTTTCCAATTTATTCCCTATCACACGTAAGCTTTCATCATTCATCTCTCACCACCACCTGCTTTCTCATTCACTTTCTGCCACTGTACTTTTTTCTTTCACACGCCACTTCAGCTTCAGAGAAGAAAGAATCAGCTTGAGATATAGCGTGAACCAAATGATTTTCCTACAGGGAGATTATATTGCATAAAACTAACTTTTTTTTAGTGTTAATATGTTGTTCACCATAAATATCTAGCTAATAAGACTTCGTTAATCTGATCAAGAGGGAAGCCACGACACTTAATAACTCTTAAAGATCCAAAATTTTATTGTTTTCCCCCCTTATTTTACACTTTTGTGATCCTCTCTCTCTCTCTCTCTCTCTCTCTCTCTATATATATATATATATATATATATATATATATATATACATATATATAAGAAAGTTCCTCGATTTCTCGGCATCATGGTTGAAGAATGCCTTGCCGTTTGATCAGTTACTAGTAGTAGTAGTTTGAGGTTCAATATTTTAAATCATGTTTTAATTTTTCTATGTGAAGGAATAGTAAGTTAGCCATTTTTTAATGTTATTTTGTGCACGATGTTCCTCAATTCTCATTGTATAATCCTCACTTGTTTCCGCACAATCTGCTGCATGGTTGCCGAAACCCGTCCATTGTTTCCCTGAAAGCAGTGCGATGGTTTCACGGGACAACTTTTGACTTCATATGAAGAAAATGAAAAATTTGTCCTGAGCTCACTTTGGTCCGTGAGCAAGTACCATGATTGAGAAGCACCATTTGACCCTTAACTTGCAACTGTAGTAGTAGCATCTCCTTAATATTATAAACTCAACAACAGGTTTGACATGTTGCCGTGAAATATATGCAATTCTAGCCATGCCATGCCACTTGTTGGTATTGGTACATGAAAGCTCATTATTAGCCAAATGCAAACAAGAGACACTTTCCCTCATGCTGGCCCATTTCAATATAAATGCCAACGATCTCTCCCTCGCTTCAGTACCTCAATTGCAAATAACAATTCTACACACCCATTTTCCATATCAAATAATACAACACCTTCTCATTCTGCACTCACAAACTTTGGTTTTCATTACCTCCATTTGCTGCCTTTTTAGTTTTATTTTACTAAGGGAAATGTTAGAGAGAGAAGCAAGGTCTGGGAGCTCCAAAATCTTGACTGAACCAAAACTTCAAGCAACTGAGCTCAAAGTTCCAGTAATATATTACCTTTCCCGAAATGGTCAGCTTGAACATCCACATCTCATGGAGGTTCTAATCTCTTCTCCACAAGGAGTGCTATGTCTCAAAGGTACATGCTACTGTACTGTACAGGAAAATAGACATGCTAGCTACTTAATTTGAGTTATGCTCGGATATTATTTACTATTTTTTTTTCTATGTTCACCCTGTTGTCCTGTTCAGATGTGATAGATAGATTGAGTTTTCTCCGGGGAGAAGGAATGACCAACATGTATTCTTGGTCCACAAAAAGGTATATTCTATTGTATATCTTCAGCCCCAATTGTCTTGTGTTTGAATGAGTCGAAACAATTTATGCTTGGATAGTTTAATTCTAAAACATTCATCAGTAGTAGAACATGGTATGAAGAAATTATTCAAAATTGCTTCAACTCAAAATCAATTTTGGACAAGAGTTAATTTCTTAAAGTGAATCCAACCACGCGTTTATTTAGTTAGTCAAGTTTAAACCTCTTGCAACTAACAATGCTAATAATATCCTTCATTATAGGAGTTACAAAAACGGGTTCGTGTGGCAAGATTTGTCCGAGAATGACTTCATTTACCCAAGTAGTGGCCATGAGTATGTCCTCAAAGGGACACAGATGATAGAAGTTTCTTTGAGCTTTCGATCCTGTGAGACAATATCAACATCAAGCTCCAAAAGTTCGACAGAAGTAAGCAATTCTAGCATGGATGCAGACTCCCCTGCCACCACCATAAAGGGAAGAAGCCAGTCATTGAACTCGTCTGATTACAAGTTTTACAAGGCAAAGACGTACGAGGAGTTTGCAGGGAAAGCTACCAATGCCTCAACTCAGACTGACGAGAAGCGTAGGGAAAGGATAAAAAGGGAGAAAGTTGAAGAGTGTGAAGGAAATGATGATGCAAGGGACTTGGGTGAGAATGAAGGGTCTGTGAGATTTTCTAGTTCTAGTTTTGGAGCGTTGGAAGGGTCTTTGGAGGGTTACGGATCAGCAGATATCAGAAGCCAGAGGGTTGAGAATGAACGTCCAAGTGGGAGGATCAAGGCTTCAGAAGTTCTCATGCAGTTCATCAGGTGTGGATGATCTCAAAGGATCATGAACATTGTGACTTGTGTGTAAGAAAGAGGAAACTATTGATCACTCAAATTGGTATCATTATGCTGCTTTTAAATGAAGAATAAGTTTGAGTGATTTGTTGCTAGTGGTACATCTTTCCTTGTGTTGTGTCCTTTTAATCAAATTATAAATTAGATGAATTATTGCTCCTTGCATCATTGTTGGCACCCAAGTTTAGAGCATGATCATTTGTCTGGAGCAAAACTGATTTGTTGAATTTGGTTGAACCCCCAATACCACCAATAAGTTTTTGCGTTTGTTTACCTTCAATTTTTTTGTATATATTAAAGTTAACTAATAAATGAGTTGAAATTTAATACTATTTTATATATCTTTTAACATGAAAAATAGAGAATGGAAACATAAACAATATTAAAGATAATGCTTGAGAAACTAACATTAAAAAATGACAATTTAAAATAATAAGATATATTATCTATTTTATATTATTCAAGAAAAGTATTACTTATTTGGCGTAAATGTTTATTATTTACCGGTTTACTAAACAAAAGTGTTGTAACCATTACAATTAAATACTAGAATTTTAGCCCAATTTTTGGTTCTTAGGGTTGAAGATTTCAGATTTTATTTCATTTCAATAGGCTAGCTTTTATAGTTAAATTTTGTAATAGTTTAAAGATTTCGAAGTGCCCGTCTAGCTCAGTTGGTAGAGCGCAAGGCTCTTAACCTTGTGGTCGTGGGTTCGACCCCCACGGTGGGCGATTATTGTTTTTAGTCCAAATATTAATAAAGCTGTACATTTTTATCTTTTTCTTTGAAGTGACTCATAACTCACGCATCAATTAATTTGGACACTTAATATCATTTCCAATTCGCATAGATTGTAGAATGGGGGTAGGTCCTCCCTTCTATTATTATTGTACTCTTCAATTTAAAAAAAATAAATATATAAACTAATTAATTTTCATTTTACAATAAAACATTTTTTTAAATTTTTTTCTGAATTAATTATTTCCTCTTTCTCAGTAAAAACAGTATATTTCTTGAAAACGTTTTATAATTTTAATAAATTGTTTACAAGTATTTGATTTTGGTCTGAATTTCTATAAAAGAAATAAATTACTTTGTTATCAAAATAACACTCAACTACATCAAATTTGTCTGTCGTAAAATTACTTCATTCACGATAACTTATAAAAAACCTATTTTTCTTTCACATTTTTTTCTTTAAAATCAAGTGACATTGTTAAATGAAGCTTCGATTTCAACATTTATTAATTTTTTATTAGCTACATCTATTAATTTGAAAAGTCAAAAGATGCTGCCATAGCCCAAATATTAAAGCTCGCTTTTTATATTATGTTATTAGAAACAATATACCTACAAAACGGTTCGTGTTGTACCACATTTTTTTTTAAGTGGGTCAAAAGCAAATACTTTATATATATATATATATATATATATATATATATATATGAAAAATTCCTTATCTTAGACTAAAATACATTATCATAATTTTCTAATGTATTTAAGGTATTTGTTAATTGTGAGTTAAGGATTTCATTTAAGGAATATTACTGTTAATGATTTTATTTATACTAAAATAAATTAATACGCAGTATAGTTTTTATTTGAATAGTTTAAGAATCATATTCTGGGAAAGGATATAATGTGTTGTTTTGTTGAAAACAACATGTGGATCTTTCTTAAATTAATTTGTACACCTATTTAAGCTCAAGAGACAGTGATGATAATATGAAACAAAAATGGTCCAACAACTAGTAAATGAAAATGATATTTTGGAATTAATATTATTGTCGAAACAATAACATATATAAATTTAAACTAGTGATTTCTAAATATAAAGAGTAAAAAGAAAAAAAATTACATAAATATATATAGTGATTAATTAATTTAGTATTTAAAAAAGTAGGGAGTGGAAAAATAATTATTATAAAATGCTGGGTAGACCTTATTGTTAGTTACCCCTGGCTAAAGTAAGTTGTAAAATAAAAAAAAAAAAAAAAGTGAAAGACCATAAGCGAAGAAGTGTTGAATTGTTCATGACATGTCAACTACGAGCGGTCTCAGAACTATTTATATTTCTTTTCTAATTTTCTTTTCTTACATTCTATGATTCCCTTCACTCCACCTATATATATACATATATAGATATTACACCACGCATTAGTTACTCACGTATTCTGCTTCATTCTTTCTTTCCTTCACCCTTTCTCTCTATGCTTTACTACTTCATTCGTTCAACTTTTCTTTCCATAATAAATACTCGGCAATTTACACACACCAACACACTTTGATTATTGTTTGGTGGAGTCGAAATCTGGAAGGTGATTAATGGGTTTTGTTCCCCTTTTCTGATTTTGGTTTGGTTTGGTTTGGTGTTATTTCGGGTTGTGAATAAACACTGAATGGGTTCCATCAGAGGAATCAAGAAGAGGAAGAAGGCTGATAACAAAGATGGCCAAGATGCCTCTGGCACCCCATTGGATTGGTGGCATCACTTCTCCCTCAGAATTTCAGGTACACTGCAATATCCTTTCTTGTGATTGTGACAAGTGTGTGTTTGTGTGTGATATTCTGTTACTTGCTTGTTATCGTATATCAAGAGGGGTAGTTATTATTATTATTATTATTATCATCTAATGTAGGGCAAAGAAGTTATGTGCTTTTTGGTAATGGGTAGGATTATAATGATTCCAGATTTGTTTCTTCAAGCTTAATAATTTGCTCACCTTTCGTTAATATCTGTGTTTTTCCTTTGCTTGACTTTCATATTCATGTTGCTCTTATGTGGCATACATCTTGCTGAGTTACTTGATAAAGAAAGTGACCCCATGCCTTTGACCAAAATGTATTTGTCATAAGGAATTTGTTTCTTAGGAACTATCGTAGACTTTGGTCATAATTTTGTTGAATTACTCATGTTTGGGTTATCATATATCGGTTTGGCTAGATGTTATTCTGTTCCTTAACCTTCCAAATTGTGAAACTATCTGGCATGGTGTCACCACATAATTAGAACATTGGTGGGATCCTGGTTATGGGTATAAACACCAGCACTATTTTGTTATCTTTACTTGTTGCAGTTATTCACTAACGTAACAATTTAGGTATCTTATGCTTTGGTTTCACGTGAATTGTGCAGCTTCATTATCGTGTTATGCATTGATGTCAGCCAATACTCATTTTGAATTTCATCCAATTGTTTCAACCCATTTCAAAAGATCTCTCTTCCTTTAATCAAGCTTTTGGTCTCTTCCCAATGTCTGCTTTGAAGAGTCACATAATTTGCTATCTCATCTTTACACTGACTAATAGCCAAATAAATACATGATCTGTGAGATTACACAAGCTTGTGATTAACAGGGTACTTTCTAACTAATAAAACTATTTATGAAATATATTTTTCCATATGGCTTATTGAATTAATTGAAGATAAGAAGAAAGGTATATAGATTCTGTGGAAGTTTTTTGGTTAAATGTGAGTTGTGCTAACGGGGGAATAAATGTTAGAATGGTATGGTTGGTACAATTAAAAATGAATTTTTATGAGTTCAAAACCTTATAATATTGACAGCTGAAGAGATTTGAAAGAAAATAAAATCTGAAATGCAGAGGTATGAACCCTTATTCAATTTTTTTAGTTGAATCCTTCAGTCAATTCTTTACTATACTGGTTTTCTTAAGCAAAACTCTGTTGCATATAGCCATTAGTTTGTTCATATTTTGTGATATTTGTGCTTTGTGTTGTGACTTGATTAGATTGCTTTGTATAAGAAAAGAATGTTTTTTCTGACTGCTTTCAGAGAAACTGAACAATAGGTAAACCATCCCAGTTACAAAGAATTTGTACATTTCTTTCTAAGTTTATCATAGCTCTGTCTGGATATAAAGAAGAGTGTTTCTTCTATTGCTTCTTGTGCATGATGTGCCAAACTTATTCATAATATATTATTGTAAAATTCATCTGCCCATCTTCATGATATGCTCATGCTTTAATTTACTTATTTTAGGAACTTTAGCTCAATCTAAAAATATAGAGAAATTTGAGTCAGTTTTCAAGATATCAAGGAAGACGTTCAACTATATATGCTCTCTTGTGGAAGAAGACCTGCTGGCCAGAGCCTCAAATTTTGTTGATTTAAATGGCAAACGTTTGTCTTTAAATGACCAAGTAGCTATAGCTCTTAGAAGGCTTAGCTCTGGTGAGTCTTTGTCAACCATCGGCGACTCATTTAGGATGAACCAGTCAACTGTTTCCCAAGTAACATGGAGGTTTGTGGAAGCAATGGAAGAAAGAGGGCTCCACCATCTTAGTTGGCCTTCAACTGAAATGGAAATGGAAGAGATAAAGTTTAAGTTTGAGAACATAAGGGGCCTTTCTAATTGTTGTGGTGCCGTTGATAGCACACACATAATGATGACTTTGCCCTCTGTAGATGCTTTGAATAGTGTGTGGCTTGATCGTGAGAAGAATTGCAGCATGATCTTGCAAGCCATTGTGGATCCGGATTTGAGATTCCGGGACATAGTTACTGGATGGCCAGGAAGTATGAGTGATGAGCAAGTCCTTCGAAGCTCTTCCTTTTTCAAACTTGGTGAAGAAGGAAAGAGGTTGAATGGGGGTAAGAAAGTACTTCCAGAGGGAACAGTGGTAAGGGAATATATTATAGGGGATACAGGCTTTCCCCTTTTACCATGGCTTCTTACACCTTATGAAGGTAAAGGACTCTCAAATGTTCAAGTTGAGTTTAATAAAAGGGTTGTTGAAACTCAAATGTTGGCCAAGAAAGCATTGGCTAGACTGAAGGAGATGTGGAGGATAATCCAAGGTGTAATGTGGAAGCCTGACAAGCACAAGTTACCAAGAATTATTCTAGTTTGCTGCATACTACATAATATAGTTATTGATATGAAGGATGAAGTACTGGATGATATACCCTCCTGCTTCCAGCATGATTCAAGATATCAAGACCAAAATTGTGAATTTGTGGACAATACTGCCAACACTACGAGAGAGAAGCTATCCCTCTACTTATCTGGAAAGTTGCCAACTTGAAAGATCATTTCTTATATTGCTACAATTGAATTGGAGTTATATAAAAATAGATTTTTATTACCATCTTCATGTTATTGGTTGACAACTGACTTTAGACACAAATAAATTTTAGTTCTCTCTGCTTCAATGTCTGCCCAAGCAGGAGGATACTAGTTCTAGTCAGTGGTTGAATGAGCTATTTGGTTGGTTGTTCATATAGTTGCTCTTTTTATCATTTTTTGGGTCATAGACATTCATTTGTAAATAAGGGGCACATCAATCATCCTATGATTATAGTGAGTTGACTACAACTTTAATGATAAATGATGCAAGTTTTCTACTTGTGATTGGTGGATTAAATGATAAATTTAATAATTATTTATCCATATTAAATCAAGTTGGACCATTCAACACAAATGTATCATCAAATGTTATATAACCTAAATAGGGTATTCCGAGGATTGCAATTTTAATGATCATACCCTACATTTTACTTAAATTAAACATGTATCTTTTTAATGTAATTGTGTTTTTACAAACTGATATAACAAACACTATTTTAATGTCAAAATAATATTATATGTTTTGATTTTCAAATATGTGCTTGAATTTTTTTTTAGGAAATAATAGTTTTTTTAAATAAATTTCAATACTTAGAATGATTAGTCTCACATAACTAAAACAAATTAATACTAAATTATTTTATAAAAAAATAAAAGAATATTGAGATAAATTATTTTATAAAAAATAAAAAAAAATATTTTGACAGAGGTGAGATTATCATACATTCTTTTAATAAGATGTTTTAAAAAAAATTAATACAATAATAAATTTTAACTTAAAACTAATTAATATTAAATAAAAGACTTAACAAATATATAAATTGTATAAAAATTTACTCACATGATATAGGACTATTAAAATTTGTGTGTACATTATGAAGAAATAAACACTTTTTTTCGTACATATATCTAATTCAGCAAACATTAAGTTATTTTAAAAGAATAAAATAAGTATTTTATTAGGTTAAAACCAACTTATATATAATTATAGAACAAATATTTTGGAAATGGTAAGAAAAACTTTACAAATTAATTTGTATATATTAATTTTCATCCATGAATAAATTTATTTTTTTTTTCAAAAATATTTATGAAAAATTTTATTTACTGTATCTGAGTGGCAAAAGGACTTAAGTTAAAGTATAATGTAATATAATTTAATTTTCTAATTTTTATAAAATAATTATTAAATATCTTAATGATTATAAATATAAAAAATATATTTTATTAACATTTTCTTATTTTTGTATAAAAGCACCCGTAAGCATTTCAGCAATTGTCTTTAAATTATTTGGGCCTAAGGAAAGAAGGAAAGTGTATGATTGGGCTGTAAAGGTGGCCCGGTATTATGGTTAAAGAAGAAGGAATCCCGTTGACATTGAAATTGAAACTGAACCTGGGTGAGCAGAGGAAGAAGGTATTGGAATTGGAATAAGAATGGAATTGAAAAATGTGGTGAAGGAGAAGAGATTTTGGATGGCATCTGTCCTAATTGTTTGGGCTGCTGCTGTTCAGGTAAGGTAGGACTACCCTATTCTAATCCATTCCTCTTCTCAATTCTTCTTTTATTCTCTTCTTCTGGTGCGTTTTCACTTTCAGGGTCACATGATGTGGTTACAGCGCCAAGATTCCTTCAAACAAAAATTCGGTAATTCCGATGACCATCCTCAAAACTCAACCTAACTCACTCTCTTACCCTTGTATTCTATTTCTATGCTTTACTTTATTATATTAAATAATACACAATTCAGCTTCATCTTCTGAGGTGTTTATCGACTCTGAACTATTATGTCTATGTTCTATGTGGCCCTTTCATTATTTGTTTTTTAAGTTATGCTACAACTTGCAACCCAAATTTTTAGAATACTGACTTAGATCCCCCGAGTTGTTCTAATGCGAAACTGCTGGATAGCACATGTATGAACTGAATTTATATTAAAAAAAAACTATGAAATCTAAAATTTAGGTCACTGTCATTTCTTCTATTGGCCTTTTGTCCAACAGACTAAAATTCCCAATTACTGGCTTCAGATTTATATTAATAACTGATATATTATTTTCGAATTAGTTCGCCTGTAATAACTGGGTGTATGATGATATGTTTTGATCAATTCAAATAAATTGTTGCGTTTGTCCTTATTACTAGATTATAACTTATGAATCCTGCTCAGACTTGCCAATGAAAATTCTCATCCATGTCACCACGTTCTTCCCAATTTACTTCTAAGTGCTTCTCCATAGTGACTCTGGCCAGAGCTTGTCAACAGAAACTCTCATCCATGTCATTATGTCAATGAAAACTCTCATTCATGTCATCAATTTCTTTCTGATGTTTACTTCCAAATGCTTCTCTTTAGTGACACTGGCTTGGTCAGAGATTTCCATCATCTATTCTCACTGGAATGGAAGAGACCCTCTATTCTGAATTTGTTCCTCTGGGAGCACTCTAGTGGTGAGGGCTTGTATGGTAATCCTCTTGGTTCAGAGGCTTTACAAGCATTCTCCCTAGTCCTGTCTTGTTGTGAACCTGAAGAGGTGACACCTCAGGTCCCCTTCAAGAAAAAAAAAAATGCTGGTTAAGCAAGAGAGTTCTGATACTTCCTTTAAATGTTATAGAAAGGTGTGATTTTATTGATTTCAACATGGTAAATTTACCAGTAACACGTGTTGTTTCACCATCCATTCATTGCTTTAGGCTGTGTTTGTGTTTGATCTTATCAGCTTTGCTAAGAGACATGGAGTGCATATGCTTGTTGGTCCATTGTTTTGGCATGTCAGGAAAGGGTGGTGCATCCTTCAACATGACATAAGTCTTTTTTGTGTTCTACAGCTTTCAGAGTGTTTTTTGCTTACATCCCTGGGTTAAGTAAGTCTCTAGGCTGAAGAATTATACTCCTCCAAGTTAAGGTCTGTTAAACGTAAGCCCCCAGTATAAGTCGTTCATGGTCTAGTCATCAGGTGAGTCTCTCAGTCAAATGGACCATAACCCTCCATGTGCTGAGCCTATTAGGCATAAGCACCAAATATAAGTCATTTATGGTGATCAGGGGTCCCATGGTTGGATACATCACAACCCTTCAATAGCTAAGTCTATTGGACGGAAATGCTTAATGCAAGTGACACAGGGTTCTGAGGTGGGTCATTAGGAAACGTAGTTTCCACACTGGCTTCCCTTGTAGGATGTGTCAACATGTCTTACAAAGTATGTCCTATCGATCCCAAGGAAGAAGAGGATGTGGATTAGTTTCCAAGAATAGTTATCCACACTTAGGAAGAAGAGAATGTGGATTATTTTCTAAGAATCGTTATCCACACTTAGCTATACATTAGGTTTTCTTCTCTCTCTTTAACAAAGAAAGGTATAAGCTGTTGTTGGACGACAAGTGTTGGGTTTTATCTTTTAGGACTAACTAGTCCAAAACTTCGTGTGTATAGGTTTATCTAATTATGTACTGTTACAAAAATTGAAGTGAATATGAAAATCTAAGGCTATGTTTGGATTAATAGAAGCCCATTTGATGGAATGGAATAAATTCTTCATTCTATTGTTTGAATATGTTATGTTATGATAGAATGCGATTACGTAAAGATAAACAATGGAATAAAATTCTCATTCTTGAACCCAAAACAATAAAAACACTGTTGCCATTCACATTTTGCTTTTCTCATTAATAACTTGAAACAGTTCGTAGCCTACTGCGGCATTTTCATTTTACCACTTTGGTTGATACTGGACTAAAGAAACAAACAAGCGGTTACTAATAAAAGCCTTTTACTTCTGCACTCCATGTTTTCCTTTGCATCTCCACATTTTTTAGGAAAAAGAGTACTTAACTCTCCTAAATTTTCCCTCTTTTACAAATAGGCATTCTAAATTATATTTGTCTTGATTACAAATAGGCATTCTAAATTTTCCCTCTTTTTTCATTTAGAAAATAAATGTATGGAACTTTAATTTCGGTCCAGTTGATACGTATATATATTTTTTTTAATAAAGCACCTAAAGTTTTAATTGTATTCTAATTAATCCTTAAAAATTTTCATTTTCTTAAATAACTTTTAAAAAGATATTGTTTAAATTGAATCATAATATAAAAAAATTGTTAATATTGTTGATATTACTATTAATTCAGGGTACGTATATTCTAAATCTCAGTCTTCAAACTTTTAAAATTAAGTTTAAAAGCTAACATTGTCGCTTAATCAACAAATTAAATTGAAGTAATAGATTTTAACGTAATTGTAGATTTCAACATAAACAATTAAAAGTTACTTGTAAAAGTCTAACAGACCTTTTAATTTTTATTTTTAAATGTTTTTTATTATATTTTAATATAAAAATGAAAATAGCTCCTAATAGGCATGCTAGGTGAGCACATTTAAACACGTTATTATGTTAGGTCAGGGGGAGGAGAACCCTGAGTCGCAGGGTTCCACTAGCTGTGGGTAGTAGGATTTTGGTTGTTCCATTGATTGGGGGTATTTTTGAGAAGTAGGTGTTTGAAAATTGGGGTTGAGGGGTTAGGGTTGGGGAGGATTCCACTATTGATCAATTCACAATCGATTGACATGAAAATAAATCATATAGAAAGTGAAAGTGCTGTGTTCTTTACTGTCAAGGAGTCTAATAACATTGGGTTGATGATGAAGACCATATTGTTTGAATTTACATGTAGAAATCCAGGTCCAATCACACACATAGAAAGATAATCACTGTCAGCACCCTCAATTTTTTTTGTCAACTCATATATCCCATTTTTCAAAAGGTTTATGACCATATTTATGATTAAAGAATGTAATAATTTTGGGTATATATCATTGTAGGAAATTTAAAAAACAAGAATGACTTTCCAGTAGAAATAGTATACGGGACAAATGGATATATTAATGACATAGTGATTCAAGGTTCTCACAAACAACAAATATGTTCCATTAGAATTACAATTGATTTTTATGTAATTAATAAAATATAGAATGAAATCCATTTTTTTATTGTGCATAGAATTGATTTCTAATTTTTTTTTCATTGATTTTTGAAAACTATTTATAAAAAATTAAAGTGAATCGATTCAATTTTATCAACGAAGAAAGATTTTTTTTTTAGTCCAGATTTCTGAAATTTAAATATATTTTATTTTTATGACAAATTATTTTTCTTGATTAACAACGTGTGTAATTTTGGCAAAAGTCGGAGATTATTTAATTCTCTTCATTCACCCCTTAATTTTTTTTTTATCTTATTTCTCTTATTTTTCTTTTTTCTCTTTAACTTATTTTTCTAACTAAATTATTATATTAAAATTTAATAAAAATACGTTAAAACAAATATTTTAAAAACATTAAAACTAAAAGAATATTAATTATATATTTAAAATTACGATGATAATAAATAATTTTCTTTATTTTAATAGTAAATAATTTTATTTAAGAGTAGTTAAATAATTAATTTAAAATTATTCTATCATAATAAATAATTACTTGTCTAATTAAAAAAATATCATATATTTATAATTTAAATGTATTTTTATTTAATAATTTAATTTAGTTATAATTAAATTGAGTTATGATAATTAGTTAGATTATGTATTTTTTTTAAATATTTATTAAAAACACTTTTAAATAAATATTTATTTTTTATAATAATTATAATATAATCAATAATATTTATAACCTATCAAATTTATTATATAATATTTTTTTCTTATATAATATGTTAAATTATAGTATTTCTCAATCATTTAAATGTTTTTATTTTTTAATAATAATAATAATAATAAAAGATTTATATTATCAAATTTTCATATATTATTTTTACTTGAAAAATAAGATAAAACGAGAAGAATAAAAGAAAATAAAAATAATAATAAAAGAAGAAATAAACGAGGATACAAGGAAAAAATAATTGTAATATGTTGAATGAATTTTTTTTCTTTATTAAATTATGTGTATAAATAGGTTTAGTGAAATAAATAAATTTAAAAAAAATTATTTAATTTTTTTAAAATATATTATTTATGATATTGATTTCATTTATAAATTATTTTACTTTAATAGATAAAAATTAACAGTGAAATAATGATACAATTGACAATAAATATTTTATAATAAATTATATTATTATGAATTAAATAACTTAGATAACTTTTATAATATCAGTGATGTTTATAAATTGATTTGATATTATTTTTAAAAATCTAAAAAATATCAACGTACTAATTTTGAAAATAAAAAAAAATTCTAACTTGTGCGGTTGACTGTTTTGGGTCAAACCAAACATGCTAATTTGTGATTTTTATTTTTTTTCTATAGTCGGTGTGTACCAAACAAAAAGCAAACAACCTGTAAAAGGTTGAATTTGACCAAATTTTTTATATGTATAATCAAAGAGTTGCATAAATAATTAGAAAAAAAAATCATAGACAAGTGCATGCGTAGCTATACCGTATATTTTATCCTAGTTTAGATATTTTTTAATATAAAACAACGAATATTTTTTTATTCATTTAACAGTTAAATAATTTAATATTGACTCAACAATAATAAGTACACATTAAATTTTATATAAATTGAATTCATAGTTGGGTAGTTTTATAATTTTTATAGTCTAGCATTTACTTATATTTGCAAAAAGAATATTTTATCTCAAATTGAAATTTTAAAATTAATTTTCAAAAATATGCTTTATCTCAAATTGTAATTTGCAAAAAGAATACTTTATGTCAAATTGCAAACAGAATAATTTTAAAATTTTATAAAAAATTATAAAATTAATTTGCAAAAAGGATATTTTATCTCAAATTGTAATTTGTAAAAAGAATACTTTGTCTCAAACTGCAAAAAGAATAATTTTAAAATTTTACAAAAAATTATAAAATTAATTTATTTAGTATTTTTTTAATTTAAACCGTCAAATGCTCATTTATATATATATATATATATATATATATATATATATATTAATATTTTTAATTCATGTGAAATTTATTGATATAAAATTATTTATATTTAATTTATTGTTAAGTGACATAAATAAAATAAGTTGAAAATATGGTGTACTATCACATCACATATTAATTGACAGCTTAAAGTTATGATTAAAGTGGGTTCACACTTTGCTCATGGTTTATGTATAAGTCTATCCAACAACATATTTAATACAAGAATCATAAGCAAACTAAAAATAATAAAATATATATTAAAAATGTAATTTAATTTTGATTAGAATATCTTATTATAGATTGATACTTGTGGTAGTCAAATTCTTCACTTTTTTTTTATTTTTTTATCACACAACACAATACTTTCGATGTATCTCTCATGTTAATAATATAGATAAACCAATAATAATAATATTTTCTTCAAAATAAAGGACGGATTCAATTCAAAATAATTATTTTGTAAAGTAAATTTGATATTTCATTTATGTATTATAATTTAATTAAGTTATATTTAATTGATATTTCAATTTTATATAATATAATCCGAATGATATTCAAATTTTGATATTTAGTCTCATACTATTCTTTTTAAAAACAACGAGTGAGAAAATAGTAGAAGTCTTTTTTTCTTTTTTTTTGTAATCCTTCTTTGTCGATCATGATCCATGTCATGTCAAAAGCCAGAATTTCTAGAACAGATAACCATGAATATCATCTTTTAAGAGTTGTAAATTTCAATAGTAATCATCTTCAAAAGAAATAACTAACAACACATGTACTGTAGTCAAGGAAGAACTTATTTTTATTGGACCAGCTAAAGTATAAAATCAACACACACAAAAAGAGTAAAAAAATAAACATAAGATTAAATAAAAGTCTTAATTATCAAAATAATGTTAAGTTTTCTAACCTAAAACTAATTAATAATATTAAAGTAACTAAACACATATTTAAACTATATTATATAATATGACAGATTAGATAAAAGATATTTTTTTATCTACAATAAAAAGTTAACTCGTAGGTCAAGACAACGATTGAAAACTTAATGAACCAATAAAATGTATTTTAACCCAAAATAAAGAAAAAAAATTTGGACCAAAACGATAACCGAACCAAAAGTTAGATTTTAATTTTGATACTAAGTTAAATAAGACTGGGAATTCAAACAATATCATTATTCTAATTAAAAAAAAAAGGCATTACTTAAAAAACATGGAGATATTTTTAAAGATAAAAAACGTGAGATTCCTAGTAATATCTAATAACATCAGAACCTAGGAAAGACTTTTACTTTGGCAGGGTAATATAATAAAATAATTTTTAATATGAAACATTAGAGGGTTAAAATTGTGGTGTGGGTGGAAAGTCTCTATGGGACATGAGTAAGCAAAATGAAGGAGATTGCTTCTGGAAAACTAAAATGAAGGTGATCATTGACCAAGGATAACGACGGTGAGTGTAAACTAAAAGTCTATTGTGATTAGTAGTACACAAACACATGGTTGAATGACTTGTTAACCAAGGAAAAATTTTGTCACACGGACTTTGCAATCCCATGTTTTTTGTGTCTCATGCTTTCATGTTCAAGATTGACAATTACACTTTCTCTCTTTCTATATATATTATAGTTTTTTACAGCTCTTTTATACATAATACATTTTATTTTATTTTATTAAGTTTGGTTAATTTCTATGTTCTATTGACATAAAATAAGTTATACATAGTAAATTAACTAATTATGAATGATTTTTTTTTATGATTATTATGATAATTATAGTGAAAAATAATAAACTTGAATGAAGTGTAATGTTTTTTACACTATCAATATGCATTATATATGCATGTACTGTTATTATAGTTTTTTAAAATTTCAAGAACGTTGACCTAGTTAGCCACCAATGAAAATCAGTGCAATAATATCCGATGACTATGAACCACCCAAAAAATTATATCAAATTGACAAAAGTTTGAGCTGATCCAATAAATCAAACTTATAAAATATATTATAAACTTATTTTATGAAATAAGAGTAATTTGAGCTAAACAGTAAAAAAATATTGAATCAATTAAATTGATTTGCGTTAATATTTTTACAATTTCACATTCAAGAAGTCCCACATTTTTTAGAACATGAAACAAATAAAACATTCAATATCCGTCCTGCGCTAAAACCGTAATGTATTAAACTTTCAAATTGAAAACCCTAATTTATTTTTGATTTATTGAATGTACCGATCAAAATGTGCTTACTTATCAACAGAAATTCTCACTCTCTGGACAACCTTGCCAGCTTGTCGTGTAATTTGGATTACCAAGAATCGAAAATTGTCGTAATTACTTTCGCAAGTGATATCTTAGAGAAAGGACAAAAACTAGAAAATCAAACTGAAGAAACTGTTTAGAAGAAGGATGTTTCACGTAAATTAAAGCTTTTTGGATATGCTTTTAGGTCTTAAAAATTAATAAAAGTTGTTCATATATTCACTTAGAAAAAATTTTATCTGGTTTAGGATCACAGGGTGATACTAAATATACAAGAGAACGTGAAACTCATATTTAGATTCCCAACACATGAACTTGCGTATTCACTTGGAGCATAAAACCCTAGCCTGCATTGAATCCATGCTTAACCTACCTTACTCCAGCTGGTGGTAGCTACGAACATTACAAAGGTTAAAATTGTTGAATACAAAGTTTGAAATAAGAGTTGGAATGAAAAGAGTTTCTAGATGGGACGCAGGTTGTTTGTAGACGGCACTGGTATTTGGAAAATTGTTCCCTTCTAGATTGTATGACGTCCACGGAAATTGGAAAATTAATTGTTTTTCATATTTTATGAAAAGAAATCTCGTGACTGTGATAAGGATCTGTTCTGCATTTAGTGACAGAATCACTTTGTAGAAGTTAACTAAACGTTCCTATCAGATAAAAAGATTATTGGAATCTGGTGTTTATTTGAATGAAATTCAATGTTCATCATCATATATACTACCATTAGGGTAAATGTTTTTTAAATAATTGTATATAAACGACCAATTATTTAGAATAATCAGAAACTGTCAAGCATATCGTTTTCTATTCCCTGTTAATAAACCAGTTTTGTGTTTCTTTTCCTTCAGAACGTGCATCATGCATGTCTGAACCTTTGACTTATAATTAAATAGACGATCAAAGAGAAAGTTTAATTGGTATTTCAAATTTTAAATTTTATAGTCTTTGGTTGTATAAAATTGTTTCCACCATGATACACGTTGTTAAATTAAATGAATGGGGATTGAATTTACTTTCACACAGATCTCAATACCACTTAATGGCAACTGAAAAATTAGCTGCAAATTAAACCAACTGTGATTTTTGTACAAATATGCTTAAATAGTCGTAAATAAAATGTTCGTTTAGAAGAAATGTTTAATGTTAGGAGTCAAGAGAAGAGAAGGTTGGAAAATTTCAAGTATTTTAAGGTTGTTTTGTGTGAGAAAACAAGGAATATAACAGTTTGTTTAGATACAAATAAGAAAATTCAGATCAGGCCCAAAACTAGCACTTGTTCTTTGTTTTCGCGAACACAAATTTCTTATTTATATATCCAAGAACTGAACAAATGATTTACATACAGTAAAATACAAAAAAGGGAGCAAAAAGTAGTGTTCTACACTGCAAACTACGCTCCAAGAATTTATTCAATTAAAGCAGTGAACTAAAGGAGTTGCTTGTCTGATCTTCAAAAACACCAAGTCATTCTCTAATGGCGTCAAGTTCAAATCAGGAAACAAAACCCTCTTGTTGTTAGTGTTGTGGCTCATGTTTGGTGAAGTGTCATCAACAGTGCTACCACTCACAGAAGAAGAATTAGTGGTAGCAGTAGTAGTATTGTGCGTGCTTCCATTTGATGATGATGATGATGTTCTATGGCGTCTCATATGTCCTCCTAAAGCTTGCCCTATCGCAAACTCCAAACCACAAATGGAACACTCGTGTGTCTTAGGCTTTGGTGGTGAACCATGAAGCACTTGGTTATGGTCGCTCTCTCCCATCATCAACCTTGGCTTCTTGTGACTCGCACGGTGCCCTCCCAATGCCTGAAACGATGGGAACTGCCTCTTACACGTCTTGCACTCAAACACACGGTCGTTGGAAGAGTGCTTCAAGTAGTTTGTGCTCTCAAATTCACCTCCTCCAGAAAGCAACATCAAGTAGTTGCCCATGGTTATGCTATCAACTTCTCTTTCTCTCTTCATCATCAGTAGTACTTCAAATATTGGTGTTCTGGTTTGAAGGGGTGACAGAAATGGATATGAAAAGGGTTAAAAAGAAAAGGAAAGTGGAATGAGATATGATGAGACTTTTGAGAATATGGTATGTCTGATATTTATAAGGTTGGTTTTGTTCGTTAGATTTAGAGTTTTAGACACTTCTTCTGAATATGTAGGAGTAATATTGGTATGAACATGTGCTATGTGATAATGTGACACACTAAACCTGTGACTTTGAATTGAATAATAACTCTTGCGTAAGCATGTACGAGCATGGAGCAATTATAAAGCAATCCTTTGGATGTGTTGAAGTAGGGTTTTTCCTTTGACTTGTTGGATTGGTGTGAAAGTAGTAAGAATAACAAGGTTCATGTTTACTCAACAAATTCAAGCACCAAAAATTTATTGATACTTAAAATTCTTGGACCAAAAATTTAAAATAATACTGAGTGGATAAAAAAAAAGGGCTTCTAGATGGCAGCCACCATAAGATAAAATTTAAATGTTGGTGTGTTGGACTGCGCTGTTTACTTGGAAAACTACTTATCTTCTAGACTTTGTCTGACCAAAGAAAAGAAAATGGAATATTACTCTAACGTGCTGCATGTGTCTTGCTCACCAACGTTCATACATTAAGTGATTGGAGATTAGAAAGATAAAATATTAATCATGTCTCCATTAAATTAGTATTTGCTTTCAAAAAAAAATAATTCATATTGTTTGGCATTATTAATGGCTTATACATTCTTTGTCCTAGTTACACCATCACTTATAAATAAAAATTGAATAATAAGATGTTAGCTGATTACATTGAATATGATGGTAATACTATATATTTGAACCAAGTCAGCTACATAACTTGTGTACAATTTATTAGATAATTTTATTTCACAATTATCATTGGATTAAAAGTTTCATTCGTATTGATTAATTGAATCTATATATTAATATACTCACCCACAATAAAAATTTTGTAAAGTATATTTTTAAATATATATATATATATATATATATATATATATATATATATTTAACTCCTTGAGATAAAAATAAATGCAGGATTCATGAATGTTGAAATTTAAAGTACAAACTCAATCTTAATCTCCTTACCTGCAAAAAGATTTTACCAAAAGAAATAGTGGAGGAATGAGGGAAGAAAAAAAAAAAAAGAGAGAGAGAGAGAGAACTTAAAAGTAAAATAAGGTCTATTTGTTTCACTTGTTTTGATTTCATCTCTTTATCTTCTAACATCCAAGTTTCAATGCATAAATTTTTAGAGCACCTTTAAATATATGAAAGAATTATTGATATATTAAATTTCATTAAATCTTATAAATAACTACTCTAAAGTTGAAATTTTTAATAATTCACAACTTTAGAGCATAATTATGAGATTTGAATTGATCCCGTCTATTTGAATTAACTGAATTTAGATAAAATGAGGTCTAGTGACAAGATTATTCTAGTTGATAAATTTAATGGAGTTTAGATTAACTGAATACACAATCAATACAATTAACCTGTTTTATATAGGTAGAGCTTGTTTGTAAATTGTATTAATGTGTTGTTATTTTGAATATTAGTGGCTTTATTAAGGATAATATTTGAAACTAGAACAATGAAATCACATTATTTTAAACTTTAATGATTATTTTATAATTAATGTTATTATGATGCTTTAAAATTAAACTATTATATATATATATATATAAAATCCGGAACACTACAACATTGATTTGCTTTTGAGAGACTAATGAATCTTCTTAATTAACTAAATGTGAATTTTATTTTTTATAGGTTGTTACTAAAAAGAGTGATAAGTTGTCAAATTCAGAAAAGTCTGAGTAAGTAAAAACACAAGAATTTACTTTTAATTTAAAGTAGCTTGTACCAAGCCACTAAGACATTACAATTTTTAATTTCTGGGTAGTAAAAATGACTTCTTAAGAAAAATAAATAAATAAATAATATATAAGGTATGGTAGTAAAAATGACTTCTTAAGAAAAATAAATAAATAAATAATATTTAAGGTATAAGAAATTTAGCACTAATGCCATATCTTTTGGATATGGTTATATTAGTTTATTAAGAGTCTTTTTCACCGACTATTTTCTTAATGAATTGCTTTTAAAGATAATAAAATAAAATGTATCGCTTTTAAAAATAATAAAACATAATATACTCTACTTTCTAGTACAGAGATATTTTATTATTATTATAAAAATTTAAATATTAATTGTAGGGTATTTTATTATTATTATAAAAATTTAAATATTAATTGTAGGGTGTGCCTGATCCAAGCTGTAGTGCAACACTTGAACGACACATAAGGACCGCAGTGGCAAGCCACTGCTTTGGCCCTTCCCTTCCAAAAATAAATTTAATATCGTGTGAACCATTGGCCCACATATCAGATATTAAACTGATAAGAACAGATACTACACTTGATCTTAGCCAAAAGGCCGAGAAAGGTATGCTTATAACTGCTGTGGAAGGTTTGTTTTATAACAGAGCATCAAGTGATGGTTATCTATGCTCATCTATGTGGGACTCAGACATGACTATTTGAAGTTACAAGTTGTGCATCAAATGATCTCCCTATTCGTTTTAATTTCTGTAAGTTTTCAAAACTGAGGTATCGGGTGCATAATAAAGTAGAATAGACTGATACCTAACATTATGCTTAGTTCATTGCACTGGGTTATTTTGAAGAATGAGAACTAAAGGAAAGAACAATTTCGGGTGCTGGTTTTGAGACGATATTCTTGCTCTGCTGCGTGCATGAATGAAACAATAATCCCTGTAAAGATAGTTCCCCGGTGATACATTGTATAGTTGAAGAGTTTGTGTAATTGAAGAATGAAGTGAACTAGAGATTACACACTATCATTTCACTACCCATCTGGATTCAAGCTAAAACCCATACAACTGTTCAGTTGATTTCCTACATATTTTAACTATTTGAGTGGCAGAGTGCTGAACACATTCTTCATCCTCCTGGAATTGGTTTGGACAATGTACCTCACATTTTTTTTTCATCTTCTCTGTAATTGTTCTCGAGACACGTTACATTAAAACACAATTTTTGCTACAATAGAGAAAGTAGTCAGCGGCTTTTATTCCTGTCAAAAATAGGACATTACACTTATTTTGTTTACTTCCAAATCAAATGCTTATATGTGCACAAGATAAATACAAGAGACTGATGCATAAACAAGAGAGTAGTAAACCTATCCAAGACTATTGCACAGGATCGATAAAATAGGGTGGACAACATAGCGATATACTCTGCTGAAACATTTGAATTGATTGGTATGATTTTCCACAGGTGTAAATTGCTTGCTGTGTAGTCTATTAGTTATAGCCATTTCTACTAAGTGGATGTTTATTTAGTTCCATGTCCAAAGCTTTTAACTTGTGTAAAAAACCTGGAAACAAAAAAATATTGAGTAGTTTTAGCTTTCAAGGTGAGTCATTGCAAATGTGATGTTGTTCTAAACACAGACTTAGATTCCTGGTAACTTCTCTTTTACTTTATAGCAAAAGAAAGTGAACAAATGGTACATACAAGATACAACAAGCCTATACTGTCTTGAAGGGAATACTTAAACCTAGACTGCAGATATTCTATATTAAAACTAGTAAATAATAATAATAATAATTACCATATAAAACAATTTTACTTATTGGAGAACAATTGACCAAGTTTCACCTCTTGGTAACGTAGAAAAAATTACATAGTGAAAGACAAAAACAATTATTAACTTTCCGAGCTACCCTCCAATTATTTGCCTAGTTCACTCTGCAGAAACAATGCACCTGGTGTGCCTCAGTATGGGAAATTGATTGGTTCCCGTTGAATGGCTTTCTGAACTAGCTCAGCCTGCTCCTTAAGGTGAACCTTGAGGAAACCTGTAGCTGTGGCTGCAGAAGGAGCACGACCAACATATTTAACGTCTTCATAACCTCCCCGACCTACAGCCTTCATTGAAGTTATGAGCCTGGGTAAAATATAGGTGTATCCACCCATGTTCATTGGCTCTTCCTGACACCAAACAACCTCCGCATCTAGAAGAAACACAAAGAAGTATGATGTGAAAAACAACTAGTCACAACAGACACTGCGTTATTAAAAACCTACTATTTGAAATGTATAATGCTTAACGAAAATGTTTTGCTCATTAGTTCACACATGGAACATCTATTCACTCATCAACAGAAACATCAAAATGCAATTCAATTGTGGTCTAATAATATGATTCCTTTGGCTGTTAATCACATTTATATTACATCAAGAAATCAATTAGCAGCTTCATTCAATGCAATCTCAATCTGGTATAGCCTTCTATAGGAGCTAAAATATCGAATAGAAGGAAACCTAGATGCTGGCAATCCTCCCAGCTAACTAGCAGAGACCGGCTTCAGTTGTTAGACCTACTTTGATAGCAAAAGAAAAGAAGAAAACAACTACCTCCCTATGCCTGGTCCTTTTACTAAGCTAAGGTAAAGGATGCAATGCAACAGTAATGAGATAAAAAGTAAATTTGCCTATCTAGCTGAGAAGTCACAAACAAGAAAAATTCCCACACTAATAACAGTAACAGATATTCAAGCTTCAACATGAGAAAAATAAAAATAGAATCCTTTCCAAAAGACGACTTTGACAAGACATACTTGGATATCGTTTAAGCTCTCGTTGAACAAGATCATAAGGGAAAGGACAAAGCTGTTCCACCCTACATAATGCAACATCCTTTGCATCTTCCTTTGTTCGTTGTTCATCAAGTTCATAGTAAACCTGCAAGGAATACAAGACCTTGATAGTTATAAATACATATTAGAAAACAATGACAAATCATAGATGTAGAACATATATACTGATCGAAGCACATATAAAATTTACAAATACAAAAATAAAATCCACCAGGTGTCAGAGCATAAAATCCGAGAGAAGTAGTTCCAATCAGGATCACACACCTTTCCAGAGCAAAGTACTAAACGTCTGATACCCCCTTCAACATCTGAGTGATTATTTTGGTCTTTTATGAGGCGCTTAAATCTGGTTCCCTGTTTGTCAAAACCAGGGTGTCCTTGAACATCATCAAACTCAGATAAATTTGATCTGCAAACCTTACTACGAAGCAGGTTCTTAGGGGACATTACAATAAGAGGTTTACGGAAGTCTCTATGTATCTGGAAGAAAACAAAATGCAACAGTGAGAAAATTAAGTACCATAAATTTAAGTCACAAAACTAACATCAATTAAATCATGGTACCAACTACAAACCTGCCGCCGTAAAACATGGAAAAAATTTGCAGGAGTTGTAACATTCACAATCTGCCAATTACACTCCTGAATTTGTTTCCGAAGAGTAAAATTTGCAGGAGTTGTAACATTCACAATCTGCCAATTACACTCCTGAATTTGTTTCCGAAGAGTAGGATCCATCTCAGGAATAGTATAAGGATGGTCATCAGCCATCTGCCAATAAATTAATGAAAACGTTTAAATACTATTATTCAAACTTCAAAAGCAAGCACCAAGAGACAATTACTCAAATTATTTGTATGAGATAAAAACTACCAATCTAAATTAAACAACAAGCTCTTTTTCTTTTGTCCTTCCCCTTATATGAACTTCGAAGTTTCCGACTGTAGAAGTCAGATTTCATTTTTAGATTGTTTTACTAACCAATACCCTTGGTATTCCCCAAACTAATCACATGATAAATGATAACCATGAAATAGCAAGAAGCATACTTTTTTTAAAATAAACATGCATAACACAACGTCAACTATGTAAATTGAACATGATAGAGTCCTTTAGTTGGTGGTGGGTGGTCTGTAAATCACAAAGTAGGCAAAAGTTGGATAGCAGACTCACGCAGCGGGAATAAAATCTTACGCAGAAGTTTCAAGGAATTAGAACACAAATTCATAAAAGAGGACCTGAAGAAAGCGTTCCAGTCTTCCACTTGAATGCTCAGGTCCCTGGCCATCATAACCATGAGGAAGTAACACAACAAGCCCAGTCTGACGGAGCCATTTAGACTCACCAGAACTCAAGAAATTGTCAAATATAACTTGAGCCCCGTTAGCAAAATCACCAAATTGAGCCTCCCAGATCACCAATGAATTAGGATTTTCCATCGAGTAACCCAATTCAAATCCAAGAACACCAAACTCAGAAAGTGAGCTGCATATTGCATGAAAGATTAATTAGTTAGGAAATTAAAAAAAAAAAAAACGAACTATCTTTCGTTAAATGTGAATTTCATGCTTTATTAAAGTATTTAATTTATTCTGATGTTTATTATGATTTATGATATGAGAGATGAAATTTCATCGAGATAAAGTCACACAACATCATAATCGTAGGTCTAAGGATGATTCTAATTCTAGTATACTACAATAATTACATGTGATAGGTGAGCCTTTGAAATTTGAAATGCACATACTAGGAGAAATAAAAACCAATGGAAGATCTAAATAACAATTATTAATGATTTATGTACAGTTCAACAATAAATTTCATTAAGAAAATTAGCTATATAATTCTAATTAAAACATAAGCTTTGACAAAAAATCACATACATTACAATTCACTGTAAAACATGTCACAAACTGAAACTAAATTACCACTACAAGAAAACATAAGCAAATAGTAATGAGCAAGACATGAATTCAAATTTTAGAAGCTTGAGAACATAAGAAACACAAATAGAAAAACAATCATGTCAACTTTGTTTATTTTCTTTGTACCATGATTTTATATATATATATATATATATATATATATATATATATATATATATGTGTGTGTGTGTGTGTGTGTGTGTGTGTTAAAAGCATATTACCTATTACTAATAGTAAACATCTCTTCATTTTGATTCATTATGACATGGTCAAGGGGGCAATATCGCTCTGCAGTTGTCTGATCATGAACTACAGCATGCCGATGACTAAATGTTCCCCTTTCAACATCCTGACCACTTAACCGAACATGGTTTCCTTCAACAATCAATGTTGAAAAAGCAAGAGCCTCTGCAAATCCCCAGTCAATATCTTCCCCTGTTTCAACCATTTGGGAACGCTGTTCATAAATTCTCTTCACTGCTTTATGAGGAGTAAAATTTTCAGGTAATATTGTGATTGCTTTCCCTACATTTTTCAAGATCTCTGGTTTCACACTGCACAGAATAGACCATAGATTTCAGCTTCTATGCAACAACAGGAAAGATTCAAGCATCATTAACATTAAGTTATCATACCCAGTGTTCCGGATGCGTGAAATTTGTTCAGGTGACTTGAAACCAGACCAATATGCTGAAAGCCAATCTCTCCTTTTTGGAACATAATCTTTGCTAGCCAAAAATTCATCATTTAGAATTGACGTGACCTTTTTATGTATCTTATCAATTTCTTCTTGTGTCAGCTCCCCAGATTCCAAAAGTTTTTTCTGGTAGATCTCAAGAGCTGATGGATGGTTTCGGATGACCTAATAGCCCAGAAAGTTGAAACAACTGATGAACTTGTCAAAAGGAAATATGTATGGTAAAAGAGAAAAGCGCTAACCTTATACATTTTAGGCTGTGTGAAAGATGGTTCATCAATCTCATTGTGGCCAAATCGACGGTAACAAACCAAGTCGACGACCACATCCGAATGGAAAGTTTGGCGCCATTCAGCTGCTAGTTCACAGACATGAACGACCGCTTCCACATCATCACCATTCACATGAAATATGGGAGCATTTAAGGCTTTGGCGACATCAGTGCAGTATTGTGAGGATCTTCCTGACTTGGGATCAGTTGTAAATGCAACTTGGTTGTTGAACACAATGTGTATAGACCCTCCAGTAGTGTAATTTGGAAGAGCACTAAGATGAAGGGTTTCATAGACCACACCTTGTCCAGCAAAACTACCATCTCCATGAATCAAAACCCCCATGTTTCTCACTCTGCCCGCATCATTAGAGTAATACTGCTTTGCTCGAGTTTTTCCAACAATAAGTGGATTGACTGCTTCCAAGTGACTAGGATTTGCCAACAAAGACAGATGTATCCTCCTTCCACCCCTGGTCGGGCGATCATAAGATGTTCCCAAGTGATATTTAACATCACCAGTTCCAGTGTAGAGTCCAACTTCATCCGCAGGTTCACCACCACTAAACTCACAGAAAATCTGACGAAGTGGCTTCCGAACTACATTACCCAAAACATTCAATCTTCCCCTATGTGCCATTCCCATAACTATGCTCTCAACCCCAAGATCAGACGCCCGATCAAACATCTCTTTCATACCAGGAATGATACTCTCTCCCCCTTCAAGCCCAAATCTCTTTGCAGATGTCCACTTGGTGGCCAAGAAATTCTCAAAAAGTGTACTCCAGGCAAGCCTATCAAATATAACCTCACGACGCTCCCGATTATACTCTGTACGCGTCAGGGTCTCAATTCTGTCCCGTAGCCAATTACATTTCTCACGATCCGGTATGTGCATGTACTCATATCCAATGCTTCCACAGTAGGCTTGCTCAAGCCGTGTCAAAATGGACCTAAGAGTCTGCACAGGACGATTCTCAGACAAAAACCCGGACATCTTCCACACCCCCAAAAAGAACTCCCTGTCAAGATCAGCCTCGGTGAAGCCATAAAAGGCAAGGTCTAACTCATCAGGGACTTTTCGTTCTTCCAGACCCAAAGGATCTAGCTTGGCTTTCATGTGGCCACTAACCTGGTATGCTCTCACCAGCAACAGCAATTGCATACTCTCCTGGATTGTTTGTCCAGAAATTCCAGGGGAGGTGGAAGCCTGACCCACAAAGTTCCTGAAGAAATTGTCCCAGGACTCATCAACACTGTTTGGATCAGCTTCCCAAGCCCTTTGAAGCTCCTCTAAATAGACACTACTTGTCCCATCCAAGAAGTTGTCTGTTAACTTAGAAAGGGGCACGGGGCGAGGCACCGGTGCAGTTTGCTCTTTGGATTTGAAAACTGTGGTGTGGAAGTTTCTAATTCTACATGTTGATGGAAGAACTGTGGTGGTCCTTTTCACACAATACAATGCTCTACCTCCATAGAGATTTTTCCTAATTGCATCATGCTTTGTTATGCTGGAAGCAACTCTAAGCCATGCCATAACTCCCTCTCACACACAATGAACAATCAATCAATCAAGAATATATATATCACCAATAACAGTATCTCCCCAAATGCTGCCTTAATTCTTGATGCATCACTGTTACTTATCAATTACCAAACTAACCAAAAAGGAAGCTAGTTCAACAAGAGACTGACAAGAAAGAACGTGTAAAACAGATATTCCACAAGGGTAGCAGCAAAGCAATCACTCATGATGAAGAGTGTTCAGAAATTTCTGACCTGAGATTGAAGAATGTACCTTTGCAGAAAAATGTTATGAAATTACTGACAAGACCAATTTACTGATAAGATAAACCAAAATCACTTCTGAGAAATGAAAGTACGCATAGATAAACTGAAGGAGTGAATTCAATGAAAGCAGAAAGAGAGATGACAATCAACTGAGAGATAGAGATGAACAGTGGACATTGTTTCGTGATGGTAATGAATGGAGTTTTGAAGTGTTAATTTAATGGCAAATCAACTGCTTGTTTCCAGAATATGCTAATGCTCATGCAATGCATCCATGCTTCTATATCTTCTTTCTTACTTTTTTTTTTTCATTTTAGTGGGTCCTCAGCCCCACCAACATTATATTTTTCATTTTTTTCGGAGTTTCTTTCAGTTTCTAGAGCCCACTTGAAAGGTTGACAAGATGGCACCGTTGATAAGGTTAGGTTTTCTTTCTTCTTTTTTTCTTTTTTTGTTATGAGTAAATATATACATTTTCCTATAAACATTCTCTTATTTCCTTTTTATAAAAAATGTTGAACTTACCTATTGTGATGATGATAAATATAGATTAGTCTTCACATAAATTAATTACAAAAAAAAATCATAATCTTATTTCGTTTTAAATTCTAAGTCAATGAAGATTCTAGAGATATTCAATCTTTTAAATGATTGGCCTAGTTTTTTTTATATGAAATCATTGACGAACAAAATTAGTTTTTTTTCTAATTAAGAGTGATTACTGTATAAATCATCACTTAAACTATTTAAGTCAAATATCCTAAGAATAAAAATTAGATTTATGATATTATTAATTAAAATTGATAATTTTACTTTAGATTAAATTGTGTCTAATTACATAAGAATCTAACATGGTTAGAAATAACATCATCTAACTCTTATTAATTTCAAATTGTAATTTTATTCCATATTTTATAATTGATAGATGTTCCTGTCATTGTTTTATCTAGTTTGCATATTATTATTATCTATAGTTGTTTCTCCAGTATCTTTGTAATTTATGTTTTTTTTTTTTCACTATTTTTAGAAGTGTATTCGAATTCATAAATATATTTTTAATCCATAAAACAAATACTATATCATTGATATATACAAGATGAATATTTATCCCAGAAAACTAAAGAAAGTGTTACTAAAATTATTATATAATATTCAATCCCTCATATATCATATTTAGATTTATATATACATATCATATATAATATAATATTTAAATATGTAAATAAATATTCTGCAATTAAATTTTAATATGGTTATAGTAGAGAATTATGTTTAAAATAAATTTAGTTATAACTTAATATTATTTTTTAATACTTTTAACATTTTATTTGACCCAAAGTTATATTTTTAATATTTTAAATTATTTAATTATATATATATATATATATATTAAATATCTAATGTAAATTACTATATAATACATTTTAAATATAAAATGATTGTTTTTACATTATTATAAATAAGGGCTGAATATTTAGTGTTGTTTTAGATTGTTTGGGAGTAAAATTGTATTTTTTTTAAAGAAAAATATATTTCTTAATTGAATTATCATTTCTTAACCTAATATGTGATCTAAATATTGAATGAAACATTACTTTTTACATAAATAAATATTTAATAAATTATAGTAGACAAAATAATCACATATTGATTATAATTAAATTGCAATATTTGTTAAATATATAAAGATAAGTATATTAAATCATACAAATATATTTATATTTACAATTTTCACTGAAGATTTTATAAGAATTATTATTATTATTATCCTTTTACTTTCTTAGTATTATGTTTAAGATTAAAAAGAATTGTTTACATCTTCACACAAGTAAATTATAATAACAAAATATGCTTCTTTTAGTAATAAATTTTGAATTTAGTAATTTATTAATACATATAAAGACAATACAGGTGTACAAGTACACAACTTCTACCCTAAAAAAATGAAATAATAAAAAGAGTATTACCAATACTGAATAAAACAATCTCAATCAGAACAAGAACATCAACTATTAAATCACTATCTGAAAAAACTTAAATGAGAAACAAACACTCTCAATGACAAAGGAAATAACACAAAATACCTCTCAGTATATCAAATGAAAAACAATAAACTCTCAGTGGCAAACAAGCTACAAACATAAAACACTAAATTAACACTTTTTATCCACATAATCTAAAGTTTGAAAAAGTCAAAAATTTATCACTAATATTAGGGCTTTAACCCAAAGGGAGCCCTTCCAGAAATTCTCAAAGGCCTGGGCTGAACCCAGGCCTATGAGGGGGTTTGGAAATAGTTTTCAACCAGCAATAGACGCGCCTCGGTTAGAACCTCACTAGCTGCGTCATTGCCCCAAGCGCAAAGATGCTTGAGAAAAATTTTGTAGCTCTATTTATCTTAGCGTCTACATGATTCATCTCTTGCTCTAGTCCATGTGGGACTTCAGCTAACAAGTTCCACCAGTGAATCGAACAAGATTTTTCAAAAGCTGCAATGATTCATTCCGAGCCACCCATCTAACTGGATAAATATCATCTTCAACAGCTTTCATCAACTACATATGTCTTCTTTTACCATGGCTGAGTGCAGCGACTTCCAGCATTTTTGTCAGTATACACATAAGGAGACTAGTAAAGTATTCACCAAAAGCTTCCTGGAAAACGTAAACTCACTCGTTGAAGCCAATCAGAATAATTAAAAGCTTTCTTTGGATTTAGCCTGTTTTTTTTACTCTACCTTATTTTATATTGCTTCTAGGTTACAATCAAACGGATGCTTTCATGATATATTTAAGCTTATAGTTTTTCCTGTGAAAGTAGTTGTCATATGTATAATGTCTTTTTTGTATAAACATATGACCAATTTTTTAGTTATCTTTGTTCTGTTATGTTAATACCATCAACTTGGGCGTTTGATAAAAATAAATATAGGAATTCTTGTGTCACTTATATCTGTCCCTTTTTAGTTGTCTTTCAGAAATAACAAATGATTAAAGTAGAATACAGTTTTAAAGATAGGACTGAACTAGTTAGATCTTTTACACTGTGCATGTTCAGCCACCCTAAGAATTTTGTAGGTTTTAAAGTAAAGGATTTCGGCACTTAGATCAAATATGAGCGAGCTTAATCAATTGAGAATGGTAACTAGCAATGGTGAACGTTAAATGAAAAAGAAAGAAGCCATGAAGAAGGAGTTCTAAATAAATATATACAAGGAAAGACTAGCTAAGTCACATGAATCATTCCATAAGTATCCTCGACCATCTGAACTACCAGTTCTTCTTTTTAATACTGATTACGGTGTTATGTTTGCGACTTATTTATTTTTAGAAATGTCAGTATATCCTTTCTCATACAAATTTCATTGAAACAAGTTAAGGAAATAGATAGTTGTAAAGGGACTGGATACAATTCCGTTTTCACATCACTAACCGTGTCTAATTTGACCCAACTAATGCACAAATAGTTTTATAATTTATAATTAACATTTAAATTTAGACAAAGTATCAGGTGGGTTTCACCTAATAATGTCATGGCTGAAGTGTTGTAGTGTAGATGTCTCAGTCTTTGCACATAAAGCTCCTATTATAACAAGTGAGTGAAAACATGACGTTCTACTCGAGTAAGAAAGGTGTAAAGAATTTAGTAGCAATCACTAGCTTGATGATGTGAATCTGGTTAGCTACTCTCTAGATGTTTATTTTTTCCATATATTCTGTAATTGAAATTGGCCTGCTTTGTACGTCTCTGCTGAGATAATCTTTCAACAGACGCAACAAATCATCCTCATATTTCACTTTTGATTATGATTCCAGGAGTATTTAGTTGTTGGATTTTATTAGTCGTGTCTCAATATCTTGCTTCTTTATGGCCTGAAAACTTGAGATTTTTCCAAGCCGAGGTTTGTTTTTTCTTCTTAGAAGTTTACTTCACAATTGGCTAGTGGCATCGAGCTAACTTGTTTTTTATTCGGTTACAAACTGCTTTGTTACCAAAAAATTCTGAGGATCGCACTAACATTACCAAATATTTTCTTCAATTTGGCACCGTCAATTGTTGGTATATCATTTTGGATTGATTGTCTTTTTGACAAAATTTTATTGGTGTTACTGTTAACATCAACTTTACCAAAATTCTAAAATTTTAAACAAAAAGGTCAATATTTTTTTCTATTGAAAACAAATGAATCAATACCTTTTATATTTTATATACATACATATATATATATATATATATATATATATATATATATATATATTTACTAATAGTTAAAAAACATATTTAGCTGAAAAATCATTCTAACGGGCAAATTTGATCTTTGACAACACGATTGATTTTGAGAATGCCAGATCTCCTAACTGTTTGCAACCATCCTATATCAAACAAAGCTCAATTGGACAGTGATTTTCACAAGGTAATTTCTGTTATTTTCTCGAGATTTAAAATAAGGGAAAAAATAGTCATTTTATCTTTCAAACGAAAACAAGTAGACATGTTAGCGTTTTTTTTTTCTAAGTTCAAAATGAAGCAAGTACTAAGTGAAATCAAGGATACAAAGAAAAGGACAAGCTTCTCTCACGTTTACTTTAACCGTTGCTGCCAAATATCTCTATCAGACTAAAGTAAAATTTATAATATTGGGGGATTAGACGATGATTTTACATGCCTAAACATTTGAACTTTTTTTTAAGAATTGCGACAACCCTCCCTATACCATTTTAACTTTTTTCTGAGAATTGCTACACCCCAACCATTTCGCGGTGGGTGAAAATATTGCAACATTATCATATGCAATATTAGAATTACCCGTACTATTTTAGTGAATTCGGCATTTCACATTGCGGGTGAAATAACAAGTGCTTCTGTTTTGCTTCCTAGTAAAAACATATTTGCCTGTAGATTCCTAAGACAGGCAACAAAATTGAAAAACATTCGGACCGATATTTTGCAAATGATAAAGCTGTTGTGATAATCTATCCGCATCTAATCAAAATATACTTTTTAAGAGTCAGACTACAAATGAAAGAGGAAAGTGAAGCAAATTAACCAGTCACAATAAATTCCACCAACTCAATGAGCAAAGAATTTAAAATATTAACTTTAAAACACGACATCTGAAGTTGGGAGATACAGAGGATCAAATACATGCTCCCACTAATAATGTCATCAGAATAACATTAGCAACCAGATGAGTGCCATTGTAGAAACCTGCACCAATTGCTGCAGATACTGATCTTTTCATGAACCGCAGCAAGCCGACTTTTGTGCTGGTTGGCCATCACTGGCTGCCTGGTCAGGTTGGTTAATCTTGATAGTTTGAGGCTGAATCAACAGAAAAGAGAATATCAATGTTCAGCAATACGGAACAAGCCACAAAATTATTAACTAATTTGAAAGTTAGCATCAAGAAAAATCCCAAATACTTCCTAGCAATTATTTTTCTTCAAGTACTTGATATACACAGTGGCAAAATTTGTCTTTCACACAAAGGAGAGCACCTGCATGTCTACGGGGAAAAGGAAAAACAAAGGACATAGAGAAATGAGTTGACAAATTACCTCAGCTCTTGAATCTGTGTCTGCAAGCCTTTGCTTGATATCTCTTGCTATTGAAAAGAAAACCTCTTCCACATTCATGTTGGTTTTTGCACTCTGCATGTTTTCTTCAATATAAATATAACAAAATTACATATAACTGAAATGAAAATGTGATTGTCACTCACAGTTTCAAAGAACTTGATACCATACTCATCAGCGAGTGCTTGACCTTTGGCGGTAGGTACAGCCTAGAGGAGAAAGGAAAAACTTTTGCTTGTATCAATACAGACAAAGGGACAGCTTAACCACATATCAGTAAACAAACGTAGCTTCAGGAGTGTGGAGTCAAAAATGCAATAGCTGTTTATTTCAAACCCTAGCCAACTAAGGAGGTAAAATGTAAATCAAAAAGTACCCCAAGATGTGCATACCCTTTTACTTTCATCCATATCAGCCTTGTTGCCAACAAGTATCTTGTTTACATTGTCAGAAGCATGTTGCTCAATATTGCGAATCCAATTCCTAATATCTGGATAACAATAAACAAGCTACATTGAAAATCAAAAGATGCGAGGAAAAGATGAAGTAAACTTAACCAAAATGACAGTGGCTATCTGTTAAATGTAAATCACAGAAGAACATGGAAAAAATAAGAAATGGGGAAAATATAAAAGAAAATACAATTTATTGGATCAACTAAAGCTGAAATGAAGTCTATAATTCCCAAACATTAGTGCATAAATACATCAAAAGAATGTCATTCATTGAAATATCTTTAAACTTCCAACAAAACCAGGGAAAGGAGATTACTATTGAAAGATGCTTCATCAGTAACATCATAAACCAGCAAGATACCCATGGCTCCTCGGTAATAAGCTGCAACAGCGTGTAACATTATAAGACAACTCGTCCTTTCATCAAAGAAATGGAGCATGCACTAATATTTGATTTATCCAAAGTATTAAAAATCAAGTAAGAATTGAAGTTGATAGATTAAAGCATTGTGTCCTTCTATGAAAGTATAAAACAAGCCAGTGTGCACCTAAGATTTAAGAGTCCATGAATTAAACAATTATTCCTTAAAACGAATTACTTCCACCCAAAAGAATTATTTTTTATGAAAAAAAACTTCTCAAAACATAATTGAGTTATTGATAGTACTTATAAATACTATTTTCCTTCAAATGCTCATTTTTATCAATCACAGATGTATACTTCAACTAACTTATACAGGAATACATGTAAAAACATACGATATAATTACCTACCAAGAGGACAGCTGCCAATTATGAAATTGCAGAAAGGTTATACAAAACAAAACAAATACCTGTGGTAATAGTTCGAAATCGCTCCTGACCAGCAGTATCCCAGATTTGTAACTTAATCCGTTTGCCGTCCAATTCAATGGTTCTTATCTTAAAATCGATGCTGCCATGGATTATTATAGTAAGATTATTTGTGTACACAGAGATTAAACAAACAGACAATCTGCTACCCCAACAACGAAAAATTGTCCATATTAAAAATGACATTCACTAAGCACTATATTTTAAATGAGCTCTAGACATCAAGTCCCATCTTTGCAATGCTTCCAAAAACCACTAAAAGAGAAACATAAGCATTACAGACAAAATAGCCAATAGTGAGTGGAAAGAGGAAATATAAATGTAAGCATCTGGAAACAGGACAACAACCGCTACAACAATTTTCAGAAGAGATAATAAAAAAGGTGTCAACAGATATTATACTAACCCAATGGTGGTGATAAAACTGGTTGTGAATGAACCATCAGAAAATCTCAAAAGCAGACAACTCTTCCCCACACCTACAATCATTTAGAGTCAGAAAGATTTTTTTTTAAGTATAGAGCAGAGGCAATAATCCCTGTCCTATATTGAGCAATTAGAAACTATCTCCATAAAAAACTAATTCGAATAGGGAAGGAAAACATGCAATCAGGGTTCTAAAAAGTGATAGAAAACGACGGCATAAAGTTAAGAATGAAAGGTGATAGATAAATGAGAGAACAACGAAAGATATTTGTAGCAGAGCATTGAATCTGTGATTGATAAAGCGAAGGAAAAAGGGGAATTAAAAAACGAACCGCTGTCGCCAATAAGAAGAAGTTTGATGAGGTAATCGTAATCGGCACGAGCTCTAGCGGGCGCTGCTGCCATGGTAGCGTGAGAAAATGCCCTAATCGTCCAGAAGAGAGATCGGAACGGGAATGGGAAATGGTTAGAAGGAGAAGGAAGTGTTGGGCGACATGGAAAGGGATCGAAGACCAAATGGGTTTGTGTTTTCTCTTTCTGCGCTTATCATCATCATATCATTGCACTCTCATCCCGTTAAGTTTTCTTCTTACATGTTCCTGCCCACACTCTATTTTCCCCTCCCTCACTTTCTTCTCTCTTCTTCTTAATTTTAGGTTAAACACGTACTTTAATTATGCAATAACTTGTTATTAGATAAATTACTTTATTATTATTATTATTATTATTATTATTTTAATGCTATTTTTATTTGAATTAAAACACATTAGTAATAATATAGTGTTTTTTTTAAATGACAACAATACACTTTATAACAAACTTTAATAAATAATTTTTTTGGTATTAATTTAAATTATTAAAATATCAAATTTATGCCACAAGTAAAGTCTATGCTTATAAAGAATCTTTATATTTTCTTTCAATCATAAATTTTGTGTAAAATAAATATGTTAATTTTACGCTAAATATCAAATAAATTTATCCAAATCCTAACTTCCATACATTTTTACAAGATTTAATTACACTTTAGAATAATTTTTAGCCAAATTTTGAAAATTAGAAAAAAAATTATGCAATCAAGTTTTTCTAGAATTTTAATGATCATTTTAACCGGTTAGTTTTAGATATATTTTGTCACTTTATTAATTTCAATGACTAGTTTCACTAATTATTACAATTTAAAAAAAAATGGTTACTTGAATTCTTTTAATTCTTTTCACCAAAACCAAACATTGTGTAAAACTAAATTTACCATAATATACTATGACAATGGATCATTAAATAGTTGTACAATTTTTTCATATTAATAGTATAATAAAATTAGAAACATATTAGTAGCAAAATTTATAATCACGTAACAGTAACAGTGTTCCTAGCAACTTAATTTGCTTTAGAATCAAAGTCATACATCAATTTTGCCTGCAAAAGTAATTGAACCATTTTCAGAAGAATTTAGAGAAAAATAAAGTATAAGAACATAGAGGAAATTATAAATACTAAATGGTATACAGCTATGACAATGATTATACATTATATAGGAAGGTAAAAGATGTGACAGTAGAAAATGGTGAAGTATCTACCAAGAAGCCAACTTCAGAATATGAAGTAGTAACATTTTTAGGCTATTATCTGGACAGATTTTCAGTAATAGTATTATAAAGATTACTAAATATTATTACATTGAGTTCTAGTTTGTGAAGAACTCATGAACACAAACCCAAACAACACTCACAGTTCTTTACAGATCACACTAAAAATCAAGCCCCAAGATTTCCTGTTTGGTGAAATAAATTGTAGCTCACTGTCCCAGCAACTTCCATTTTTCCACCACCTCCATACTCACTCCCTGCAAAAAAACACAGTAATAATAGGACCAATCTTCATGGTATTTTGCATGAATAGAAATATATAACCCCTTTTCAAATACTTATCCAAGTATATTTTCAAATTTTACAATTTCAAAGGACTCTAATTACATGCAAAAATCATTTATTCACTGTTTTTCCTGTGACATTGACCAGTCACGATCACAAGTAGTTAACAGCACACTTGTTGGTACCAGAAAAGACAGAAATTAACATTACCACATACGAGAAGGATGTTGTAGTAATAAACTTAAAAAAAAAAAATTTAAAGTTGAAATCATCTTATACATCTTAGCAATTTCATATTCTCTAGATACTGAAATACACAAATTAGTTCAGTTTAACTTAAAAGAAAGTTTGATTCATTTTTTATATATATAAATATTTATAGAAAATTGATTTATTCACTGAAGATTGCTGATGAAGAATCAATAAGATGTTACATACTTGAGTTAGACAGCACCTCATTAAAAACAGACACATGACTTAAATTTCTTGTGGATTTCAAACTGCCATCTGATGGGAACATGGAGTACGGTTTGCTGGAATCAGGGTTCAAGTACTGCAAGTCAGAGTACACGTGAGGGTTCTGAAAGCACAACTTTTCAGCCCCTCCAGAAGTTATGTTATGCTGGGACAGAAACTCCGCAGGTTTTGTCTTCTTATCCTTAGAATCAACCTCAGTGTCCAATTCTGATTCAGTGTTGCTAGCAGCCACATTTTGCAGTTTTCTTTTGGATCGAGCACGCCTATTCTGAAACCAGTTATACACATTTGTTTCAGAAATTTGACCATGCTGGCCCAGTTCAGCAGTGATCTCCTTGATTTTTTCCTTGCTTGGAGTTCCATTTCCCTGATCAAATATACGTTCAAGAATCTGAAGCTGCACAGGTGTAGGTGTCCACCTTTGTCTGGATGTTATTTTGTGTCCGACAGATGTCATCAATGGATCACAGTATATGTTTCCCAATCTAACCCCTAATGAAGAAAACAAATCAAAACATCAATATTTTCTTCAGATAACGCTGGATCTTAGTTAACCAATGTCAATCTCAAGAGTAAATTTTTAACAGCATGAGGTTCAGAAATGTTTACTGTTCAATCCAGCAATATATTATCTGTGTTCTGTCCCTCTTAATTTTAAAAAATAACAGAAATTAGTTGAAAATTTACTGCACAACTTGGAGATTATACTTTTGTGGCGCAAAAGTTGTCAAGGCAAAAATGCAAGAAAAAAAAAATAAAAAATCAACCAGGCTTGACTTTCTTTGTAGATGACCAGTTTGATATTTGATATTCAGAAGTTTCCTCTATTTCAAATATTTGTCACTTCAAATGATCTCTAGATGAGATAATATTACTGGAATAAAATGAGAATTCAATAAAAGGAATCAGTAGTTCCTTGAAGTGAAGTATGTAATGAAAGTAATGTTATATATCTGCTAACATTTTTAAAAATACAAAATTGAAAAGTGCATTTAATATTAAAGCATAAAAGTTATGGTTATTGGCTATGATTACAAATTTGAAATCCAATGTGCCTTGTTTATAGGAGAAAAAGGTATGGCTGATATTTTGCCCTGTCATTTTCTCATTTGTTGAAACAGGCTGGCTTAAATAGTAGAAAGTTGAAATGCATGCATTAAAAATAATAACAATATTACTATTATTATTAATAGTAGTGGGTTGATACCTGGAATCCCATGAAACACGATTTAGATAAATCAAACTGAGAAAAATGGTAAAGAGAAGTTGAAAACCTAATCAGTCAAAGCTTTTGATTTAACAAAAACAGGGGTAAGAAGCAAGATACCATGAATGATATAATTCACAGAGGGCATAATCGTGGTGAGAACAAAACTTAACGTAGTTCATAATAATTACACAAGTTTAAAAAGATGATGGTAAGAAATAGGGAAAAAGAAAGAAGAGGGACCTGCAAGATCCTGTTGAGCTGAGAGTGTTCTGTGCATCTCAATAAGTTGGTCACAAATGGTGCCATAAACAGCAATTTGTTTCCTGAGGGTTTCCAACTGCTCATCAGTCATGACTTTGACATACATGAGCTCTCCGTTGGCATCGACATTCACGTTATTCCCACTCTGCTGCCACCTCTGCAGGTGTTTCTGCAATTCCACCACGTTCACCATCTCTTACCTTTTCTTCTTCTTCTCTGTCTCTCTGTGGTGATGATTGTGCTCTAAATTATGATGATGTTGTTGATTTGATGATAAGAGAGAGAATGAGAAAGAGAAGTCAGCAAAGGTTGTCAGAAAAGCAGAAAGTGAGAGAAAAAAGACAAAAGACACGAACATTTTAAACGAGAAACTTGATCCTCTTTAACGCTGTGCCACATGTGACTCCTTCCTTATTATTTATTTATATTATTTCTGCGGTGCCTACTTATTGTAACATCTTTTATAATAAAAATTGCAAATCTTTTAAAAATATATAGGACTGGATTTGTTCAATGTTATTTCCAAACTCTCACAGATCTTCAAGTATAATCAAGGTTGTGTGTTTTTTCTTTGTTATAATGGAACTTGTTTTCAATAATAATAACAATAACAACCTGTTTTTACTTCATTCTTTCATTTATTTTTTAATTAAATAATTTTATTATATTTTTTAAATAACTATATTATTGGCATAATTAATTTTTCTATATAAATATTATATGTGAGTCAATCTTAATAACACTGCTCTAGCATGCAGCATGCAAAGACAAACGTTTGATTACATTATATAATATTAGAATGTTAGAATCTTTCACCAGCTACATAAATTACACACACACTTTGATTTAAATTTTGTTCTAAACGGAATCCATATGGCAAATCTAGATTCAAAATCTAATCTTATTGGGCCTTTCTAGATTTTCTTTTATTAGAGGTCGTTATTGTGTTAAGAGGAATAGAATTTAAATAGAAAATTTGTGTGAAAATATTTGTGTTGATTTTAAAAGAAAATTAATATGACCAAGTTATTTTACATTTCAAAGATATGGAAAACCTTTGACATTTATTATCTTATTTTATAATTTTTCACTTATAATTTATAATCTTATATTTTTGTTTTCTACTCCATGAACAATTATATGTCTATTACATATACATCAATTTGTATTTTTTTTATCAATACACAATTCTTATTTTTCATTATTAAGTAATATTTTTAGTTATCTACATTTATTTTTAATATGAAATAGGTTGATTATTTTATATTTATACATATAATATGCCAGTTAATTATGTTTTGATTTTGATTAATTTATCTTTAGTATGACTTCGTAAAAAAATAATCTAGATCATGAAATTTTGAAAAGGACGTAATCGAATATATAAAGATGATTAAAAAATATTATTAAATTTATTACATATGAATTCATGTTGATAGGTATACACGATCTGTTTATAGGTGGTTTTATGTTATTTTTTTACAATAAAATTGGAATTATATTTAAATAAAAATTCAATTTACTTAAATATATTAATTTTGCAGTATAAATTATTTATAACATTTAATTTCTTAATAATGTAACTTTAATGTATGATGTTATTTTTTATTACGAGTTCTTTTATTATATTTAAATTTTTTTAATTAGTAGGTGAAATAAAAATTGATATTTGTAATTAATTATTTATAAATAATTTAAAAATTATTTTTATTATTTTTTAATTTTTAAAATTTAATTACTTTAAATTAATTATTTCGTATCTTTATTTTACATTATTTTTAATAAATGCTAAGTAAGAATATTTTAATAATTTACTAACTTGTTTTATTAATATATTTATTATTTTTCTTTTTTCTTTTTTAGACACGATAATCATACCATCATATTTATAAAATCAGATTAAGATACATTTATACATTAATATATTTTAATTTTTTAAATATAATGAGAATGTAAAATATCAATCATACGATGAAATCATTAAAGAGTTGTCATTTTTAAAATATATCTCGTGATGGAATCATAAAAGAGTTTTTTTTTAATCTGTTTGTAATTCACCGTAGACTCGTGAATAAAGAAAAGATACATAAGATATTCAATAACAACTAAAAGGAAAAAAATTGAATAAAATAACTTCTAATTATTTAGCTATATAAGATTGAATAAAATAATTTCTAAATATTTAACAATCTCAAATTATATCGATATCAATAATAATTATTTTAAAATTTATTTATATCAATTATTTTTATTTGTTAATGATATAAAAATGGAATTATATCGTCATGAAAATAAATATACATTTATATATATATATATATATATATATATATATTAATTCATATAAATTATTTAATCTCATGTGAACGAAGTAATAAGTAATAAATTTAAAATAATTTGTGTAGAGTTGATAATGGCGCAAAACCCGGTTACCAGATTTATATATTTTTAATAAAAGATAAGGAAACCTTTCACCAATGGGTCCATAGCTCAGTGGTAGAGCATTTGACTGCAGATCAAGAGGTCACCGGTTCGAACCCGGTTGGGCCCTGTGATTAACAATTTTTTATTTTACATATATTCACTTCGGTATTTGTTAGATATTTAAGAGTACTGCAATATTGTCAGGATGAATCATTCGTTTCACAAGGGACGTCCATTAAACCATTTATCACATCGATCAATAAAATAATACATAAAGGGATAGATTATCTCATTCTAAAGGGCGTCATTGTTGCATAGCATTTGAAGCGTAAGTTCGTTTACTTAGTAAAGTGAATGGGTGGGTGTATGAAATAAATTATTCGTATTTGTGAAAAACATTTGGTCACAATCTTAAATATTTCTTTTGTAATATTCCTGAAGTCTATCTACTCTCCTCCAACACTAATCGATTTTCTGTTAATTTAGAAGTTGAGTGCAGCCCAATCAAATTCAGAGGTATTGTCCTGCTATAGTTCTGGACAAGCTCAATGGAAAAGATGCCAACAACATGAATCTTCATGTAGATACATCAACTTCAAAAGAAAATATATGTATATGTTAATTAGCTACTTTCACTCGTAGGCAAAAATACTCGAAGCCGCCAGGAGAAGGCCTCTGAATTGTGAAGTTCAGTCTTAACTTTCTGGGCATATTGCTCCAACGTATGTGCATACTCATTTATGGTATCATTAGATATTGTATCTTCAGCTAATCTCACGGCTGCCATCTGAGATAATTGAAAGTTTTCTCCCATTAGCTGTAGCTTCCTACATGTTTCGCACTCGCCAAACATCATTAGGGAAACCAACAAAGATTTCAGCTCACGTCTAGCTTCCACTGTCAGGGACATGCCTTTCAAATGCTCCACCAAAGCCATCTCCTCATCAGGACTACAATAAGGAAAAGAAAAACATTACATAACAAGCTAATTAGCCATTCGTGATTAATGAAAAACAATAGCAGAGGATGAGTGGCCGGAGGAAACAAGAACTCCTCATATCAAGATACCTCCCAGGGCGGATTTTTCCTCTCTTCTTCTGACGCCTAGCGTCTCTTGCCTTGCTAGTAACAGCCGAGCTAAACGAGGCGGCAGAACTTTTCCTGGTCCTGTTGATGAAATGAGGCAAATAAATGAAACTTCAGACACCCAAAAGTACAACCTTTGCAATTCTTTTTGTTTGAAAAGAAAAGCATGGCTCAAATTTATCATTTATTTAATGAAATAGAAAGGATTAGGTATTTTTTACAATTCATTTTTAAGAAAATGAGTCATAAAGAGTAACTCAATCATGAACAGTCAAATAAAATGTAACATTACAAAGAGAGTTTAGAACCATAAATGTGGTCAGATGGATAAAAAATGTGCTTGAATGTGACAATGACGCTGTAACCCCCGGGAGGGACTGGGAAAGAAGTGTCAGACTTCACTCCAAAAAAACTGTTTCAATTCTATGCCGTTCAACATGAAGACAAAATAAATTCAGTTATCACATATAATATGAGGTAGAACAGTCATAAAGAACATAACAGCACATTCTCACTGCTAGACCTTTGAAGCAAACTTTGAAAACAGTATATTCAATTAATACGTGAAAGATTAATTGAAGGAGTTTCATGTCCAATTGGTTGGTTATGTTCGTTTTAACATATTAAGAGGCCAAAATGGTAAAGTCCGTCCTAGAAGTCAAGCAAAACTGATTCAGAATATTAACACAAAGCACATCAAACTCACATTCTAAAACTGGCAAATTATAGAGACACATGGGACCAAGGAAAAATACATACCCTGTGGTGTATGCACTCATTCCACTAAAATTGCTGCTAGCTTCTGAGGCAGCATCATCCTCAAGATCACTCGCTGCTCGTTCCTCTGACTGGAGCTTCGCTGCAAGAAGTAATCTTCTCTGTCGAACAGCAAGGTAACGAGCCAAGTACTTACCCACTTTCTCTAAGCCTTCCTCATATTCACTGGTAAGTGTGCTTGCACATTCCAAAGATGCATTCTTCACTGTTTCAATTAAGTCATCTCTTCTATGCATAAAAACAACCCTCAAAGCCTCCTCCCATTCCCTTGCAGTAATCAACAAATTAACACCAGTGTTAACATCTCCACAGTACTCCAGGGCAATTTTCGCAGCCTCCCCAGGTTTACCAAGTGCTTGAAGTTCTTCACAGAGCTCACCGGCAATACACAGCATCTCTTCCTTTCCCATATTAAGTAACCCAGCAACTGTAAGCACCCCACTCCAGTTATTAATAGCTCGATAAGACTTCATGGCTTTATCCAGATTGAAACAGGATAAGTAAATTGTGGCAGCATCTTCAAAGCATTTTTCATCACTAAGATAATCCCCCCATGCCTCAAGAAATTGCATCTGCTCAGTGTGGCCAGTAAAAAGTTGAAGAGCCAATGGAAAAAGTTGAGGATTTTTCTTCACAAGTGTCATACAATCATCATAATAACAATCTCCAGCAGAAGCAAGGTGTCTGAGAGCCTTTTCAAACCTTTTCAGCTTAAGGTCAATATTATATTGCATTAATTGAGTAGGCATACGCTCCAATACCTGTAAGAATGGAAGAAACTCCTTTGGATCTTTCTGAGCATTTAATGCCACCATAGCTGAAAGATTTACATCATAAAGACCCAAAGCAGCTTCATAGACAGCATCAGAATCAGCTAACCACAAAAGATGCTTTAAAGCTTCTTCAGCAGAAGGGTAAGACATTCTCCCCTGGTCATCAGCATGAGACAATTCCTTTTCTCGGATAACTTTTATCCTCTTTAAAGCATCTTCAAGTAATGGAGGATCACTTCGAGCTAGAGTGGTCAAAATGCAAAGCTCCCTTGCCGGACTCTCTGTTATGTGATCCTCAAGAGCTTTTCTTACAGCCATCAGAACAGAAGAAACCTTGTTACCGGCAGGACAATTCTTGGGGGGGCCAACTAACATAACATTAGGAATCTTTGGACAGGGTACAGATACATAATTTTTATAGAGATTTTCCATAATATTTTCATTCTTTACAGAGCAAACAAACTCAGTTATGTAACTGAGATTGTTAACCTGCTTGACAAATTCAGAAGCTGATTGGGAAAAGGCCTGCCAGCCACAGTAATCAACAATTACATTGAAATCAATTCTATGCCTTCTAACCATAAGTAATGCATCTTTAAAGCGCTTTTGAACTAATGCATTAATAATGGAAACCAGAACCAACTTTCTAGGGTATACACATTCTAGGTTTCCCCGGGTAGTTTGCAATATAATGGAAGCTTTATCCCCATGTAATACTCCAACAATTTTAGCACCTCTCTCCCATATATTTATGTAGCTTTCATTTTCATCTTTCCTTCTATTGTTAATCCGAACAAAGTGACCATACTTTAAATCTAACTCCCCGTTAAATACATCAGCAACGTCAACAATAAAAAGTAAATCTTGTTTAGTTGCAAGAATTAGGTGTGACATAACTTGGTCTGCCGAATTTGAGTAAAATGAGAAGCTGCTGCAGTTGTTGCAAACTATCCCCCCATTAACATGCAGTCTGCCAAACTCATCCAGTCCAAAAAGTACTGGTTTTGATAGGCCAGCAGCACTGCCAACTAGCACTAAACTCATCCAAGGGCAAGGCGCTGAAAAAACTCGTTGTTCTTGAACTAGAGATCCTCTACTAATCCCAAATTTAGATACATACTCTTGGATTTCCCCCCTAGAAAACTGAATGTATGCAGTGTGTTTATTAGCAGGATATGAAGCGATGCCAATAACCAGCTCTTCAAGGGTATGTTGTTTAGAAACTGTTGCCTCCCATCCTGAACAAGTCAGCAATCCTGGAACAACATCCTCAGAACATTCAAGTTCCACCTCATGCAAATGGAAGCCTCGAAGTCCACCATCAGTTGATGTTTGAAACGAGCCATTACTGTGACTGAAACCATAATGTGAAACAGTTAATAGCGTATGAGAATCCAACCATTCAAGATGTAAAAGGGATCCGCGCTCCAATTCTGTATGAGAGGCTTCAACATTGAATTCTTTCCCCTCGAGTTCTTCCCAGGTTTCAATTGACGGAAGCTCCACAATACACATGCTTCTGTCTGAAAGAAATACAGCTAACCGGTTCTTTGAGTTTTTACAATATACTGCCATACCCCGGACATGGGAAGAAAATTTCAGGGTAAATAAAAACATAGTAGGTGGCATTAAGGACAATGACAGTGGGGTTACACAAATATTGGAGCCATCAACGACTAGTGCAACAGAATTCTCCATAACAGCCGTGATCCAAACGAAGTTAAAAACCGTGACCTGACCACCAAGAGTCCAACAAATTAACTGCAGAGGCTTTGTCGGATTCCAAATGAATCTAACTTCATCTCGCTTCAAGAATCTAATTTCATGCTTCAGGTACCAGTGGTTATTACTAAAACACCATATCCTCACAGCATCATAATTTTTGCATTCAACAACACCTGCAAGAAGATCAGAACTGCAATTCCACTTCAGAAATTTCACTTTTGCGTCAACACTAAACCTACTTCTCTCTAATCCGTTCCTCTCAAAGAAAACAACAGAGGAACATTCATTTTCATCTTTCCCATCACAAACAGCTGCAACTTTAGCACCACTGGGCATCCACTCCAAAACTGCCCCGGAAAAATTTCTTGGTTCCGAAGAAGCAAGCAAATCCCCAGAATCTCGATCCCAAACCTTAATTCTTTTAAGCATAGAATCAGAATCGAACACATCACTCATGGTAGCAAAATATTTCCCATCACCTCGCCAAGACACAGGAAAAAAGTTCCCTTCACCTGTAAAAAACAGAATATTCACTATCCTAAATTAAACTTCGCACAGAGACGCAACTCAAACAAACAAATTTACAAATCATGATACGAGTATTAAGCTCATCAATTCATTTTCTCTCTCATCCCACTTTCACCTCATTTTCTTCTCGCTATCTCTCTCTATTCGTTTCTACTACATAATTTCACACATCTATCACTTTCTCTCCATATACCTTTCTACTTTCCAGCCTTACATCTCAAAATCAAACATCTTTCTAACAATACCGACAGAACACAAAGCAATAATTAGAGGCGTTGAAATTAAATTAGGGTTGCAGTGTCCTTACTTACGTGACAGTCGTCAGGAACACCATCGTGGAGTGGCGCTTCATACAACACGTCCCAATCGTGAGTCATCACCAAAAGCTGCGCTAAACCGGTGGTAATGGCGGTTAGCTCTCCGTCCGGACTGAGAGAAACGGCGTTGACACCGCCGTCAAGCTGGCCAACGACTTGCATTGCGTGAGAGCCGTCGTCGACGTTGTGAAGCAAGAGAAGGCCGTTGGAGGTTCCGAGAAGAAGCGCTACCTTCTCCATGAGATAGTCGAAGGAGGTAACAGAATCTCCGGGCTCAATGTCGATAGTAACGGCATCCGCGGGGAGCGAGGCTTTACGGCTCCAAACACCATTTTCCTGCACACAACACAACGCAGCAAATTAATCAGAATCAACGAACGAATGAATTAATGAATGAATGAAAATGGTGAATGGTGTTGGAACGGACATGGAAAGAGGAGAGATCGGAAGTGTAGATGAGATTGTGAGAAGAGAGGAAGAAGATGCGGTTGCGTTCGATGTCGAAGGTGGAGAATCGAATGGTTTCGTCGTTGTTGTGAAGAACGAGTACCAAAGGGACTTCCCAGAAGAGTTTCAAGTTGTCCATTGTTCGAACCTTTCGCCGTTTTTTTTCACTTCACAGTGTAGGGTTTAAGTTTTAGTTTCAATTCTACACTATCCATTCCCTCCTTTCCTTTCTCTTCTTAATTCTCTGACCATCGACCCTTGTTCTCTGAGGAACAATATTCTTATTTAGATGCATTTTCATTCATTGAATTTTTTAATATTTAAATTCAAATATTTAATTTAAGATAAATAACCACTTTAAGATGTAGATAGATAAAACATTGTTTTGAATAATCACATTTTTTTATCACACTATGACTAGTTTTTTAAGGAATAAACAAAATTAAAACTCACTCATATTTTTTAAAAGATACAAAATTACATACTTTTTTCCTTAAATATAGCAACACATGGTTTTCGGTCTTTAAAGTTTTTTTCTTTAGCTATAAACAAATGTTTAACTTTTGGTCTCTGTATTTTTTTTATATATTTTTTATGTTCTGTAAACTTGTTTCATTATAGTTTCCATAGTAAATATGTTTATTTAAAATTATTCCCTTTAAAACATATTGATACAAAAATTATCTACATATTATAAATGACAACAAAATAAAGTTTTTGCCAAGACCCAAACAAAATAAGAAAAATCAAAATAAAAAGAATTTACATGGCCCATTTTTTTTTTGTCAGAAACTAAAAGCAAAATATAAGTATATTTCAAAGACTAAATACACATTTAAATACAAATACATATAATAAACACATATTTATAACATTTATGTTTTTTCAATTTTAGAGGAAAATTGTACTGTAAAAAAATAACACTAAACTTTGTTTTTATCATTTTCAAATGTGTTGTGTTTTAACTTATGAAACTGACTGAGAATTTAAGTATAGGTGTCAAGCATGAAAATATAACATTATGTTCGTAATTATATAAGATGGAGCTCAAGTAAAATAAAGATGATTATGAATTATTGTATCAAATGTGTTTTTTACAATTTTGAGTAAAACAAGTTTCATTATTTTGAATGTATTTTGAGGGGAAGTATAGAAAGAGAAACACATTGAGGGGATTATTGTTATAATATTAAAAGAATAAAACAATTTTTAAGTTAAAATTAAAAGAATTATAAAAATGTATATTTTTATTAGTTTTCATAGAATTTATTTTTCTATTGTGATAATTAACCATTGGGGTAATTATTTTTAACTTTTTTCATTGTGATTACTATTGAGGTAAATTACCTTTTTTTATTATAATTTTATTACCAACAAAAATATTGATACATCTGTTGAAGTATTTCCACGATTAATAAAATAATATTAATATTTTTTAATCATGCCTATACTTTGAATTAAATAAAGTAAAAACTAAAATTTTAAATTATAAACTAGAATTAAAATCGAATTAAACCGCAAGTATATTAAAGTTAAAGATAGTGGACCGAAATCTCATCACCCGGTGATTTTGGGTACTTTCTTCCTGCACCCCTTATTTTCTTCCTGCACCCAACGAAGACCCTTGTGATGCTATCCGTTGGAAAGGATGGCCACGGCATAAGGACCCCTGTGAACAAACCAGCAAACAGTGAAAGCTCATAATCTTAAGCCATGGCAGTGAGAATAAACTGCTCCATTCAAAACACCTTAACTCTCTTTAATCCTCCCCTTTTTTCCCTCCGTTATAGAGCTTCTCCCCTGAAGCTGAAACCCCAATTCCGTTTCGGTCAAAACTTCTCTCGAGAAGTTTTGTTCTGCACCTGCGCCACCACCGATATCACTCCCTCAAATGCCGAACCCTTCGTCATCACCACCCCTCTCTACTACGTCAATGCCCCTCCCCACATGGGTAGCGCTTACACCACCATCGCCGCCGATGCCATTGCTCGCTTCCAGGTGAATTTATTTACCCTCTAAGATTTTAGTTTCAATTATGTAACTTTGGCCCAACTCCAGAAATGGGTCGAGTTTGGAAATTGGAATAAAATTGTGTAACATTTGAGATATCTGTGTAACGTGTTTAAAAGTCGGTGTTTTGATTGTTTATTGTCTCCTGTTACATAATGTAAGGTTTGCATAATTTGACAGCGGCTATTGGGAAAGAAAGTTATATTTATTACTGGCACGGATGAGCACGGGGAGAAAATTGCAACTGCTGCCTTGGCTCAGGGGTCAACACCTCCTGACCATTGCAATCTCATATCTCAATCTTACAAGACGCTTTGGAAAGATGTAATTTGATTCGTAGCTTTCCTGGAGTCTAGTCATCTTTTGTTTTTGTCTACTTTGTTCAATGTTCATAAATCTTTTACATTTTTCGTGATATTCTTTTATTATTGTTTGATTGCAGTTAGATATTTCTTATGACAAGTTCATTAGAACAACTGATAGCAAGCATGAAACAATTGTGAAGGAATTCTATTCAAGAGTGCTCGCCAGTGGTGACATCTATCGAGCTGATTATGACGGACTTTATTGTGTTAACTGTGAGGAATATAAGGTGATTGTTTGAAATTGAGTTGTAGCTCTGGTACTGGCAACCTTTCGTGTTTGTTTCACTTGGCTCTTTATGTCGAAGGGTTTGTGTAGGCCCTGTGCAACTGCTAGCAATCTTTCTGTTGACCATCTTTTAATAAATAAGAAAATAGACAGCTTTCTCTGATGATGGAAAATTTTGATTGAGATTGTTCCCTTCCTAAGATTTACCATCTTAGTTTCATGACTTACTTTAAGAATGTATTGCTATTTGGTGCAGGATCAGAAGGAACTGCTTGATAATAATTGTTGTCCAGTGCACCTAAAGCCTTGTGTTTCAAGGAATGAGGACAATTACTTCTTTGCACTGTCAAAATATCAGAAGGCATTGGAGGAAACACTGAATAAAAATCCGAATTTTGTGCAGCCATCATTCCGATTAAATGAGGTAAGGCAAGGGGAGTTTGTTTTTTTCATTGGCTTGTATTTCTGTCTGTTACCTTTTGACTATGGTGTATTTCGTGCTGGCTGCGTCCAATTTTATTTTCAGAACATATCTACTACATTCACTTGATAAGATTCAGAATGGAGGTATATGATCTTAAGTTTCACATTGATAGAATGGACCAGTAATGATGTACATGAACTTTTTTTAGATTTCTCTAGTCTTGGAGGTTGAGTTTATACTATGCTCAGCCTATTAACACCCCAAAGTGTCATAATGTTGCCCATAAACAATTAGGATCTTAATATTTCAAAGCCATTTAAAATTATAATTCTATAATCTACAACATTTTGACATACTTTATATGTTATATATTTATAAGGTCACTTAGTGATTTTGTGGTTATGGATCTTATTGGATATAAAAGATTATAACAACAAATAGCATTACATTCTTGTTAGGAATGCTGGTTGGATCTAGATCCAAATGATACTTGCAAAAATTAAATTACGCACAATAAGTGTGGATTACTTTATATCCATAAAATGATTTATGGGATCACTCCTAAGTAATTACCTCAAAAAGTTTGCAATGAACATGGGTCTGGGAAGTGGGTACTATTGTACCTCACCTTTTTCACCTGTACTCACAGTTGTGTATTTGTTATATAATTAATATTTTGTTATCTTTTAATTTTTTTTGTTTTGTTGATTTTTCTTTGTTATCTTTTATTTATAAGATAATGTTCTTTGTTTACTAGTTTGTAAAAAGGCACATTAAAAGTGAAGTGTATTCTGTTCTGCTTAATTAAATACAAATCTAGGTATATGGGTACTCTTAGAGCTTAGTCACTGGGATCTAAAGTTTCTACCTACAGGTAGATGGGTCTAGGTGCAGGTCTTTTTTCCCCACATGGAGTATGGCCATAAATACACAAATTTTCTACTCAAACCTTAATATTATCATTCCCAATTTTTGTGGACTTGGTCAAAGTACTAATTGTTGATTTAAACTCTGATCCATATATTTAATATGTTAATTGGATATGAATTTGACAACACTTTGTTAAGAAATGAAGATACCAAGCTGTTTGATCTGGCTTGTTAATAAAATACAACCCCATCCTTCATGCTGGTCTACATGGTGCCCCATAAATAGTGAAGTGAAATAATGTTTTGTAGCAGGTTCATCTCATCTATGAGATATGGATATCGAATGAACTGCAAATGGTCTCTTTTTGGAGAACATAAAATTAATCTTCTTTTTATCGTATTGTGCTTAAAAATTAATGTCCTCTAAAATTTCCAAGGTTCAAAGTTGGATCAAAAGTGGCTTGAGGGACTTTTCCATTTCCCGAGCATCAGTTGATTGGGGCATTCCTGTTCCTGATGACAAGAGCCAGACTATATATGTTTGGTTTGATGCTTTACTAGGGTAAGAATGTGTATTTTATAGCTTGTACATGCTTCTCTAATTTCTCCTGGCTCTATTCTGTATTCTTGTAGTTCCTGTCTATTAGAATCAATAATTGATAGTTTGTTTATTTTTGAAAATACATTGCTGAAATGCATGGAAGTTCAATTTATGCACAACCATTTGTATGGTTAAAAAGATGGAGAAAATTTTGGATTTCTGCTATTCTGCTGAATATTCTTTAATTAAAAAAGTTGCTAATTACCTTCCTAAACTTCTACTGAGTATCTTTTCTTCTCTCTTTTTCTTACTTGCAGATATATATCTGCACTATCTGATGATCAAGAGCAACCTGATTTACTAAAAACTGTTTCTTCAGGTTGGCCAGCTTCATTGCATTTGATTGGTAAGGTATGTCACATATGTTCCTTCCTATTTTTTAGTAAACTTGACTTACGAAAACATTTTTTTATACTCATTGAAAACATTTTTTTCCCCTAAGCTTTCCTTCTATGCATCCTTTACCTATTTATTTGTGTGAGAGGCTGCACAGTTTGTTTCAACTTACACTGAGTTGTCTTTTGATGAGATGCTACTTCTTTTTGCATGGTTTATCACTTTCTAGAAAGCAGCATCATAAAATGGGAAACTTTTGATTTAAGTATTTGTTCGCTGTATCTGCTCTATTTTTTTTGCTAAAAAATGCACACATAAATAAACTTTTTAGTTTCTACTGAAGCATTTGTATTCTTGTGATGATTTTGCAATCCTTGATATATATATATATATATATATATATATATATATATATATATGTGTGTGTGTGTGTGTGTGTGTGTGTGTGTGTGTGTGTGTGTGTGTGAATTAATGATTTTTTTTTATGATTATTGGAAGAGATGAAAGAATTGCCAAAACATTGAGTTTCTATATATTTTTAATATTTTTTCACTCTGTAGGATATTCTACGCTTCCATGCTGTATATTGGCCAGCTATGCTAATGTCTGCAGGACTAACCCTTCCTAAAATGGTATTTGGCCATGGATTTTTGACAAAGGTATTTGTAATTGAACTTATTTACTATCTAATGTTTTGTCGATAGGTAACTAAAATGGTACAGTTTCAGTGTTGAGGACAAGGTTATTATTTCATGGGGAGCGTTGTAGACCTTAGAATATTTTTTGAGAAGACTCAATAGATCTGAACTATTAGTGTTTCTGCAGTATTTGTGTCCATAGGCAGTCATGGATCTGAATTTTATTGCTTTTGAAGTTGTGTCTTTATTAAATTATGGATTTGTGTAGTGTTATATAATTTTTATCAAACAAATAATTTAGTCCCTATATGGGTCGGGGATCCTTAATTTGATCTCTTTATATACGTAAAAGTTTATTAAATTGCTCCATGTATGTATTAGGAACCAAGAATTAAACAGAAAAATAAAAGAAAGTTTCTTTATTGAATAGAATGAAAAGAACAAGAAATAGGAGAAGACTCTCCTCCAAGGGTTTCCCCTTCACAAAGGATTTCTCCTTTTACAAAGAGCTAATGCTCAATTTACAAAGAATATTCACATCATTCTCCTATCCTTCACACCCTATTTATATCTAAACAACACCTTATGCAGTTAACTAACTCATTAATATGCTAACTATCTTCCTAACTTCTCTTTTCCCTTGTACCCTAACAATACACCCCGCCTCAAAATCAACCTTGTCCTCAAGATTGTATAGTAGAAACTTGATCCCATTGCTCATTCTTATTACCATGATTTTCATTTATCCTTCCTGTTTGCATGTGATGTCTTTTTTTGGTATAAGAATGAGAACCAGTGGCTAATGCATTCAAATTCAGATCAGGTGGCTTGGGTGGGGGTGGAAATGAGAGTGGATTTTTTATAACAACCTTCAAACCTTGCTTTTGCATTGTCTCCATTGGCAAGTTGTAATCATCAAGAAAATTAAAATTCCAAAATTCTAATGCCATTGTTGTTCCAACCACCTTCCCTATCAGATTTGGGTCCAACAATGATTCCTGATTCTTTATATGGAAATTCATCATCTTCCTAGTCTTTCTTGATGACATAATCTTTGCTTCTCTTGCTAAATTCTCTTCATTTTTGGTTTCTTCTGCACTATCAAGGGTGTGATACTTTATTGAGTCTTCTTCTTTACTTCTATTTTTTGATTTCAAGAATAGAAAATGATCATTATCACTCTCAAAACTGCTATTCTGGGAATCAAATTCCCCTTCTATGCTTCCAGCAAATATGGGTACTTCCATCTTTCTTATCCAAGAACTAATCTCTGCTGCAATGCATTTTGACCTGCTTCCCTCCATGCTATTTTTTTCTTGCTCAACCAGATGTGGGTCACCCTCTTTATACACTATTGTGGGAGTTTCCATTATTTTGCTGCATGTTTTACTCTCAATTTGCTCTTCTTGCTTCATGGTAGTCAATCTTTCAAAGATGTGGCTGTCATAGATATCTTTGAACCTTTTTATCAAAGCTGTTGAAAAAGATTCCCAATCTAAATTCAAGTTATCTTGGTACCAATAATAGAACCATTGCATTGCCACACCCTCCATGCTCATGAATGCATATTGCAGCTTATCAAAAGAATTGATTTCATGTACCTCAAAGAATTTTTCCGCCCTTCCAATCCACCCCACAGGGTCAGTTCCTTCAAACACAGGAAGATCCACCCTCTTCACCCACTGTCTCTGCACTACTTCTTCCTCAGAATCTTCTTGCTCCAATCGTCCTCCTATCCCCCCTTGTACCGAATTTTCACTCTTCTCAGATTCTCTGTCACTTTTCTTGAAATTCTTGAGGAAATCTTTCATTTCTTGAATGGCATTTCTCAGCTCTGTATTCACTTTTTCCTGTTCACTGGTCCACCGTTCAGCCCACTTTTCCAGCACTCCTACTCTTCCCTCCATGGCTCCTTGATTTTGGATCCGGCAGGTCGGACCAATTATTAGGAACCAAGAATTAAACAGAAAAATAAAAGAAAGTTTCTTTATTGAATAGAATGAAAAGAACAAGAAATAGGAGAAGACTCTCCTCCAAGGGTTTCCCCTTCACAAAGGATTTCTCCTTTTACAAAGAGCTAATGCTCAATTTACAAAGAATATTCACATCATTCTCCTATCCTTCACACCCTATTTATATCTAAACAACACCTTATGCAGTTAACTAACTCATTAATATGCTAACTATCTTCCTAACTTCTCTTTTCCCTTGTACCCTAACAGTATGTGCAAACGTTACCAGATTGATCCTACTGTCATGTTGATAGTTAACCTGCTTGCACATTCTTAATTTGGCCACTATACATGTAGCACATTCTTAATTTGGCTCCTATGATAGGGATCAAATATGCTACATGTATAGGGACTGAATTAAGAATGTGTAACTGGGGTAATCAATGTCAGGGGACCATACTGGTAATATTTACGTGTATAAAGATCAATTTAGTAAGTTTTACACATAAGCAACAAACTGAGAATCCGCAACTCATATAGGGACTAAATTATCATGTTTTGCCTATATATTTTGTGACAGATCCACAGGATAGGAGGGAACCATTGTGTCAGTTTGTTGGTGTTTTGAAGATGGAAATGTTTGTTGTGTAATTTGTTTACTATTCTTCAGATCTGGTGTATATATTAATAAGTTGTTACAGGCTAGCTAGATACAACTCTGCATATCTATGAACTCTCCTGCCCAGAACATTGTATTCTAGTCATAACTTTTGTACTATTTCTTTGTTCAATTCTGGAGTCTATTACATTCAATTCAAATCAAATGTAAATTAAATTTAAAATCATTAATTAAGTAAAATATAGCTTTCATCCAAAGGTCGAAAACCAAGTTTGACAATTTGTGGCTTAGTAAAATTTCATAAATCTGTTTCTTATGTTCAATTTAATTTCATGCAGCAATGCATTTTATTTTGAAATGTTAGGATGGCATGAAGATGGGCAAGTCACTAGGGAATACACTTGAACCAAACGATTTGGTTAATAAATTTGGGACAGATGCAGTTAGATACTTCTTCCTCAGAGAGGTGGAATTTGGCAGTGATGGAGACTATTCAGAGGAACGCTTCATCAATATTGTCAATGCGCATCTTGCCAATACAGTTGGTACTTTCAAGCTTTCTTTTTTACTTGTAATATTCAGTAACAACATACTATTTTTTTTTCTTCAGTTATTATGATTATAATGCAAAATGTGATATGTATTTCCTTCACTATTTTGGCAGGAAATCTTCTTAATAGAACACTAGGGCTTCTAAAAAAGAACTGCCAATCAATTCTGGTAGTGGATTCCACTACGGCTGCTGAAGGAAATGCATTCAAGGACAATGTAGAGAATCTGGTAAAATCTCTCAGAAACTATATTTTGAAAATAATCTAAATTATATTTTTATTTTAAAGTATGTCATATTCAGCAGTTTAAGGTAATGCTACCTGTGAATTCAATAACTATGGAAACCCTCTCTAGCACATTCTTTTAGCCTGGTGTTGAATGCTACTTGGTTGCATGGTAGCTTTTATTGTAATTTGTAAATCATTGTTCAGAGTGCTAGGAATTTCAAATTGAAATATGTTGTTCTCATATTCAGGAGGAGACCGCATTGGATTTGAAAGTGGATGCTAACTACATAGATTTTTATCCTGTGTTCTAGGTATTTGAACATAATGCAATAACTCACCCACAACCGAATTAACTAATCCAGATAAATGACAAAGGAGGGGAAATATAGCTAGATACAACTCTGCATATCCAAGGACCCTACCCAAAACATTGTATTTTTGTCAAAGTATTTTGTTACATATTGATAAGAATTTGGACCACTCATCTCTAAAAGCTAGTTATGAAGGAAGAAAATCAAACTTAAAAATTCCTAGCATCCCATAATACCTAAGTTCTTAATATAGTACTGTGCCAAAAACGACTGACCGACATCTCGACCGGCTTTCACACTACGACACCTCACTCAACTCTAGTTAGAATCGTCCGTAGGATGCCCTTCCCAAGACAAGGACAACCAATTTCGATGTGGTACCAATTAATAAGCACCTAAACACTTGAGGAACCCACCCTCAAAATTAGCTATTAAAGGAGAAGAATCAAACACTTATATACTCCAATGTGCATCCTATAATACTCCAAACTAGCTCTAATACCAAAGTCCTTCTCATATATCAAACCAAAAAAGAAATAATTATTTGTTTACAGGTTACATCATTAGAATTTTATTTTAGACTCTATATCCGAATTTCAGTGTAGCAGCTAATTTGACATATTTTAAAGCTATTCTTTTGCCCTGGTTCATAAGTTGTTGTGGGAGTTGCCGGTGACTCAAAGTTTAAAAAATGTTTATTATTTCTGTAGGTTGATAAAGCTCGCATTCACTATGAAAATCTCTCCTTGTCATCAGCTTGTGAGGCTGTTCTGGAGATTGGTAATGTTGGGAATTCCTATATGGATCAGCGTGCACCATGGTCTCTCTTTAAGCAAGGGGATACTGCTGCTGAAGCAGCTGCTAAGGTAATTTGCTAGATAAAATCATTTATCTTGATTTTTGATGACACACGGGATTAGCAAAAGTCTAAACTTGATATATTGTTTTCTGTTAAATATAAAACTTAGAATGTTTACTTTTAATCTCTAAAAAAATAGTTGTCTACTTTTTATCCCTTATTTATGAACCATTACCTTATTTATAGGTACTAAAAACATATTTAACCTAAAAGGTACATCATTATAATATTTAAGTTGCAAACTCCATAATTGTTTTTCAGCATTGTTTAAAATATCATATAGGAGCAGAAATAAGAAGCTCAAATGAATTAAACTTTTATAAAAGTTGAAGAGAATAAGTTTATTATAAATGTTGGAAGTCTCACATCCCCTACCTCATCATTTGGTATGGTTTAAATACCCGTTAGGCTACTCTACATATTGCCAATTGATTTTATGTTGGAACCTTAACATGGTATCAGAGCCTGGTTCAATCTAGGGACCTGTGGGTTATGGGCCCACTTTATGTTGGAACTTTAACATGATATCAGAGCAAAAACCTAACATTTTCTAGTTATTGTCTTGGACCAAAAGTTGTCTTTTCGTTGGATCAAAAATATCTTTTTCTACATATTACCAATTGGTTTTATGTGGGAACCTTAACATTAAATTATGAGAGCAATTTAGTTCATTTTACCCTATTTTCTTCTTTTATATACTTATGTTGGAACCAATTGGGCCCACCTTATGTTGGAACCTTAACATGATATCAAGCAAAAATCTTACATCTTTCTGGTTATTGCCTTGGGCCAAAAATTGTCCTTTCGTTGGGTCAAAAATATATTTTTCTACGTATTGCTAATTGGTTTTATGTTGGAACCTTAACAGTAAATTATAAGAGCAATTTAGTTCATTTTACCCTATTTTCTTTTTTTATGTACTTAGTGAGAAATTTAATTAAGTTCATTGAGATTCAAACTCCTTATGATCAAATTTAAATAGGAAAAACTAAACAAACGTTTCTTTTTCTGTTCTTACATGAAGTGAAAATAATTGTTGAATATAGAAGAAATAGAGTTTGGGATTAATCTCCCTTGTGTATAAATCACACATAGGGTAGTCTATTTATAGTAGAGAGATACAACTAAAAGAGTAACCGAAAGTAACAGAATAAACAGAAGATATTGTTTGATATTGTGGTTAACAATATCTAACAATATCTTAACAATATCAAATAATATCTAAACAATATCTAACACTCCCCCTCAAGCTGGAGCATACAAATCGTATGTGCCAAACTTGTTACAAATATAATCAATTCTAGGACCCCGTAAAGATTTAGTAAAAATATCTGCTAACTGATCACTTGAGTTAACAAACTCAGTCTTAATGTCTCCAGACATAATTTTTTCTCAAATGAAATGACAGTCAATCTCAATGTGTTTGGTCCTCTCATGAAAGACAGGATTAGAACTAATATGAAGAGCAGCCTGATTGTCACACACAAGTGTCATTTGAGTGACATCTCCAAATTGTAACTCTTTAAGCAATTGCTTGAGCCAAACAAGTTCACAAGCAGCTGAGGTCATAGCTCTATATTCTGCTTCTGTACTAGATCTTGCCACAACACTTTGTTTCTTACTTTTCCATGAGACCAAGTTACCACCAATAGATACACAATATCCAGATGTAGATCTTCTATCCGAAGGAGATCCTGCCCAATCAGCATCTGAGTAGCAAACAACTCTTGTATGGTTATTAGAATCATATAACAATCATTTTCCATGAGATCCTTTAATATATTTTAAGATACGAATGACTGCATTCCAATGATCTTCACATGGGGAATTAAGAAATTGGCTTACCACACTGACTGCAAAGGAAATGTCAGGACGAGTAACTATAAGATAATTCAATTTTCCAACCAATCTTCTATACTACTCAGGATCGGGTATAAGCTCCCCCTGATTTGGTAGAAATTTAGTATTGGGATCCATGGGCGTATCAACAGACTTGGAATTCATCAACCCAGTTTCCTTCAAAATATCCATGGCATACTTCCTCTGAGATATAACAATACCATCATTGGACTGTGCCACCTCAATACCCAAGAAATATCTAAGTTTGCCAAGATCTTTGGTCTGAAAATGGTGACAGAGATGTTGTTTCAACTGAGAGATGTCATGGTTGTCACTACCTGTAAGAACAATGTCATCAACATATACTATCAAGTAAACACATCCAGCACTTGAGTGTCGATAAAAGACAGAGTGATCTGCTTCACACCGAGTCATACCAAATTGTTGAACCACCTTGCTAAACTTTCCAAACCAGGTTCTAGGAGACTGTTTTAGGCCATATAGGGATTTGTGAAGACGACATACCATCCCAGAAAACTCCCCCTGAGCAACAAACCCAGGAGGTTGCTCCATATAGATTTCTTCTTGCAAATCACCATTGAGGAAAGTATTTTTAACATCTAGTTGATAAAGATGTCATTGTTGAAGAGCGGCCATGGCGATAAATAAACGAACATAAGTCATCTTTGCCACAGGGGAAAAGGTATCTCCATAATCCAACCCAAAAATTTGAGTATAACCTTTGGCCACAAGACGAGCTTTGAGGCGATCAATAGTACCATCAGGTCCAACTTTGATAGCAAACACCCACCTGCAACCAACAACAGATTTCCCAGACGGTAACGAGACCAATTCCCAAGTTCCACTATTATGAAGAGCACTTAGCTCATCTAACATGGTCTGACGCCAACCAGGATGGGCTAAAGCTTCACAGACAGTTTTTGGAATGGTCACAGAAGAAAGAGAGGAAAGACATGTATAAAAAGGTAATGACAGTCGATGATAACTCAAACCAATATAATGGGGATGGGGAGAGGGATTACGTGTAGAACGGATACCTTTTCGGAGGTCAATGGGAAGGTCAGACTTAGGTGTCACATCCAGAGGAGACAGAATAGTTGGCACTTGAGTAGTGTCACATGGTGGTGGTTGTGATTGGTTTCGGCAACTATAAACCTGAAGAGGCAGTGAAGAAGAAGCTGACTGTGAGTAGAAACTAATGGTGAAGAAGACACAGTTAGAGGGTCACAAACAACAGGAACATTAAATGTACTAGGAGTGTTGACAAGATTGGATGGAGACAGAGGTGAAGATTGACTTTTAAAATAAAAAGAGAACTCATCAAAGGTGACATCTGCAGACACAAAATAACGGTTAAGAGAAGGAGAAAAACATTTGTATCCTTTTTGTGATCTTGTAAACCCTAAGAAAACACATTTATGTGATCTAGGAGAAAGCTTGTCAAGACCAGAACTGAAATTATGAACAAAACATGTAGACCCGAAAACTTTTAGAGGTAAGGGATGAAGTGGTTCATGAGGGAATAAAATGGAATGAGGTATTTTATTATCTAAAACCGAAGATGACATGCGATTAACAAGATAACATGCAGTAAGAAAAACATCACCCCAAAAATGCTGAGGAACCTCTCCATGAATTAAAAGAGTGCGAGTTGTTTCAATAAGATGTCTATTTTTACATTCAGCTACACCATTTTATTGAGGTGTATAAGCACAAGAAGTTTGATGCAAAATACCATGAGAAGCCATGAATTGTTTAAAAGAATGAGAGAGATATTCATGACCATTATCACTGCGCAAAACTCTAATAGGAACACCGAACTGAGTTTGAATTTTATTGAAAAAAGTTTGAAAGATATGAAATAATTCAGAACGATTTTTCATCAAAAATAACCAAGTGCATCTGGAATAATCATCAATGAAAGTAACAAAGTATTGAAAACCTAGAGTAAACTTAACGTGGCTAGGTCCCCAAATGTCAGAGTGAACCATGGCAAAAGGGGATGAAGCACCACGTGTGACACTACGAGGAAAGGAAGTACGACTATGCTTGCCTAATTGACACGACTCACATGCCAAACTAGACAATTTAGATAAGGCAGGGACAAGTTGTTGTAACTTGGCAAGAATTGGATGACCTAATTGAGCATGGAGAAGAGATGGAGACTCTATAACTGCACCAACATGTATAAAGGGACGAAGATGATAAAGACCATGAGACTCACATCCTGTGCCAATCACCTGTTTTGAACTCCGGTCCTGTAAACACACAAAATTGTTGGTAAAAGAAACAACACAATTAAGAGAACGAGTTAGACGACTGATGGATAACAGGTTAAAAGGAGACCCAGGGACATAAAGAACATTATCAATGGTTAAAGAAGGGAAAAGTTTAACAGTTTCAACACCATGAGATGATACTCTAGAGCCATCAGCCAGTGTAACAAAAGGTAAAGGATCAGGAGAGGATAAAGAGGAGAACAAAGATTTGTTACCAGTAATATGATCAGTGGCTCCTGAATCAAAAATCCAAGGACCAGAAGAAGATTGGATCAGACCAGCAAAAGATGTACCTGTGTGTGCGACAGACACAGTGGAACTAGAAGACTGTTGATCCTTACACCATTTGAGAAATTTGTTAAACATAACAGGTGTGTCTGATGAAATAGAAGAAGGAGGATCCTTAGCAGATAAAGGTGGGGAAAGATCAGTCTGAGCAACTGCAGCAGATCGAGGAAGACGACCATATAATGCATAACACTTGTCAATCTTGTGACCTAGTTTGCCACAATGTTCACACTTAGGACGCCCTTTTCCCTGTTTGCGAGAGCGAGTTTGGTCATCACGGTGAGATACCATGTTAAGCTCTGATACCACGTTAAGGTTCCAACATAAAACCAATTGGCAATATGTGGAATAACCTAACATATATTTAAACCATACCAAATGACATGAGGTAGGCGATGTGGGACTTTCAACACGCCCCCTCCAATGAAGCCTGCCAGATCAAGAAAAAGGTACTTTTGACCCAACTAAAGGGCAACTTTTGGCCCATGACAATAACCGGAAAGATGTTAGACTTTAGCTCTGATACCATGTTGAATATAGAAGAAATAGAGTTTGAGATTAATCTCCCTTGGGTATAAATCACACATAGGGTAGTCTATTTATAGTAGAGAGATACAACTAAAAGAGTAACTAAAAATAACTGAATAAACAGAAGATATTGTTTGATATTGTGGTTAACAATATCTAACAATATCTTAACAATATCAAATAATATCTAAACAATATCTAACCATAATCAATTTTTAAACTTTGTTTTTCTTTCTTAAAACAAGTGTATAAGCTTAATCAACGTGTGAACTTAGTTTTACCTGCTGTTAAAGATAAGCAAATGCATAAACAATTTTTTTTCATTTATGATGTTGGAGCAGGACCTTGTAATTATATTAGAGACGGTGAGGATTATTGCTGTTGCGCTATTTCCTGTTACACCTAGCTTGAGTTGGAGAATATATGCACAGCTTGGCTATTCCAGGGACCAATTTGATGCAGCAACCTGGGTCTCTCCTTTCTCTCTCTCTCTCTCATACACAAACTCAATATTTTACCTATATACATGACCTATTTCATGGTTTTGATGAACTATTATATTCTGCTACCCAATCTGATTTATGTTGTTTTACATTGTAGAGAGACACCAAGTGGGGTGGACTTAAGGGTGGCCAAGTGATGGCTCAACCTCAACCAGTCTTTGCTAGGATTGAAAACCAAACTGAAGTGGAAGACAAAGGCAAAGGGGTAGCAGTTGGAAAGACTGTGAAAAGCAAAGGGAAGTTGAAACAAGCTCAAGAAGTCGCTGGAGCTTAGATATTTTGTTTGATGCTTTTCCCCTTTCTGAATTGTTACTGTTTTCTCTAATTTAATTTAGCTTCATGCAAAAACCATTGCTTATTTATGTACACATATATTTACATACGTACATGTGCAAGAAGGTAGCATGAGCACGAGGCATATGTATGTATATAAATTTTGAATGGAAAATTTGATTTCTTATTTTGGAAATACAGTTGGAGTGCATCTTTTTTCATGTTCTGTGCGCATTTCCTCGTTCTGTCCGTGACTTACATATCTTTGTTTATGTACTTACAATCCTAGGAGTTTGACTACAACTTGAGAGACTAAAATATATTTTGTTGATTAGAATTTTCTAAACATTTAAGCATAATTTTGTATGTATTAATCATTTAATAATAAAATTAGAGTAAGATGGTTAATTTTTATAATAATTATTGTAAAAAGTCATTCAAAATGATTTCTAATTAGTTAACTAAAGTTTATTTATTTTTTATTATAGCTGTATGTGAAAATTAAACATGAATGAATAATGCCATTAATTATTAAATAAATACGCAAATATAATTTGGTATGTAGTGTTTTTTTTTTTTGTATATATATCAACATCACGTGAGTGACACGTGTGCTGGAGAAAAGAATTAACCGCGTGTTGATGTGGGCCGCATGGTTAAGTATAAGTTTGATTAAGATTGCAATTAAGTTTTTGTTAGGCCCACGCACACCATATTCAGTCATAAAATAAACTTGAAGCAGATCAAATCAAAAGATCGTTTCATCCGTGGGAGAAAACTGACGACAAAACTACCAGGTAACCTAATTTCTCTCTCTCGTCCATGCTACCAATGCTTTACTAGCTATGTGTTGATCTTCGTTCTCTTTCATCTTCCCCATTGTAGGCTTTATTATTTTTTAATTTCCTTAGAATAATGGAGTTATTCGATGCTTTTCTTTCCCTTTCTCTTCGTAGATCTGCACGTCGATGTTCATCTGAATGTTGGGGCACAATTCGTACATTTTTATCAAAATTTTATTTCATTACTTTCATGTAACGATCGCATAGCGGAGTGGATATCGCGTTAGACTCCGGATCTAAAGGTCGTGGGTTCGAATCCCACTGCGATCGCTTTTTGTTTGATGTACAAACTTTTTTTTCCCACAAATAATGTTTCTGAAGTCTGGCAAACTGAATTAATGAAGTCAATTGATCAATAATGTAGTTGGAAAGTTAGTTGAACTTTTAGTGCAAATGATTTATTTGTGTAACCGTCTTATATGGGCCTGTTTCTTGTATGCTTTGCATTGTGAAATAATTCAAGACTAGAAAAGGAAGGACCTAGACTTGCACTATTGATGATGAAAAGTTGGTTGCCAAAAATACTTGATGTCTCCGTTTTACTCTATATAGTTTTGGATGCTGCAAGATCATCCCGAATGTAAACCTCCCTGTTGTCATGCTTCACTTAGATGACGTGGACTTAAATTTACAGTTTGTTGGTATTAGGACTTCTGTTAGGAAATCAGTTGGATAAAACTTAGATATAGTTCTTACGTGTTTTTGGTTCTCTTCTCCCATTAATTGTAGTTTCACCTCTAATGTATCTGACTTTGCAAAACCAAAAGATATTGTGAAGAAGCGTCTTGTTTTACTATTTCTCTACATTAAGTTGAATCAAACATGCTAAACATGTAGTAGGATTTTACATCTAGTTAATGTCTTAAATTATCATTTATGTGCTTGTTGGCGTATGCTATGACAACCAGAGATTATGAGGTTTGGTATATAGTTAGATGAAGGAATAGATGTGATGCTCTTTGTGTTCCACCCTCTGCCTATCTTAAGGAACTTAGATATCTTTTTAAGTTACTCTATATGAGGTCATTCAGCTGCAAGGTTACAAAAGGATCGACTTGAAATATCTTGAAACAGCGATCATCCTTATCAAAAGTTTGATGACTATTTCTTAATTTTCATTTGGCATTTCCATACGTCAGTTACTCTGAAATGTTTTTAAAACATGGGGTGTCAGTGGTGGGCATGGATAATATTGAGGTTTTTTGTCCTTTTAGGGATAGTGATGATCCTGATGGTGGTGCTAGTGAAAGTCTAGAAAATATCGCCTTGAAAATGTCCTGCTATGGCAGTTGCTTATTCCATACTGGTGAAGATTCATAGAATGTCAGAAGAGAATCTACCGTGCTTTATTAGTTTGTTAATAGTGTTGGAAGACATCAGAGTCGTTTCCATGAAAATGTAGTCTTATAGGTCCAACATGAATGGTTGAAGTGTGTAGTATACTGGCAATCTTGCTTAATGAAATCATTGAGGATCGTGTTGAAGTATTTATTAATGCACTTTCACTAGTAAATTTTGGTACTTTTCTTTTGAAAGCTCCGGTGCTTGAAGTCTTTGGCGGCTTCTTCTGATTTGGGCGTATCATCATGTTTTATCTTGGAACCATGTTGCCAATGCCATGTCTACTCTTGTGTGGGAGAAACAGGTGGTATATATGTTAGCCCTTAGCAATTTGCCGTGTTGTGAAACTAAAACTTGCCGTATTTTACTCGCATTAATTGTAATGCTTTTGGATGTATTTGATGTTTTGGCGTTTAGCCACTTCTAAAACCAAATTTTGGCATTTAGTAGCCGAAAAATCTTACCCCTACTGTAGGCGAGATTAATTTGAATAAATACTAAGCTGTTTAAAATTATTTTTTCTTAAATTTAATTCAATCCAATGCTAAAATTAAAGCTGCCTTATTCTTCTGGAGTAGAATTAATTCCAGCCCCTTTATTTAAATATTTAATTAAAGCACGAAAGAACTTCAATCCGTTTGTAATTTATTTAATTTTACTTAGCATTTTTCATCATACGTTTGTTTTGAACATTTTGTTAATTTTGTGCTAACTTTGGTCATAATCTTCTAAAAAGATCTAGTTCTTTAATTTTTAATTGTTGAGAAAATGTTGTGCAACACGTCTTGGAGGTTCAGTGGCTTGTGAAGAAATCAGCTTCTTCTACAGATGTATGTCTATTTTAAAGGTGGATATAATTAAATTTAATAAATTTCATGAATTTTAATTTCAATTGTTATTATATTCAAATGTGTATCCAAATCATTTTGGGTCATAAGTCTGGAACTTCTGTACAGTGAGATGAATTGATTTTAGAAATCAATCAAATTGGCCTTATATAATTCTTCACATGGAAGGGGTTTGAATTTTATGAATTTCGGTTGATTTCATGTTTTTTTTATATTAAAAAGAATAGTAAGAAAATAATCGTTTTAATCTCTATGTATACCCATCGAGCGTGAGGATAATTTGGGAGATAAGATACAACTTGAATCTCGTCTCTAAGCATCTTAATGTTCTACCACCACTAATAAGTGGAAGAATATGATGCAATCAAGTCAATAATGTGCTTTGTATAGTGATTGATACCATTCTATGCTTGACGGAGAAAGCACAATTAGGTAAGGAAATCAAATATATATAAAATTCTTTTTTTTTCTCATTTTTTATTTATAATAAATATCATTTCTTTTTACACTTTTTTTATTTACGTTTTCTTTTTCTTCTATACTTGTGTTTTTATCCTTTCTTGTCTTATATTTTTATTTTCTCACTTCAACTTTTTTCAATCAACACTCATTTTATTTTTTTCATATTTCTATTTTTTTTATTACTCATTTACTTTCATGTTATTTTCTTTCACAGTTCCACCTTATAATATAAAGTTTTTCTCTTTAGTTTTAAAATTTGTATTTTTTACAGTTTTATCTTTATAGGATTAAAATTGTAATTTTTAGTGTTTTTTAGTTTTTTTCTTCTATTCACATTGATGATTTTAAATAAGTTATAAAATAAAGATATGTCACAATTATTGTTTTGAAATAAAGAAATAAGAAATAAAATTATTTTTATTTATTATTATAACAAATTAGTATGTGTAGTAAAATATAAAATTATGAATATTTTTTTATTTGTTATAAATTAGTTAGTTGTTTTAATGTTTATTATGTTTTGATATTAAAATATGAAAAAAATCCAAGTTTAATTTTAAAGATATTTAAAAAGAAAATTCTAGATTCTAAGTAAAGAAAAATGATAAAATAACAAAATAAATTTTATTTTCTAAAATTTAAATTAAATTCAATTAATAATGTTAAACATGTTTATAAATATTTTATATAATATATTTATTTTCATATAATAATTATTTTTTATATATTGTTCTCCTTACATAAAATTTTTGGTTCCTGGTCCCATGTCATAACAAACCTCCATTGTGTTGTTTTAAAGTTAATGTTAATATGCGTTTCAGGTTAATTTAGGTTACTTATCCTAATTATATTTGTGAAAAATAATTATATAATAAAAATATAAAATAATTATATATTATCTAATCGTAAATTAAAAACAGTTTACGCCAAAATTTTTGAAATTTTTTTGGCCATTTTAAAATAAAATCGGGACGGGTTACTAAAAATTTTTACTTCATCCGCCAAATAGGCTGTACATCAGTGTTAATAAACCGAGTTATTCATCAATCAATTGGAGCTTATTTTAAAATAATATCATTTATTAACACAGACCTCAGTGATCGTTGTGGGAATTCAATTTGTTAAACAAAAAAGGTTTAAAAACTTATTAAACCCTTAATTTGAGCATTTAGATTTATCATCCTCAACAATCTGTAGATGTACAGATTGACAATAGTATGCAGAAAGGTGCCACCAAATGCATTCATTGTTAATGAAATGAAAATTGAAAAAGAGAGAGGGAAAAGAATGACTTGGAACAGCGAAACACGAATTGGCGAGAGTAGAGAGCTGAGGGATTTTGGGGGAATTGGCGATGTCATCGGCGGTGTTGGCGTCGGGCGAAGAAGGCTTGCTGCGGTGGAATAGGGATTTGAACGAGTTCTTATGGTTCCGAAGGATGTTCTCCCACATTCCCTCCATTTCCACAGCAACGCTTATTCAATTGCTTCGCTTTTCAATTTGATCCAACCAATTTATCTTTGTAATCAATGTATCTCATACAATTCCAATTGCTCATTGCTCAATGCAATCCTCACTGACTTTGCTTCTGGACTCGGTGATCTCGATCTTATCACCTTTTTGCTCCCTCTTCATCTTCCCTTTCTAATCTCCATATTTTTATTCCTTCATGATTTCTATGAAACAAACATTGAACCGTGTATGTTTATTTATTATTACTTTTCTTTTTCAACCTTGTTGTATAATTGTTTTTTATAGCAATTTATTTATTTTATTGGTTGAATATTTTGGTCTGAGAAAAAAATTCAAATGGATGAATGACACTTTTTTATTACTTGGAAGTTATTGTTAAAATGATAGCTTATGTTTTATTTATCTTAAGGTACTATTTTATACAAGGTAGCTCCATGTTGTTTTTACCTCAATAAAAGTATATATGACTAAATTAACTTGCACACTTTCAATAATGTTTTGTGACAAAATGCTGAAACACCACTTTCATCTAACAAAATACAAAAACAGATTTATATCTAATTCTGGGCATGTACATGATGATGGTGAGAAAATAAAAGAGACCTACAAAGTGGGCAAGAGAATTGATTGCGAAGTATCCATTGTTCAATGCAATTGAGATGGAACACATGCCCACACACTCCCAACTTACTCACTGCATCTTTTCCTTCATACTCCACCAAGCAGATGGAGCAAATTTCTTTTCTATATCCTTCACAATTATGCCCCTTTAAATCCTGGTACCTTACCACAGGTAGGGAAGGAGTTTGAGTGAACTCCATGTCCCTGGTCACACCTTTGGTCTCACAAGAGAAAAAGACCATGATGCCTCTCTTGAGTTGCATCAGTGGGATCAAAACACAAGTGTAGAACACAATGGTCACTACCCACAAACGAGAATGACAAACCACAAAACAATTCATTCTGCAGTAAACCCAATATCCCAGATGAAACCCTCTCTGTCTAATGATTTTGTTGTGCAGGTATCTGTTGTTATCTGTGACAATGATGCTTAACAGAAGGTGTGTGTATCTATATATAACATTAATTCATAAGAGAAGAGGTATGACTTCTATGTATGTTGACACCGGCCCTTTACATAATAAAATAATACACATCCTAAATCTAGATTCTTGATTTATAAGAATAAATTGTTGTGTTAGTTCTGACTTTGGAGGCTGCCAATTTTTTATTACATAGGTCAGCTACAATTATTTCAAGTTTTTGTGCATCATAGGTTTTGGGCTACTTATTTTATTGGCAAAAGACAAAGCAGGTGTATGTTTTAATGTATGATAAAAAAATGATGTATGTAAAATAATTTATATTATAAATATAAAAATATTATTTAACTTTTTAAATATTAATTAACTTTTTATAGAATTATTTTAAAACCTTGGTACAGTGGTGTTATGGTTTGTGCAGTTGTGTGAAGATATTGTATAAATCATATAACCGACTAAATCTGTGTTTGAATGTAAAGTAAGAATAATGAATTTGATTTTCCTTAAACTGAGGTTTAAGATAATAAATAAATAAATTGGTTAAAGTATATAAGTATAAATAGCCGGTGTGGTGCAGTGGTTTTGATTTAGTTTCGCTTATAAACAATGACCTACCGCGTTTCGTATGCACAACAAGTGCAGCTGTCAGCCGAGGGGAGCGCAACCTCCTCCTTCCTTCTTACTTAATTTTGCTTTTGCCCCATTACCATTAAACAATAATATTTGGAAAACATCTTTTCCTTTTTTTTTCTAAAAAGCTTTTTCTCTGTTTTTTATTTTATTTTTATCACTTTATTACTATGAAATACTGGTTACCAATCTTATAAAAAACATAAATGATTTTTTTAATTGAAAAATTCTAATTCAAGATTTTACTTAATATTAGCAAATTAATTTGAATATAATTAAAATATCAAAGGTTTAACTTTTTTAAATATTTTATATATAAACAACAAATATCTTTTACAAGTTATATTTTAAAAAATACTTAAAAATGGCTTATAATTAATTAACACTCACACTATCAAAGGAAATCCCCCTTTACTTTACTCATCACATTATATTATTTATCACATTTTTTCTCTCTCTCTGGACCCCTTCTATATCTTGTGCGCCCACAAACATTAATATATAAAAAATTGAATCAACCTCATCAAAACCAGACCCCTTCTATATCTTGTGACCCCACAAACATTAATATATGAAAAATTGAATCAACCTCATCAAAACCATTTCACTTATAAATTTTTCTTTTCTTTCTCAAATCACAATGTGGTTAGATTATTTTTGTTCCCTGTTTACTAAATTCGTCCTAGAAAGCAGTGTTCCCAATAAGTGACATAATGGTTTAGAATAGAATGTGAAAACTGTTTTCTTCTTTTCCCATTATTGTAACCGAGTTGTCTACAGAATACTATTTTGGAATGAAGTATGACTTATCAGCTAATAATATATGGGTGGAGCCTTTGGATTAACCATTCACCTGCTAGGCCCTCAGGGTGGGTCTTTGCATTGCTGAAAATCCAGAGTATATAATAACCTCGAATTTTTTATTTTTTTTTTGTAAGTGTTACCTGTAAAGTGGACAATTCAAGTATACAACATCACCCCTCCGTAATTTTCACCAAACTTTTTTTTCTACTTCTCATAAAAAATGTACTTAATTAGTGTGTATAGAAGAATTTTATAAAATATATAGCATTACTCCTTTTATCCAGCAATTATTAATTACACAAGCAATTGTTATTTGCACTGCAATAAAAAATTATGGCACAGAAGGTTATTTGAAACTCATTTCAATTATTTATTATTACAATAGCTCTCTTTTTTTTCCATGATCTTATCTTATTTTATTTTATTGAATTAAAAGTTTAATATCTACATTAATTTTAGTTTATATTATTAATAGGTGAATGTTGTAAGTAGTTGTTGAAATAAATAAACATACATAAGAGGAAGAGTAATATATTTGTTTATGGATGATAATTGAAATATTGAATTTTTTATCTTAAATAAAGGTTTAGTCAAGACAGTTTAAAAATAGTAAATATGTTCTGATTACAGACGATTTTGTAGGTAGTGGAGTATTTAATACAATGGACCACCCTGACCAGTATCAAATTTTCTACAAGGAGGTGATACTGGGGTAAGTCCTCAAAAGTCACATTTTGAATAAGGTAATACAGGGTAAAAGTCTCAAGGAATGTAACCACAACAGCATATGAAAGGAACATTTGAAAATGGTCCCACAAGACATAACTTATAAATGCATATTTCTATTTGTTGACATAATAACAAAAGTCAAAGCAATATGTTTCGTATGTAATAGAAAGTGACGCCTGGATACCAATTAGGGTCAATGAGAATGGGACACAGGATCAAAATAATCCACGTAAAAATGGAAATCAGAAAAATAATGGTGAAAAATAAGAACTAGGACAGGTTGTCACCTCTTGGATGATAGAAACATCTAAAGTCCGTGCATAAATTATTCACATTGAATAAGTAAAATTTATATATTTAATTATTTAATAAGTCAATTTTATGGCAAAATACTGGACTAAACTAGATATATATATATATATATATATATATATATATATATATATATATATATATATATATATATATATATATATATATATATATATGCTTAATTTAGAAACCTTTAAAAATATTGTTGAAAAGTTAGTGGGAGGATGAAAACTGGTTTTGTCAAACAATTGGAAGAAGTAGCCAATCCCTATTGATTGATTATTCGTATTGGCAACCCCACTGAAATGTGCATAGACACAATAATGATTCTTTACGATAAGATAAGGATGCCAACAGGAAGAGGTAATGGGCATTAGCATTTCACAATTTGGTGTGACATAACTTTGGAAAAACGATTAAAGAAAAAACTCATGTTGCGTCAGTGTTTATATAAACTTACTGTAACCATCTATCTCATCATCTTTGATAAATAAATTTGTTATGTAAATAATGAGTTTGATTCTAAATGAGTATACATGAAAACATTTTGTATCCATCAATCAGTTCTTGGTTGCTAAGAGACATGACAAAAAAAAAAAGAGCGTAGCCCTATAACTATTATAGATTATTATTATTGTAGAAAAGATTCCTTTAATGTAGGAAATTGAGAGGGTGAAAAAGAGGAAAGAAAGAAAAGATGGAGGAAGAAGAAAATGAAAGGACAGGAGATTAGCAGCGACCACACCTTGTCACGGCCATGCCTGCTGTTAGCACGCTTTCTGTCTCGGACAACTTTTATCGAACACATTCCACGCAGTTTCTCTTCTCCCGGATAAATTAAAAGTTAAAAAACAACACTCACACACTGCACACATGCCTCTCTCTCTGGTTCAAGAAACTCTTGCTCTCTCTCTCTCCCGTGACTCCTTCGCCTTAATAAGCAAAATGAAAATCGAAACAAGGAAATAGAGTTCGAAGCTTAGTAATCAAAGCATGCGATCCCCTCAGCCGCTTCGCAACGGCGGTGATAACAGTTGTTCACCGTCGCACAACCCTCGCTTCCAGTCCACTGTGGCGGAACACAAACTACGCCGTTTCAACTCCCTCATCCTCGTCTTCCGCCTCGTCTCCTTCTCCTTCTCCCTCGCCTCCTCCGTCTTCATGCTCACCAACACTCGTGGCTCCGATTCTCCTCACTGGTACCACTATGACACCTTCAGGTACTCTTATAACTAATTTCTTTCTATTTCAGAACTAATTTTATAATCTATCCGTTTACTTCAAAATTTGTGTCGAAGTTGAAGATTAAGTTACTGAAATCCGTTCAGATTCGTTCTAGCCGCGAATGCGATAGTGGCGGTGTACTCCGTGTTCGAAATGGGCGCGTCGGTGTGGGAAATTTCACGAGGCGTAACACTGTTCCCCGAAGTGTTGCAAATATGGTTCGATTTCGGACATGACCAGGTCATAATCAAAATCAAGATTGAACAAATTTCATATTCTCTATCTCTCTTTTGTTAATTCTTTATCCGAATTATGTGAGTGTGTGTGGAGGGGTGGAGTGATGTGTGTGACGGCGGTGCAGGTGTTCGCGTACCTGCTGTTGTCGGCGAGCGCGGCGGGGACGACGATGGCGAGGACGCTGAAGGAGATGGAGACGTGTAGAGCGAGCAATGCGTTCTGCGTGCAAACGGATATAGCCATAGCGTCGGGATACGCAGCGTTTGTGTTCCTAGGGTTCACGTCGCTCCTAACGGGCTTCCGCGTGGTGTGTTTCATAATCAACGGCTCCCGTTTCCATCCCTGATGTTGGTGTTGCGTGGGAACGACTCAGAGGCAGCCATAAACGAATATTTTGAGTGGGGTCGGTTTTTCTTTTCACTGTTCTCCAAAACCAAACAAAGGCTTTCTCTCAAATTATTTATTCAAGTAATTAGAACAGAAGAGCCTGTTTTGCAGCGAGTGTGTGTACAGAGCTTTTTTTTTTTTTTTTTTCTTGCATTGGGAAGATGGACGAGGTTCTATTCTATGGTTCCCCTTCTATGTGTTAATCGGATAATATGCATGTCCATCATTTTTAAGATTAAGAAATCTCAATAACATTTTTTTTCTTTTTTCAACGTGGAATAGGTTAATTTAAATATTACTCCTAATACACGTTGGTGTATTTTATATTTTTATGGTGCAATAATAAATTTATTTATGTATATTATAGAGTCATAAATTATCTACTCATGTCATAATAATAATTTTTAAATTTATTTAAAGATTTATTTCTGATTCATCTTTCCCTCCCCCTCTATATATAAAAGTGAATAAATTATGAGACTAAAATCTATTTCTTCATACTTGTTTTACGGACAAACGTTATTATTCAGAACCTTGAATTATTATTTTTGAGAATGAATAATCTCTACCTATATCATAATTAATAAAAGAAATATATTTGAGTTTCGTTTAAAATTGTATTCGAACATAATCTTAATAAACCTAAATTCACATTTGGGCTTCTCTAGCCTAAAACCAAACCAAACACTGAAATTATATAAGCATTATTTTATTATCTATTGGTAAACATGATAAAAAAACATAACTTTTATATAATAAGCTACATAATCATGTGTAAAATAATCTTACATTGGTATTCAATCAAATTATAAATCAAGTTATTGTAAAAAATAATAAATGACAAAGTAATAATTTACGATTGGATAATATATAATTATTTTATATTTTTATTATATAATTATTTTTCACAAATATAATTAGGATAAATAACCTAAATTAACCTGAAACGCATATTAACGTTAACTTTAAAACAACACAATGGAGGTTTGTTATGACATGGGATCAGGAACCAAAAATTTTATATAAGGAGAAGAATATATAAAAAATAATTATTATATAAAAATAAATATACTATATAAAATATTTATAAAATGTTTAATATTATTAATTGAATTTAATTTTTGAGAAGTAAAATTTATTTTATTATTTATCATTTCTCTTTTCTTAGAATCTATATAATTTTCTTTTTAAATATCTTTAAAACAACACTCCCCTATGCGATCGAAGTAAAATTTGGATGAACCCCAACATTCAGATGAACATCGACGTATCTACGAAAGAGAAAGTGAAAGAAAAGCATCGAATCCAGAAGCAAAGTTGGTGAGGATTGCATTGAGCAATGAGCAATTGGAATTGTATGAGATACATTGATTACAAAGATAAATTGGTTGGATCAAATTGAAAAGCGAAGCAATTGAATAAGCGTTGCTGTGGAAATGGAGGGAATGTGGGAGAACATCCTTCGGAACCATAAGAACTCGTTCAAATCCCTATTCCACCGCAGCAAGCCTTCTTCGCCCGACGCCAACACCACCGATGACACCGCCAATTCCCCCAAAATCCCTCAGCTCTCTCCTCTCGCCAACTCCGTTGTGTTTCGCTGTTCCAAGTCATTCTTTTCACTCTCTCTTTTTCATCTCGTTTTCATTTTCATTTCCATTTCATTAACGGTGAATGCATTTGGTGGTGTGGGGTAGGATCCTTCGAATGTCCACCCAGGAATTGCAACACTGCTTCGATTCGGAACTCCCTCTCGGCGTCAAAGAGCTTCTCACCTACGCCAGACAACTGTTGGAGTTTTGTTCCTATAAAGCGCTTCACAAACTCAGTAAAACCTCCGAATTTTTAAACGACAAGGAATTCCGTCGTTTAACCTTTGACATGATGCTTGCATGGGAGGCTCCCAGCGTTAACACCCTCCCAGTTCAGTCCATTCTCTTTTCCACACATTCATCACCATTTCATCGTCATCATCATCATTTAATTCTTTCGTGCATTGCAGGAAATCCCTACTTCAAGTAAAGAGGAAGCCACCGGGGATGAGGATGACTCCTCCCTGTTTTATTCAAGTTCCACAAATATGGCACTTCAGGTTCCACAAGCAATCCAATCCAATCCCATTAGTCTATGCAATAAATTGCAGAGCAAAAATGATGATATGCACTAACAATATAAAAAGATTATACACTGTCATTCAATCACTAACTGTTATGTAGAATAAGAATAAGTTTGTTGTCTTTTTACAATAATTACTTTAAAAGTCATTCATCATGATTTCCAATTTGGTTGACACTGGAAATTTTTACGCTGATGGTACATGACTATTAAACTCATAATTGAATAATCATTTAACTATTAGAGTTGATAATGTGATTCCAATGGATTTTATTTAGGTTGATGACAAGAAGACGGTTGGTCAAGAGGCTTTCTCGCGGATTGCTCCTGTGTGTGTTCCCATTGCTGATGTTATAACTGTCCACAATCTCTTCCATGCGCTCACGAGTAGTTCCGCTCATCGGCTTCATTTTCTTGTTTATGACAAATATCTAAGATTCCTTGATAAGTGCGATCGTTGTTTCTTTTTTCCTTCCACATCGTTACTTAGCTTTTTTGTGTACTTCCTGCATTACTGAACCTTTGGTCTTTAATAACAGCTAAATGGCGTCATGTGATCCATGTATTTATGCTCACCTAAAGGAATAAGGCTTTGTTATTGTTGTTTTTGTACTTGCTGACACTAGTTCCATGCAGGGTTATCAAGAATTCTAAGAATGTGATGGCTTCATCTATTGGAAATCTTCAACTTACCGAGGAAGAGATTGTCCTTGATGTTGATGGCACAATTCCAACTCAACCTGTTCTTCAACATATTGGAATCGCTGCATGGCCTGGTGACTCGTTCATTCTTATACCCAAAACATATGTCCATGTTGATTTTAGTTCTCCAATATGTTAGAATCTACTACTAGGATTTTGGCAGATTCAATAGTTTGGATGGGTGGTTTAGCAGTTCTTACTATTTAACACAATCCTGCTGAAATCATTGAGTCACTGAGAGTCCAATCGGTCACCAAGGGCTGCACTCAAATACGAGTCCTAAACCTTTATCCTGGCCAGTTATAGAGAATGTTTGTTTGCATGAAAAAAACATGGAATAATCTCTAGCATATATGCTCAAGGGATGTCTAGAAACTTTTCTCAGTTAAGTCTTTTTAGGGCCTTAATTAGAAGCTAGTGTGATGAATCCGGCTAATTGGATTGTGTGGAATGAAATAAATTATTTTAGATCACCTTGTGTAATGTGTTAGGCTTTCTTTGCTGCTTTGTGCCTGAGAAATGTAGTAACAAACTGACTAGGAACCCATTTTCATCTGGCTGAGTAATGATCCACACATGTTTTCCACTTCACTCACTTGAACCTCAATTTTCTGACTTTTATAGGGCGGTTGACCCTGACAAATTTTGCTCTGTACTTTGAGTCGTTTGGAGTTGGTATGTATGAGAAAGCTGTTCGATATGACCTGGGCTCAGACTTGAAACAGGTCATAAAGCCTGATCTAACTGGACCCCTTGGTGCTCGCCTGTTTGATAAAGCTGTGATGTATAAGTCAACTTCTCTGTATGTTATCTGTTGACAAATATCATCTGACTTGTTTATATATTTCACTCGCTTTCCATTTGAATTTTATGATTTTTCACGATGTATTGACAGAGCAGAGCCTGCATATTTTGAATTCCCTGAATTTAAAGCAAACTTGCGTCGTGATTATTGGTTGGACATTATTCTGGAGATCCTACGTGCACACAAGTTTATCAGGAAATACTACCTTAAAGAGACACAAAAATCAGAAGTGCTTGCCAGGGCTATTCTGGGCATTTTCCGCTATCGTGCAGTTAGAGAAGCTTTCCGGTTTTTCTCATCCCACTATAAAACATTGCTTACTTTTAACCTGGCTGAAACTCTTCCACGGGGAGACCTAATCTTGGAAACCATGTCACATAGCTTAGCAAATTTGAATGCTGTTTCTGGTAAACGTGATATTCCTGCAACTGTAGATACAAAAAGGCATCAATCAGTGTCTCCAGTGGCAGTTATTTCACTTTTCTATCTTGGATTCAGATCAAAAAAGGTGGTTGATATTTGTGAGGGAACAACATTTGTTAGTGATATTAGGGTTGGTGAGTTACATCCCTTGGAAGTGGCAGTGCAAAAGTCCCTTCTGGACACTGGAAAAGCTGAAGCTGCACAGGCAACTGTGGACCAAGTGAAGGTTGAGGGAATTGATACAAATGTTGCAGTAATGAAGGTTCATTATTATTTACATTCCATAATCTCTTTTTGGAAGAAAAAAAAATATGAATTCCTTTGATCATGAAAATTATAGTAAAGTTAAGAGGGTTAATTAAAAAGAAATAAAAAAAATGTAATAATATGCTTTAAATTGTCACCTAGTTAGATATGACTTTCTTTGTAATATACTGCAACTAAGATTGAAAATGCCCCTTCATCTCGTTATTTTACTTCATACATGAAATTTAGTTCAATTTTAAACCTGAAAGATATGTATGCTGCGTTAGGTTAGGATATACATTGAATGACTTAGCTTCTCAAACTCAAATTGTAAGGTTTAAAAACAGCACGAGGGAAAAATAAAGTGACCCAATATTTTGTATATATATGGTATGGATAATTCCTTTTAACTTTTTGTAGGAACTACTATTCCCCGTCATTGTATCTGCTAACAAACTACAGCTTTTGGCCTCATGGAATGACTTTTACAAATCAACAGCCTTTTTGCTACTCACCTGTTACATGATTATAAGGTAATTGTTTTATTGTAAAATCAGCATATGACTAGGTGTGGCCCACATTGATGTGTCATTTTATATCTGCTGTTTCAAATTGATGATTTCCATATAAATCAGTATCACTCTCATTTTTTGTTAATAGGTGTCTTTGATTCTCAACTCTATTACATTCAGATTTATACACAATTTTCTTTTCATTCTGAACATTTCAAAAGGATTTTATATCGGTTCATACCTCAACTCATGTCCCGTCAATTTTGTATAAATCTAATAATCATAAATGAACAAAGCATTTTCCCCACACAAATAAATGAACAAAGGCCAGTTTATCACTATTCGTTGTTGAATTTCAACATGTATTGATTATTGAGAAATAATTGTAAGTTAAACCAGCTTACAGTGTACGAGACTCAAGAAAGACAAAAGCAAAGAAACAAATCAATATGGAATGATATTAATCAAATCACCAGAAAGTATTTTTTATTTTATTTAACGCATGCATGCCCTTCTCTCCAATGTTTGAGATCATCAAGGCTGATGCACATCTAATCACCACTTAAACCTGTCTTTAATCTATCTTGCATTTTTTTTTGTAAGCTTGTCTCATGCAAAATTCATCATGTTGTTGGCACCTTTCTGCACACTATTGTCAATCTGTACATCTACAAAATGTTGAGGATGATAAATCTAAATGCTCAAATTAAGGGTTTAATAAGTTTTTAAACCTTTTTATTTAACAAATTGAATTCCCACAACGATCACTGAGGACTGTGTTAATAAATGATATTGTTTTAAAATAAGCTCCAATTGATTGGATGAATAACTCAGTTTATTAACACTGATGTACAGCGGTTGGATCCAGTACTTTCTGCCATCCATTTTTGTGTTTATTGCAATTCTCATGCTCTGGCGAAGGTATTTCAGAAAGGGAAGACCATTAGAAGCCTTTGTAGTGACTCCTCCCGCAAATAGAAATGCTGTAGAACAACTGCTGACATTACAAGAGGCCATTACACATTTTGAATCACTCATTCAAGCTGCAAATATTATTCTCCTAAAAGTGAGAGCTCTTCTACTTGCTATATTACCACAGGTGAGTATCCAAGTCATGCTCTATTTCTACGAAGAAAGGTTAAAATGTTCGTGCATGTAGTTGGTCGAAAACAATTTTTAATATGCATACATTAACTAGTAGGGTAATATGGTGAGGTTTCTGCTGCGTTTTATAATCCAATGTGAATGAAGTAGATATGTTATTAAACATAAATGAAAAGAACTTCATCTGTTGGAATTTTTAAAATCCACAAATTTTTTTGAGAGGAATGGAGTTATGGGAAGAGAGGCAGGAGGAGGATAAGGCAAGCTTTGATTAGAACAAATGCAAATAAACAATGAAAATTTAAAGAAGTTCGACAGGACAAAATAGCACTACAATCCCTCTGCCTAGCTAAGTTTCTTGAAGAAACAAGAAACCCAGGGTGGGGAGGGTAGTAAAGAAAGGCTAAATAGTGCTACACCAAATTTTAAAAACACATTGCCACAACTTTTTACTGCATTACTGGCGGCAACACCTGATCTAAATAAATCAGAACTCCTTCCGCCCCAAACTTGATGCCATTCATCACCTTAAACTCCATAAATCTACTATTTCAACTATAGGTCTGCAGTACAAGGTATCAAGAGAGAAGACTTTGTGGATTCTATTAATTATTAATATTCCTGTCCTATCCTTTTGTAAGATTCAATCTAGAAGGTCTACCACATTAATTATTTATTTACAAAAATACCCATCATTATTAATTTTTTTTTTTACATAATGCCCTCCATCAATAATTATTTTTCTAAGTTCAATAAATAACAAGTAAAATGCAATGTCTTAAAATATTTGGTAGTCTAGCTTGTCTTGAATAAAGAACATTTTGGAAACTTGGCTATTGATATGTACAGTAAAAAAGTTAAAATAATAAATATATTAATTGTAAAAGAGATTAACATAATTAAAACTAAAACATATAAATTCAAGATAAATTTGATGCTATAACTACATTAAAATAATTTCTTTAATCTTGGTGAATTAGTTAATAGAATCTTATAAAAAATAACCGGAGGGAATATTAATCTTATTGAGTGCCATTATCAAAATGATGACTTAAGCATAGTTGGAAGCCTCGGATTTTGTTAAGTTGTCCCCCCCATCTTGGCTAGGAATATTGCAAGAATACTATTTATAAGACTAATATATTTCCCTTGAGCTAACATGTACGATTGAGTTAACCATGGTTCATTTCTATTGTGTACAACAACAGCACATCATACCTGTTCCTACTGGAGATATTGTTTGTTGTCCTAAATAAGTTTATAAGCATATAAATAATGGCATCCTTTGTAGCCTTGATAATTTCTTATATTTATAAAGTATCTGCTGATTGGAAAGTAAGTTCCTCAATAGTTAAACTTTTTCTTGAGTGTAACAATTGTTCTGCAGGCAACAGAGAAGGTTGCACTGTTACTTGTGTTCATAGCAGCTGTGTTTGCTTTTGTTCCACCAAAGTACATATTTTTGATGGTATTCCTTGAGTATTACACAAGGGAGATGCCATGTAGGAAGGAGAGTAGTGATAGATGGATAAGGCGGATTAGAGAATGGTGGATCAGAATACCAGCTGCTCCTGTCCAGCTCATTAAGCCTGAGGACTCCAAGAAAAGAAAATGATATTGCGTCATACGCCCAAAGGTTGTCTATTCTTTTCAGGGTAACCATAGCTCAGTCATTTTTTTATTTTTATTTTTCTATTCTTAAGTATGAATCCTCTTCGTATTTTCTGGGTAAACAAAGGTTGTATATTCTCTTACCTCCCCATATATATTAAACTAGAGCTAGTTTGGATCTGTTGTACGGCATCATCGTGATGAGCTTATTTCTAAAGCTAAAATGATAGAAAGGAATCACTTGTGCTAAAAAATCATGACCGATTAATTTTGACAAGACTAAAGAGGATCCCAACAAAACAAGTTTATTTTCAAGGTCGTTTCCTTCAAAAATCAGTAGATAAATAATCTATTTATTAATGTAATATATTTTAGAGGGCATGACTAAATACTCCTGGTTGTGGAAATTTTGTTTACGTAAAAACACGAAATTTTATCCTACAAGAAAGTACTCGATTTCAATTTTTTGTTGATGAAGCACCAAATAATTCTCAAATTTAAGTTTAGCTCGTTAATAATAATTATAGACTAAAATTAATATAAAATAACTTATGTAATAACGTATTTTCGTTTATAATTGTGAAAAACATTTGATCGTTTTTTATTTAGAATCAAGTCGGCTTGAGTCTATTCTAGGAACAAATTGAATGTTTTCTTAAAAAAAAGGGGTTCCCGTATTTACATATTGAGTACGATTAAAGCTATTCTTCGTAGGGGACCAAAAACATGAAAGCTTGTTTAGGGAGACCCATATTAGCAAGGTGATATATATATAGAGAGAAAGTGAGTTTGACAAGACCTTTTTGCCCCAGAACGAAATAATAATACACTGACTACACACCCTTATATCTCCAATAATGTGAAGAATATTTGCACGTAATTCCTACGTTCCCGCACAAAACACCTCGAAGATCCAACTTGCACAAGTTCTGAGATCTTCACAGTGTAAATGCAAGAGAGGTAATGCTGACAGAATATGGACTACTTGATTCTCTTTTACACATTCTCTGGCCAGAATTCTCTGAAAAAAGCGCGCTCAAATTCCTTCTCTTGCATCTTCTTTTCAAGCTCCTGCATCTTTCTCGTCCGTTTAGAATATGTTTTGGCTTTCTTTTGAGGTAAATGATCCTGAAATTATTTGTTATCAGTGAAAAGCAGGAAATCATTAACTTTTTAATCTTATATTCATGTCAAAATGGCTAAAAAAGGATTGAATTAAAAGTATTGTAGGTTCAAAATGATCTCGTCTCACCGATTCAACACTCTGCTGGAATACATTCTTATTTTCACCCATCTTCTTCGTCTCATTTTATAACTTGGTGGTTTGAGCAATTCTTTTTATTTTGAAAGACAGGAAAAGACTCGAAATAACCCTTTGATATGCTTAAATGTATAAATTTTCAAAGTATATTCCCAATAACATGAGAATGTCAACTGTTTAAAATCAAGAGTTTTAGTACTTTATTCAAGAAAACCAAAATTAGTTCCTCTTGTTGTGAAACATGTTCAAACAATTTTTTTTACAACAGGTTAATTTGGACACATCCAAATACATTCAACAGTTCAAAATTAATCCCACCAAATTTCCCCAACTTAGAAATAAACGGCCTTGATTGTTTGCAGGGACTAGAGAAAGAGTAAGACAAAGAGAATGCATCATTTCAAGGTAGTCAAACGAGCAATTTAATCTACTACATTTCCAGGGTTGAAAAATGTGTTAAACCACATGAAAGAATCATTTGTATCACCTTGGGTGGGCCCAAGCAAACTTGGTCAGACTCAAACTTATGAGAGTCTAAGCCTGACGAACAAATTCAGCTTGTTGCAGAAATTCCAACCCAATACCAAAAGAAATACCATCCAGAACAACTCCATTTGGTTAGTGTCCCTTCAGGTTTTTTCTTGAACTCCCCCACCAAATTTTACAAAAAATAAATAAAAGAAGGAACTTGAAGAATCAGTATATTTCAATCAATAAACTTCGAACCAGCATTCTTTAAATAATAAAACCCTTACTGATCATCCTCTAACTCCAAACAAAAAGGTAGTATTTTGCATGGTTATGTTATGCTTTTGGATATGTCAAGCCAAAGTTCTTTGTACCATCTAAAATTGTTTAGGTAAATTTTTACATAATAGATGAAATCAGAAAAATAATATAAAACCCCTAGGCAATGATCCAAAAGACAATCTTACGAAGATATTACCTGTTGATTGCTCCCTTTAGAGGAGTCGCTATGATCCGGTTTTACTTTCACAGCCTTTTTCTTCACTTTATCTGCTCCCAAACCACGTTTATTATTCTTCACACAAGTTTCCACAGGTTCTAACCTACCCTGTTTCAATGATAAATTTATTCATCAGAAGAATTATTGCAATTATCACAAGACTATACCTGTTTCTTATAAACAAAAAAAAATACAATTTATGGAGATGGTAGTAGTTCTAAAAGAGGAGCTTAACAGTTACTTTGGTATTGGGACGAGAAAACAAGCACACCTTTGTTCCTATCAATATTCCATCATTTATTATACCACAGATCCGGTTTAAAGTTAAATAGACCTCACAAGTCACAATCTCTAACATAACATGAAGATTGATGAGGTGTTAAGTAAAGAATTCATGTGTTTTTGAATAAAGAGCATTTAATGCCCGAGTAAATCCTCAATTTCATCCCTAAACTATTACGAACTAACAGAAGCGTTGAATGTTACGAATTCAACATTTAGATATATTTTTTTGAGTGCAGATTCCACCATCCGGTTTAGAAAAAGAGAGAGCAAGAAAGAATACCTGTTCGGATACTCCAAGACCAGTCCCTTCTTTCCAACCTTGCTTCTTCAGTAGCTGCATAAAACAACACCCCAAATTATATTTTCACGAACGGTGAAAAAAGGAATTGTAAAACAAAAAATCACAGCACATAAAATGAAACAAAACTAAGAAACAAAGTACCTGAAATCCTATATTCGAAGAGTTTATTGCTGTTGCAGAACCCGATATCTCTTCCATGGCTTTCCGAACTTAATCTGCGTACGTAATTAAAAAATAAATACAAAATTAAGACACTGGAAAAATATCCAAATCAAACCATTTAAAGTTCCAAAAATTCTTTTTAATAAATTGATCATTTCATTCCTAAACACCTTTTCCTCTTTCAATCACGACTTTAAAACCGTCAACAAAACCGTATTCGCAGTCGATAAACACCAACAATTCTAATCGAAAGGATTGAGTATATGAATTTGGAGTATTTTGCTTCCTACCTAAAACTGGTCAGAATTTAGGAGAAAAAATTACGCGTTTTTTCCTTTTATTTTTCCCCCTTCTCAATTTGTGTTTTATTCTTTTCTATTTCGTTCTTTTTTTCCCCTAGTTTGAAGTTATCAAAAACACCAAAACGGGCCCAGATATCCCATAGGCAACGAAACTTTTGGATTTTAAACTATACTGGATTTGGGCCTAAACTCGTACGCAAGGACTTTTTCTTTTCGCATCAACATTTTACTCTCTATCACCTTTCTTAATTTTGAGATTGAAGTGACCATAGGATTATATTTACTTCTACCCAACCTTCAAATTCATCGTATTCGAATTTTTTTTCATAGAGATGCTTTAGAATTATATCCAATTCACAAATAAAATATTTTAACATTGTATACCATTAAATCGTAGAATAAAATAATATCAAACTTAAATAAAATATATTTCATTATAATTGTACTTTTTAAAAACAGTATAAATAATTTAACCAGATTAGGATAATTCAACATAAAATTCAAATGTATTTTCAAATATATTCTGTTTAATTTTTAAAGCTAAATCCTATTAAATCAACTAAAATTGCAAGAACCGATGTCAAAATAAACTGTTCAGTCCAGTTTGAACAAGTAAAAAAAAATTAAAAGTTTTAGTTTAATCTAACATAAATTAATGGAATAATTTTGACTTGATTAAATTATTTTCTAAAAAATATTAATATATTTATATCAAATCAATTAATTAAAGAATATTTAAATATAAATTAAAAAATAAAAAATTTATTTTTATAAAAAAATTATTTTTTTATTTAAGATATAATGATTTAATATATAAATTATAAGAGAATATATCTTTTCAATTTTAAAATAAAAATTTAAAACTTATTATTAATTAAAAATAATAATTAATCTTAATTATTATATCTTAAAATAAATATTTATTAAAGATTTATTTTGATATTTACTCTTAAAATAAATAGATTTCTTATTGAATTAATTTATAATACTATATATTTTTTAATAAAATAAAATTAATTTTTATTTTAAAAATAATTATTATTCTATTTATCAGACCGGCTTTGAAAACAAATGGACCTAAGTCATAAATTTTATTTTTCTATCTTAACTTATCATCCATTCAGCTCAGTCTATTTTAACGTCCAAAAATCAATATTTTAACACTGACATACATCTATTTGAAAACAATTAAATTACTCTTTTCTAATTTTTATTTTTTCTGATTTCTCTATTTGTCTGTCCTGGTTAGAGATAAAAACTTTAAAATATTATTATTTTGGTGTCTTAGTTAATAGTATTTTTATGTAAGTCAAATGTTTTTTTTTATTATTAAAAATTTTTAAGTTAATATGATTGATATAACGGGGAGAGAGTGACTATTTGGTCAAAAACAATTTGCAGAAACTAATTTTTAGAATATATTATTATTTTAAAAAGGAATAATGGGCGAAATGCAAGGAGAAGAAAAAGGGGTGCAAAAAGAATATTGTTGTAGCCCAACTTTGTGCTTTCACGATTGGACTCTGAGACTGGGCGCATTTTTCTCTTGGATTCTCCTCCTTCCATCGCCAACTCAATTCCTCTCAGAATTCGCTTCAGTTGGTAATCACTTTTTGCTCTTTTTCCGTTTTTCTGTGGATAAACTTACTGTAACACCTTCATTTCGCACGCTTAACAATTTCAAATTTTCAATTCAACTCATTTTATGATATGTTACTCATTTGATTTTCCATTTATCCACTCACTCACCCTTTTTGTGTTTCCTTTTCAGAGTACCTTGCTTGAAGAAATGGCGCTGCCACATTCCATCACTCTGCCTTTCCCCTCTATCGTTTCACCTAGGGCTACAAAACAGAGCTCCAATTCATGTTCTATTCCCAATCACAAACCACCTACCAAGAACCTTTTCAATTCTATTCTTCTCTTAAAACTGGCAAGTATATCAAATTCTTCTTCTTCTTGCTATTTATCTAAGACCCTTTTTGGATAAAGTATATTTCTTCGTAAATAGTCAGAGAAGAAGAAAATAAGAAGACAAAAATGAAATGAATTGAGATTTTCCATAAGTTAAAGCTTAGTTGTGTAACTTTCCGTTCAGGACTTGATGGAATATTTTCTATAAAGTTAAGGACTTGAGTTAATTTTAACTTCCCATTCATTTTCATCTTCTTATGTTCGTTTTCTCCTAAAGTATTTATGGAGAAATTTATTCAATGAAGGTCTCTGTTGAGTTTTGTCTCAGATAAAGTTTGATAAACTCTTATATTTCCCTCAAACAGGATGGTAATAGCAGAATCCCAACCAGAGTCCAAGCACTCAAATCTGGTGGTGGTAAATGGAAGAGAGGAAAAGAAGCATTTAGTGACTCTGATGATGACGATGATAACGATGCACCAACTGGGTCTGCTGCAAATGACCCTTACCTTATGAGTCCTGAAGAGAGACTGGAATGGAGGAGGGCGATAAGACAGGTGTTGGATAAGAAACCTGATGTAGACGAGGAGTTAGACCCGGAAGAAAAGAAGAAGAAAATGCAGAAGCTTATGGATGATTACCCTCTTGTTGTGGATGAGGATGATCCTGACTGGCCTGAACATGCTGATGGCTGGGGATTCAGCTTGAGTCAGTTTTTTGACAAAATTACCATTAAGAACGAGAAAAAGGATGATGATGACGACGATGATGTTGACCGTCCCGAAATGGTGTGGCAAGATGATAATTACATTCGTCCCATCAAAGACATAAAGACTGCAGAATGGGAGGAGACAGTATTCAAAGACATAAGTCCCTTGATTGTTCTTGTGCACAATCGATATCGAAGGTTTGGTCTACTTCTATGTTTAACGTCTGTCTGATGTTTATTTTGTACATCCTGTATTTAAGCCCGATAATTGCTTGAGTATTCTTAAGTAGCTTAAAGGAAAGTCATCCCTATATTTTGTTTCTTCAATAATTTATTGTTTAGATCTAACTAGCTGAATGCTGATTGTTCTGCTGTTGCCTGCTCCTGTGAGCATGCTACAGAGTTAACATGTATGTTACAATTGCTAACAAGTGTGACCATTTAAGAGAACTCAACTCAGAGTAGTCTTATGTTTGGAATTGGTTAGCTTTGATTTGACAACTTAAAGTTTAGTGCAGTTGGATATGCTAATTAAGCACTTGTTTTTATTTCTTTTTCTTTTCTGGATTTAATTTTCATGCAGATACATCGTTTGCACATGAGCATGCGTGCTTTTATCTTTGAACAATGCTAACACGTTCCCTTAGGGTACTAGTTAAGAAATCAAAGTAAAACATTTTTATAGAAAGGTGCTATCATTGCTTTTAAGAGGTGTAGGGCTCTTTTCCTTTTTATCTTTTGGAATGGAGTTCTGATGGGGGCTTTCTCAAACATCCAACCTTTTGTGTTTAATTACCCTCAGAATTTGGCTAAAGAACTTTAAGGGAATTTAAATTTAATTGGTCTGCTAGACGGCATTTAATATTATATGTATGAAATCGCAGTGCTCCATATTTACAATTAAATAAAAGTAAAAGTTCTTAATTTTATCTTTAGGCCAAAGGAGAATGAAAAAATTCGGGATGAACTGGAGAAGGCTGTGAACATCATATGGAACTGCAGATTGCCTTCACCGAGAGTAAGTAGTCAGTACAATCATACACTTATTGCCATTGGTTCCTGCTACTTTAGCATGAAATGATTTTTATTTTTTTTTGTCTCACTTCCTTGTCCATCTCTTATGAAAGTGTGTTGCAATTGATGCTGTTGTTGAGACTGAACTGGTTGATGCACTTCAAGTATCAGTATTCCCAGAAATAATCTTCACTAAAGCTGGCAAGATTTTATTCCGTGATAAAGGTATTGGTCTATATTACCCCGAAAATATTTAACCTTTTTCTTAGTCCTTTTTTTCTGACTTAGCCTAACTTCCATTTGGTCTCTCAGTCATTCGCAACGCAGAAGAGTGGTCAAAAGTCATGGCTTATTTCTACTATGGTGCAGCAAAACCATCCTGTTTGAATAATATGACATTTTCCCAAGAAAATATTCCTTCTATTGTCACTAATAATCCAGTGTCCTGAAAAATTAAGGGTCCAAATTTGTGTCCATCCACGCTGCAGAAATATTTCAATGTAAAGATGCCTCGGACATTCTGCCCTTGTTATAATAAAGGCAAGGGGAATGTCTACCTCTATTGACTGCACATAATATGATAGAATAGCTTCCATAAAAATGCATGAAAATTGATAGAACAGGCTCTTTTAATGTGTGTCCATGGAAACCAGCGGAGGAAATGAGCATCAGACATGGTTTATTAGGATGAAAGAAAAGTTGGACATGGAAGATGAAACTTCGAGACCAGATTACTAATTTGCTACTGGGTCAAAACTTCATGTATCCTTGCAGCCTTGTGCATATTTAGAAGCTACACTAGTCATCTTTTGTAGAAATTAGACTTATTTGTTATAGACATTAAAGAGCGGTGGGAAGTAGATTTTATGATTGCATAAAATAATTCACTTTTCTCTCTGAATACAATGTAACGTTGTGGGAAGTAATCGGATCAATGAAAAAGGAAAATATTATTAATAAAATAATTATTTTTATTTTTATTTAATTATTTTATAAATATAATATTAATAACTAGGGTTGTCTAATATATGTATTTTTTAGGTGGTTCTCAAAATATCACTCTTTTAAAAGAATCACAGACCTTGCAAAAACTCACGTGAAGAAAAACCAGTAAAAAATAACAATACCTACAGTAACGGTCTAATCTACAAGATCAAGCACGATACCTCACTATAGACTCAACAGAGTTCAATTTAAAAAAAAAATAAAAAATTCTTTCCTTTTCATTTTTTTTTTTAATTTAAGGTGGGTGTGAGTGGTGTCAATATATTTTGAATTCAACCTAGATTAAGGTTTTGAAATGATCGAATGAATGAGAGTTGAAAATGTTCGTAAGCCGTAATTTGTTTAGATCGTTATAAAAATAAACATTAATTAAAATATGCTAAAAGATTACGTATAACCCTCGAGTCATATTCCTAATTCGTTACTAACAAACCCCTACTTAATTAGAATCTTTAAAATACTATCATTACATCTACATCATTATTTAATTGGATTCTTTAATTACAGGAACTAAAAATATTGACAACAAATTTAGGAATTAAAATAGTCAATTATTTATTTAGGAACTAAAAATAAAAATATTTAAAATTAAGAATTAAAAACACATTTTACACAAATTAGTAAAAAAATTATATTAAAACGTGTACCATGGCAAGAATTTGCTACTACATATTTTTAACATGTACCAACCAATGTAGTAAAAAATCCCCTGTAAAATGCAGTTTTATAATAAAAGTGTCTCAGAAATATTAGTATGTATACTTTTTTTTACAAGCACCAAACTTTTAAAACAGAAGCCTTAACCCAACCAAACTTAGTTTGAATTGCAGCTTGTACATAGGCACACACCAAATAAACCACGTATCTTCTCCGATCACTTTGTTAGATTAAAACCTCTTCCTCTTCTTTTCTCTTCTGTTCTGTTCTTCTTGGTCACACCTTCTACAACCATCCAAGTGAGTATGATAATCAATTTGCAATTAACTTTCTATGCTTATGATGACCCTAGTTGACTCAGAACATTTATCTCACAAACTAGCGAAATGGTTGCACAACTTAAAAGTTTTGGAAGCAAAACTGATACTCTTCTATTAGTCTGTACATATTGAACTCTTCTGTGTTCCCTAGTTCCAGCTTCACTCTAGATCGATCTCCGAACTCCTTAAAGATCGCATCTTTAGCCGTTTCAATGTCTGCTGATTAGTGCAGACAGATATTTGTCTGCAAGGAAATGAACTGGGGAAAACAATTAACTAATTAATCCAGACACTAATGATATTTTAATGAATTATACACCAAACACGCGGATAAAAGTAAAAACATCTATATTGTTACTAAATAGAAATAGAGCGACATGTAATTTGTGTATAGTTTTTAAATTCGATCTGTTTTTATGGAATATCTAAACCATGGGTAGGCCAATGGACTCTGCACTTCTAGAATCAAGTTACGAGAGATGAGAACGATATGTTGAAATGCAAGCATATTTGTAGGCATAAATTTACCGAGTGAAATTTGAATGAATACACACTGATTTCATCCCAATTATATACTATCATGCTATTGTCTCAGCTACTGTTCAATATTATCTCACAGTAATATTGTTTTTTTCCAATTATGAGAGTTATTCTATGTTTGTTTGATATAATATGTTCTTATGTATTTTTGTTGCTATTATTTTTTTAAAGTTATGATTGACTAATTTTTTTATTCTTCATGTGGCTTGAAAGTTTGGTTTATCAGATCTTCAGTGACTAGGAACAGTGCTAGAGCAATTGATACAAGAAGTGCATATGCAAATGAAGCAAAAGCCTTCTGTGTGGCTAAATGATTTTGTTGGAGAAAATTTTAACAGGAATGTAAAGCAAATGTGGGAACTTTTAGGGGATGATCAAGTCTGCATAATTGGCGTACATGGAATGGCAGGAGTGGGTAAGATAGCCCTAGTAACTTATATTGAGAAAGATATAACCAATCAGGGCAGTTTTAAACATGTCTTCTTTGTCAATGTCTCCCAAGTATTTAGCACTTTTAAATTGCAAAATGACATTGCAAGTAGAATAGACATGATACTTGTTGAAGATGATGAGAGAATCAGAGCTCAAAAGTTGTCCTTAGAGTTGGAAAGAAAAGGAAAATCAGTGTTTATTTTGGATGATGTTTAGAAGAATATTGATCTACAGAAGGTGAGAATTCCTGACACAGTTAATGGCATTAAATTGATTGTGACAAGTCGTTTGGAACATGTGTGTCACCAAATGGATTGCCTACCAAATAGCATAATACGGATGGAACCTCTTTTTAGTTGAAGGAAGGCTGGGAGTTATTTTTGCTGAAGCTTTGGAACCGTGTAAGCCCTGCAAATCTTCCCCATGAAGTAGAGAAGATTGCAAGATCAAGTGCCAAGGAATGTGATGGTTTACCTCTTGGGATCAATGAGATGGCTAGAACCTTGAAAGGCGTAAATGACATCCGATGGTGGAGAAATGCATTGAATAAACTTCAAAAATCAGGAATGGAAGAAAAGCTCTTCAACTTGCTAAAACTTAGTTCCGATTATTTAACTGACAACATGCAGAATTGTTTCTTCTCTTGTGCATTATACCATGGAATTCGGAGGAAAACATTGGTTTTGAAGCTCTATGATGAGGAACTGATTAGCGACACAAGTTTCGAGAAAATTTAGGACGAGGGACTTACCATAGTTAATAAACTTAAAATGCATTCTTTGTTGTTGGAGGATGATTATATTCGTATGCATGGTTTAATAAGGAGCATGGTGTCCCACATAATAACAGAGAGTCACAGGTACATAGGAAATGTAATGAAGGATTGACAAAGTTACCTGGCATTGAGGAGTGAACAGCTGATTTAGAAAAGGTTTCCTTGATGCAGAATGAAATAAAAGAAACCACAAAAGGCATATCAACAAACTGTCCAAACTTGTCCACCTTGATCTTTAGTGGCAATCCCCTTCGTTGTATTCAAGATTGTTTTTTCAGACACATGAATGCTCTTTCTGTGCTTGATCTATCATGCAATCCATTTTTTACCCTTTTGCCTAATGCAGTGTCTAACTTGAGGTCACTTATCTCTCTGCTACTTGGAGGATGCAAGTCACTGGCATTTGTGCCTCCGTTAGGACAGCTACAGACATTGTCTAGGTTGGACATTTCAGGAACTTCCATTGAGGAAGTACCACGAGGTTTGGAAAAGCTAATCAACTTGAAATGGCTTGCTTTATCTGAGAATTACAGCTTGATATTGTTACCAGGATCTGTGCTACCTGGTTTAACCAGTATAAAATACCTTGATATCCGCTATAATTATGGTTTAGCAAAGGTAAATGCAGAAGATGTACAAGGAATGAGCATGTTAGGACATTTTTCAGGCAGTTTTCATGATTGTGATAACTTCAATAATTATGTGCAAGCAACCTTGGACAGAGGTAGTCGCCCTAAATCTTATTATCTCCATTTGGGAATTGGTCCTGGATACTTTTTGGATTATTCTTATGACTGTAACTTTCTCACAAATGATGAGTGCCGCATTGTGAGTTTTGGGGACTGCACAAAATTAGATCATATGCTTAACAGATATTGCAAGGTTATGTATAGCAGAGAATAAACAATGGCGACGCTTGTGTGATGTTGTGTCATCTAGAGCTTCTTCTTCTTTGATGTACATTGACAGTCGATTTTGTTCAAAAATGGAGAGCTTGTTTTGCTTGACTAGTTAATGTTCCCTGTGCAGTAATCTCCAAAACCTTGAGTCTTTGAATCTTCAAAATTTGGAAAGCTTAGCTGTCATATGGAAGGAAAACGAAGTCATAGCAAAAATATTCCTCGTGGTGACATGTTCATGTTCTCTCGTATCAAACATCTTAGGGTCTCCAAATGCCACAAGATAGAGAAATTGCTGACAATTGGGCCCCTGCTACAGCTTAAAAACTTGGTCACACTAGAAGTAAAATGTTGTTATTCTATGAAAGAGATATTCACAGTGAGCATCACGGAAGATGTAGGCAGGGTTAATGAAATTGCTCTGCCCAAGTTAACAAGGTTGGAGTTTAGAGATTTGCCACAATTGAAGACTGTATGGCATGGAATTATAAAGTGTCGATTATCTCCAAAATTGAACATTATTGCCTGTCCCAAACTAGAAAAACTTCCAATTTTACAAACTGTTTTTTAATTCTGATAATGATTTTTAGGTGTATGAGCGTGACTGTGACATGTACACTTCGTGGTTTTATTCTTAATAAACAATTAACTTGTTCAAATAAGTTGCATAAGAATTAACTTATTTATCTAGCCAAATATAATTTGTAATAATAACAACGTACAAGGTTCAATCTGCTATTTTAATTTCCTTATTCAGATTGAAATAAATTGCTGACATGTACTTCATTTTGCCAATTATACGAATCAATGATGCATCACGTTTGACATTATTAGTCAAAAAGTATAGCATTTATTGAGAAATCGAAAATTATAAAGATTTGGCATGAATAGTTAGAGAGAAACTAAAATTGTATGTTTATATAAGGGTTAAAAGTGCATAGTCATTCAGAAATTTATATGGAAACAAAATGTGAGAATTTTTTTCCTCCCACTTGCGACATTTCACTGCAGTAGCCACAGTATCGAGCTCTAGGCTAGGCACTAGTCTGTTTTAAATAGAGATCATTTATATAATAATTAAACAATAAAATCATTGTCAATAAAAAAAAATAAAAACTATCCTGCGACCCGTTGTTAAGATAGTTGGATCGGTAATCTTGTGAAAATCCACCTTTATATGACAAAGCACTACCACTAATACATGACCATCAATGTCCAATAATTAAAAGCATTTACTGAATCACTATAATTTTACAATAAATTCAAACAAAATTTGCACCAACTTATAAGAAATATGGAACGCCTGTCCTGGGTCCTCTCATCTGATTGTTCTCCTCTGTTTCAGTGAAAAATTTAACTTCTCTTTCCTGTCACAAATCGAAGGAACATATTGTAAAAAAAAAAAAAAAGTTCCAAGTTACTATCTACCATGTAAAATATATTACTAGCATTTTTACATGCCTATTCATACTTCCCCACATTTTCAACTTTATTCCATTTTCCAAACATACCTTTATTTAAATCAAATTCCTTCACATATAAAATATGAATTGAAAAAAAAGAATTATAATTACATCAAAGAAGATACTTTCTAACTGTTAACATAATCTGATTGATGAAATTATTCAATAACATGACTAACAAATAAACACAACAAAATTATCTATATCAGAGCGCAGTTGATACACAAAATTGCATTTTTTTTTTCATAGGAATTGAACACATGTTAGGGACTTTACAACAGCACACGCTCCTGTTCAACCAACTGAGTTAGACTTCCTTGCCAATCAAGATTGCATGTATTGTCTATACCCGACACTCCCATCACATCACAGGAAATTTCGCAATACTAAATTGAAAATTTCATGCCAGGTAAAATAAAAGATGAAATTTCACCATGATTTGATTGTTAATGACCGCCAGAGAGCATATAAAACAGCGAGGCAAACACGAAGTATACAAAGCTCATGCCATCAGGGCTCTCCATCAATGGAGTCGTTATAGAATAGTAGTATTTGATGCATCAAGGGTAAAGAAAAGCACCACGATAACACAAAATCAAATTAAGTCACCGCGACTATCATCAAGGAAACAGATTTAGACACAGCAAAAAGCTTCACATGACTCACCATATTTTCATTGAAACTCAGAATAGAAGCTACATTTCCACATCGGTAACAGTAATTAGGTGCAGACCATACCTGCAAATTTCCAAGGGAATCATTCTATTAACCACTAATATTTATGAGACCGAAATTGTATTTGAAAATTTTAGGGGACATAAAATTTATTGTAATTCATATAAGAAACATACAGTTACAAGGCCTTTATCTTGGAACATATACTTGAGGCCTTCTTGAACAAGTTGATGCGCTCGACAAACAAGATCAAGATTATTTATGTGATTGAACTACATGAAAAAGAAAATGCATTGGTAAGATTAAAGCATAATATCCATTTCTAAAATAAGAAGTAAACTGCATTACCTCAGAAGTGACCCTGGATCCAAAAAGCCAACCTGCTCCACGGGGACTGACTGCCCATGTTTCAATATCTTCAGGATCACTCCACATTAGATCACAGAAAGGACCCTCGTGAGGAATTTCACAGTTCCGATCAATGATCCTTATCTGAAATAAAAAGTTCATTTCTATATTTTTTATAATAAATTTCGCTAAGACTAACAAAAACCAAAATTCATTTAACATAATAGTGATCCAAATAATTGCCCAATTAATTGATTTTTTATTGTGGTTATTAAAGAAATAGAAATATACATGTGTTCAACTGTTCATTTTCCTGCCAAAAATCAAAATAGTATGGGAATCATGAGGAAGAAGGACCATCAAACTAATTTAAAGACACATTTCACAACATGAAACCAGAATCAAGAACCATAAATTCAGAAACATCAAATATGCAATTTGATGGTACATGCTAAGTATCCACAAACAGACAGGGCACGGTAGGCATTATAAGTATGACACATTGACACCATGGTGCAATGAATATGCAGAAAATTACAAATTCTTAATTGAAAAGATGTAATTAGACACCTGAAAGTGGCACGTGTGTGAGGAGACAATCTATGCTACAGAAATAGTGTGGCTAACAAATAAGAAGAAGACTAGAAGACCTGATCAATTGTTCGAATGTCAGGAGAAAGGCCACCATGAACACAAAGCACCTGGGCAAGTATAACATGTAGAAGACTTAATTTTGAACAAGCAACATTCAAACAGAAATCAAATGAGTCCAGTAAGCTACCCACCAAGATGCACACAGGCACATGGGAGATAGATACTTGAGAGAAGAGAGTAAAAGATATTTACAGTTCCATCAATAATTGCAGAAAGTGTTAGATAGTCGAACACATCTGTACAATACCGCCATGCATTGGCATTGCCGTATTTCCTCTGGCATTCATCATAAAAACCATAGACCTTCAAAACAGTAAATTAAAAATTAACATAAATCAGCATTATACTTTGGCATTTCTGGTCTAAGTTTTTCCAAAATTCATATCTCCATTACTAAATTTAGCATTGGAATACATCTTTTATACAGTAGAGGTGGAAAAAGAATGCAAAACAGCAATGATATTTTGTATCTCAAAACCACAATCAAGTTAACAATCAACAGACACTTTATTTTATTGCCAATTCAGCTATGGAACCTGACCTGGGGTCAAAATACAAAATGGATTATCAGATGGTGCGCTAGGCAGACAAATAAAAGGAGAGAATAGGGAGGAGGAAAGAAAGTTTAGGACAGATTTAGAAAATTGAATTATATCCATAATTACCTCTTTTATCATTAAGCATTCATTACCTCTTTTTCGAAATAATGAATTGAGTAGTAAATTTATCACTTATCAGCAATTAATATTTTGTTGACCTATTATTGTCTTGTAATTGTTTTATTTTTCTAACAAAATATAATATTAACAATAATTATATAATTTTTATTTTTAATATGTGTATATACAGTCTTGTTTTTGGTGCCCTCCATAAATTGGGGCTCTGGGCTACCTTGACCATTCTCAGGAACCCCACTGAAATAGACATTACCACAACCAAAATAGCTTATTCACAACCATTTTCAAATTTCAAACAAAACAGCCATCTCCAAACATTGATTGCAGCTTCAGAAAATTCCAAGCAACTAGATTCTTCTAGCTTAGCCAATTAATGCTTAAAATTTTGAAAAGGACCATATTTTAAAATTGCCAATAATCAATTATTGGACCATAGAAATAAGCCTACCTCGGTGAACTCAACAATACTGAAAATTAAGATAGCATCATTGCTATTGGCAAGCAATAGAGTCATACATATAATCACACTACTAACACTTTTTAATATTATAACTAACTAGCATGCTAGACTGACAAGATTCAGAAATATTTTATAGAACCCTCCCAGATGAATAAAAATATATAAAATTCAGTAAGTTTAGAATGATTCATGTAAAGATTTCATTCACAAAGCGTACCTGGGTTAATTGTCTACTTTCATGATTTCCGCGTAAAAGGGTAATATTAGCTGGGTATCTACAAAATTACAGAAAAATAAAACGATCAGTAAATTTTAAAAGGAAAAAAAAAACACACACACACACACATATATATATATATATATGAGAGTCACACACCAATAGCTGCTTCTCAACAAAAGACAAATTATACAGCAAATAAAAGTTGCAGCAGATTTCATTTGAGCTTCAAAAATGATCAAGGAAGTCTACAAGTTTACAATCACGTTTTTTGGTGCCATGTTAAGCTGTTGATCAAATCTTCACAGAAAATCCAACTAATCAATATGCATGTTTGGCCATCCATGCAAGAGCTTTGAAAAAATTTCACAAGGTTTGACCAATGTTGTTTCCTTCTAAAGTGAAGAAAGAAACCAAGAACTTCAGAAAACAAAGACAGAAAATAGATGTAGAAACACTTTTGCTCCCTTGCTTCCCAAACCTTATCGCAATTTGTCTGCGAATCTCTTAATCATTACCAACTTTCTAATGCTAACCGACCTCTAGCACTACTCATGTCACACATATTTCCTTCCATTTTATATGAGACACTAACCATTATTACCCTCATTTTCTTCCTACTGTAAACCACAGCACCTAAGGGTCAAAAGGTAAAAAATTCAAAAATCAAGACCACAATTAATGCTCTGAAAATTTTGAATACAAAAATAGAAGAATAAATAAACTTTCTGGTTCGAAACGGAAGGACAGGCATGGTAGAAAAAACTAAAATAGAAGTGAAGTATTTAAACCTAATACTGAATTATTGATGCAATCATTCATAAAACTGCACCACTTGCAAATGGATGTAAATGGCCAAAGTCAAATATGCTAGCAAGTGCAGACTGCTTGGAAGTATCATAAGCACTTTGGTTTTAGAATTTAATAAGAATAACTCATAATGTAAATGTTATTTATATTGTCATCCAATCATGGATTCGCTCATTCAGTAAGATTATTGACTATAATAGTAATTACCTTGAAAGTTATATCTAAGACAATTTCTAATAAATTAGCAGTGTCAAAATCTTTAAACTGACATATTATCAATATTACACACTTTGAAATTATGTGTGAATTAATCTTAAACTCTTCGTAAATGCCTCCAATGCTAGGACAAATTCCAAGTGAAAATCTTATTGACAATTCATGCAAAGGCACTAGCATGTCAAGAGTCAAGACAAGAAGCATACATTAAAAGAACATACCTAGCTTTTAGAAGTAAAAGGATGGTGAAAACCTCAAGACTATTGTAACCTCGATCAACAAAGTCTCCCTGTCATGCATTTACAAAAAATTATAAAATCGAAAAACAAATATTAAATCATCAAAGTTAATGCAAAAAAAGGTGTAGAAAATACCATGAAAATATAATTTGTCTCAGGCACATGACCCCCAGTCTGGAAAAGTTTCATCAGATCATGGAATTGACCATGAATATCACCACAAACAGTTACTGGACTATTGACAGGCTGCACATTGGACTCCTCAATAAGGATTTCTTTTACCTAAGGTATTTGAAAAAACAAATTGTTATGGATTCAACAGAAATAAAAGAATATGCAAGTTAGTATGAAACATATTTTATTAACACCAAGGAGCACAGATGACAACTAGATCTACAGCAAAAGTACCCTTGAGTTGAGAACCAATATAGAGCAACAGCTGTTATAACCCTGTTACAAACCTCATTCCCCATAGCATCCACAAACAAACTATGGCTAACTTATCACAAAATAATACACGCATGTCCAGCAATAAGCCACACGACAGAGGTGAACCAAGCCAAAACATAATTATTTTCTGGCAGGATTTCAGAATAACGCCAAATATCCCTTGTAAATTGAATTAAGTTGGCCCATGTAATGTCTCCAGAAAACAAGTTTATTTTTTTCTGTAATGAACTATGATATTTTCTCCACAGGCTATTCGAGTTCTTATAGTCCACACTCTCATTTGCTGCAGATGGCTTTTAATAAGAGTTTTTCGATGTAATTAGGGACTTTATTGGATAAACTTCTCTAGTAAACACAAAATAAGAAGAAAAAATAAAATAAGATTATTTATTTGCAAACAAGCTAAAATTAGGTTACAAGGAGACTCATATTGTATTTTCTTCTCCAAATTTTAACCAAGACAGATGCCCAGCATAAAGAAAACAAAACAATTTATTCAGTAATCAGACAATTACTTTGTCCGGTGACCATTTTGTAACTGAATTTATTAATACAGGGCATGAACGGTAAGAATGAAAAAAACTGTAGATATACAATACAAAACCAACACTCAGAATTTTATTTCCCCGAAACAGTCCCAATAAAAAGGAGAAAACCGTCCACGTATAATCCAATTCAGCAACTAAGCGTTAGATCGAAAAAACAATGGGAACAAAATGCACAATCAGATTCCTATTTAACAAAAAAAGGGGGAAAATAAACAAAGTAAGGCATAGGCGTGAGAGGGTTTTGGAGTACATATTCGCAGAGAAGTTGAAGCTCGTCTTCGAGAAGATGCTGGCCATCTTTGACCTTCGAAATCCACTGGTCCAAATCCATCTTCGCCACAGATGGTTACGGTTCGGTCTCGGTAACGAAAGGGCAGAGCCAAAGCCAGAACCCAAAACCACGGGTGTGAATGATAGATTAGGTTGAAAGTAGTCAACTAACTAACACTTATTTATTAACCTTTTGCTTATAACCAGTTAATCAATTACTCCTATGCCAGCCTTTCAACTATTTTTACCCCTAAATTTACGGAATTTAAAGTGTATATTATTTATTAATCACTCTCTAGCGGTTCAAACTCCAATTCTAATAGTGGTACGGTAATTATGTTATGTAATTTTAATACATGAGATTCATCATATGTAAAACTAATAATAATAATAATAATAATAATGATTATCAAAATCCAACCGAAAAGTTAAACCGGTTAGATCACGAACAAGTCAGTTAATTCGATTGGGAACTTCCTACAAATCGAACGAAAGGTGAACCAGTCAAAAATAGGTGAAACCGATGGGTCAAGGGATCATTTGACTGACTCTCTTTTTCTTTCTATTTTTAAAAATGTCTAAATGATGTTATTTTTTCTGATAATTTTCACATAGTTTAAAACACGTAAACGTAAACAAAAAAATAATTTTTTTATTGGTGATTGTATTTTTTTTTTACTTTATTCTTATAATTGTCTTGGTTATCATTACTTATTACATTTATCTCCTTTTAACATTGTCTTTATTGTTGTATATTGTTATGTTCACTAAAATTTCCTTTTAACATTGTCTTTATTGTTGTATATTATTATGATCACTAAAATCTTTATGAAGATAAAATAACATCTAAAAATCAAAATTTTTTATTTAAAATATAAAAAATTTTATGTTGCATAACTATATTTAAAATAAAATAAAATATATAAAATTTAAAGTTAGATATAATAGAATACATGGTGTAATTTTTTTTAATGATTTTTAAGTTAGATGTAGTTATTTTTAATTATTTTTAAGTTTGTTATAATTTTTTTTCTAATTATTTTTAAATTTTTGTTAATATTTTTTTTATATATTTTACAAATCATTCTTATTATAATATAATAATTTTTTAAATAATATTTATATTAAATTAAATTATTATTATTATATTATGATAATTTTATTTTAAATTTAATATATTATTAAATTATTATATTAAATTGAATTATTATTATAATATTGTGATAATTTATTTTAAATTTAATATATTATTATATTATTAAAATATATTACTTTATTAATACGATTTAAACCCTAAATTCATATACTCCGGTTTGATAACCTACATTATTTAATAATAATAATAATAATAATAATAATAATAATAATAATAATAATAATAATAATAATAATAATAATAATAATAAGTCAAGAGAAAAAAAAGTAAGAAAGAAAAATAAATAAAATGAAAAATATTACTATTTATTTTGATAAGAAAGTTATATGAAAAAAATTATTTAAAACTTAATAAATAATTAAATTAAAATTAAATATTTATTTAATTAAATATTATTCTTAATACTATATTTTAATATATAATTATAAAATACTTTTATCATAATTTTTTCAATATTTAAATTTAATTTGATAAAATAATATCATATTAAAAAAATATTATATTTTTATATTTATAAAATATTAGTTAATAGACGAAAATGAGAGAATTTATAAATCTGATCTATCTAGTAACATCGTTTTAAATCCATGAATTGAAATTTTTTCCATCATAATTTGTTCAATTTATTTATTTATTTGTATTTATTTATTATTTATATGTAGGGTTTTTTCACTTTATTTGTTCTTTTACTCACTTCTCAACCATACATTGTTTTTGCCTTTTTTTATCTATTTTTTCTTTCTCTCACTCATTCTTTTAATTAAAAAAATACTAAATTAAAATATAATAAAAATATATCAAAATAAATTTTAAAAAAAATTATGAATTAAAAAACATTAATTTATTTATTTAAAATTACAATAATAATATTTTTTTATTTACAATGAAAGCAAATAATAATTTAAAATTATTTATTCATAATTAAATCTATTAATTTAATAGTAAAAAAAATTATCATCATTATTTTATCTATCTAATTATAAAATATTAAATATTTATGAATTAATTTATTTATTTATTATTTTAATACAATTATAATTAGGATAAATTATGATGATTAACTAGTTAAAACAAATTAAAAATGTTTATTAATAAATTATTTTAAAATAAAAAATATTTTTTAATAATTATAATGTAATAATAATATTTGTAATATATTAAATTTTATTATATAATTTTTTGTAAGATATAGTTGTTAGACAAATGACATCTAGAAAGGGTGAATAAATGCACAAATTAAAATAAATGTCAAATTATAAAATTTATTTTAAGATGTCCAATAATTTATTAATTTAATTTTAATTATCAGATAAAATATAGATAAAGCGATATAATCAGATAGATAAAATGAAATATTCAAGCATGAAGATGTAGGATACGGTGTTGTTAAAGAGATAAAAGCAAAAGAAGAACACACAGTAATTTATATTGGTTCGGGTATAACCAACCATATATCCAACTCCCGGTCAACTCTGATCACAAGAGTGACTCTCAATTCACTATCTTTAAAATTCAGTTTACAAATTACAATCAACTCAGCAGAGGAACCAGTAAAAATTAAACTAATTAAAAATACAATCACATCCTTAAAAACTCACAAAGGATGGACACCTTCATAGAATCTTATTAGGAATGAACACCTCCTCTGAATAAATCAAATGATGAAAATACCTCCTTAGAATCTCACTAAGAATGAACACCTCCCCAGAATTCCACTAAGGATGAACACCTCCCTGAACAAATCAAATGGATGAAAACAATCAAAACCATAACCACAACCACATTGATCAAGAAATAGTATGCACTCCTAAACCCACAAAAGATGAAGACAATAAAATAATAGCAACAACTTAAATCTTAAAAAGGGAATTTAACAACAACCACCTAAACCCACAAAGGATGAAGGCAATAAAATAAGAACAGTCACACCAGGGTAATGGAAACAACAAATTATAGAAGTTTATAGAATGCTAACCTCCAAGAACAAATGTGATTAATAATGAAAGTACAGAAGATAGTAAAAGAGAGAGTTTTCTAAGAAGGTATAAATTATATCTGTTGATTTGCTCAGAATTTTTTTCTTAAAACTGAATGAATGTAAAATTATATTTTCGAATTATGTAATTGTGTATTTTTTATTTTTCATCAAAACTCATATAAAGAAGAAAATAACATCAACAAATAGTCGTTGATCATTAATACTTTCGTAGAGAAAAATCAGGATGTATTTAAAAACATTTATTCTTCAAAACGGATATATTTTTCAAATATGAACTGTCATAATCAATTATGTTACCAGTATAATAAATTATGATAGAGAGAAAATCGTTTTTCCATTTCTGATGCATCATAATTGATTATGACGGTGAAAGATGTGATGTTAGGAAATTTTATCACATTTGTGCTTTAGAAGTTTATGTATAGTACCACCTCATCAACTTGTACCTCCATATCTAGTATTTTAAGACTCTATATAGTTTTTAGAAAACATTTTGGACTTGCTTGAATCTTGAATATTTTGACTTAAATCATTATCAAATTTATCTCTTGGGGAATATAGGGACATATTTCACATTGTCATCAATCTCCTCCTCCATGCTTTCAACAACATATTAAATTATAATATTTATGAATAATTTAAATATTTTTATTTTTTATAAATAATTTTTTTTTATCAAAACTTAATGTTGTACTTTTAATTATATAGATAAGAGGAGTGAGAGATGTAGAGAAAAAACACAAAAAACAAACATTGAATGAGAAGAAAGAAAAAAAGAAATACAACTAAATGAGAAAAGAAAAAGAAAAGAAAAGATAAATAAAAAAAACTCATTATATCAGAAAATTTAAAATAAATAAATTGAAAGATATTATATTTAAATAATTTTTGAAAATATATTATTTATTTAACATGTTTGTATATTTAAAAAGTGGAGAAAGAAAATAATTTTTTTTGAAATATTTTAAAAATTTAATTATATAGACATTGAAATATTTTAATACCTATATTTCTGTCAATAAACATAAATCACAATCATTTATTTGATTAAAAATAATTATATAAAATTATATTTTACATTTTTTTATATACGAGTGTAAAATAAAATATAAACCTCAAGAGACATTTTCTCAAAAACACAAAAAGTACTTTTTATTTTTCCACTTATTTATCTTTTAGACACTTACTAATCTTTTTTTGTATCCTTATGGAGGGAGTGGGTCTAAACGTGAACTCTCCCGTCCTTACCTCATCCTTAAACATTGGAAACACCACCCAGTATTTCTCTCTTCTCATTGGTTATAGATATTGTACCTTCAATGTCTGTTTAACTTCATTTAAGTGTCTGTTTTCATGTCAAATTTCACTCTAAGAGGTGCTAAATTCTTACAAGTCAATGTATACATTTTAAGAATATATTATTATTATTATTATTTTATTTCAATCACAGAAATAACGATTATTATAATAAAATAATATTATTTTAACGATTTTTAGTTTGAAAAATAAATGATTTCAAAAGAAAAAACAAGGTGACGTGTATTTATTTTTAAAGATGATTAACACCCCTGAGACTATTCTAAATGTCATTTCGTATTAAATAATTAGTTAGATAGATAGAGATACCGCGCGGATTCCCCTCAAGCCATACAATTATACATCTCATTTTGAATCATGAAATTGCCATTCTCACTCCATAAGCACCACCACCGAGGCACGCAAATTATCCATTCATAGCGAGAACAACGCTACTTCCCTTCTACGGTATCGCCGCACAAGTACGAAAACACTCACCACTTCACTCTCGCCATTTTCCAAATTCCAAGACAATACAAAAATATTAAAAATAATTAAAAAAAAGAAGCCAAAAGTAGAATATTTTCAAAATATAAAGATAAAGATTGAAAAAGAAAATTACTTCGATGGTACTTCAAAATCTCCGCTTAAACTTTGGTCGCATTCTCTGCATTCCGCTAACCGTTACAGTTATTCTCTCCTCCGCTGTTCCCTTCCCTCCCGCCGCCGCCACCACCGCAGCATTCTCTCACCACCGCCGTTACGCCGCCTCCGCATCGCCGATGAATCCGTCGCTGCAGTCTCAGTCTCAGTCTCCGCTTCCTCCGGTGGCGAAGAAGGTCGAGCACGAAATGGAGATGTTCGGCGATGTGAGAATCGACAATTACTATTGGCTCCGAGACGATTCCCGCACCGATCCCGAGGTGCTCTCTTACCTCAGCCAGGAGAATGCCTACACCGATTCCATCATGTCCGGTGCGACTCCTCTATTTCTTATCCTCTTTCGCTTTCACTGTTTTTTTTTCTCTTATTACTTTGAATTTTTTATTTTTCTTTTGACAATACAATCCGCATAATCATGCAAGTGTAGAACACTGTAAGCATGACTGTGCAAGTGTGGTTACAGTAGCCAAAAAAAAAATAACATCTTTGGTTTAGTTTGAGTAATTGATTGCACGGACTCGTCTTCTTGATTATGAGTTTGTGAAGTTTGGTTTTCCAGAAGGAAACTGTAACACTGTATTCGGTGCGGTGATCGGCAAGGGAAAATTGAAATAATTTGGATTTTCTCTTTCTCTCAGATTCCATCTGGATTGGTATAAAGCAACAGTTTAGGCAAACAGACCGATTTGTGACCTGTGATGATTCTACAACAACGAAAATTCCAAGCTAGTAATTGATTTACAACTAAGACAATTTGCTCTAAGTTTGTTGTCAATTTATAAATGTTTTCTTATTTAATTGTGCACAAGACAAGACACCTCCTAAACAGTAGATCCTCAGGCTATAGAAACTATGTCACCATCGGATGCATCCATGCTTTCTAAAGTTTCTAGTCAAGCTGGAGGTTAATTGATGGGTTGGGTCTGGTGTGACTTGAGGAGTGCCATCAGCACACACTGATATTAATTCAAATTTAGTGGAAACTACAAACTCAAGACACTCATTAAATAAAAAGTACGATCCACGAAATTTTGTGATTTTTATTAAGTTTTCACTTATAGCATAGTGTATTCAAAATATTACTTTACAAAATGTTGCTAGAATATCTCTTATAAATTTTCAAGGTAGTATTCTGTTCATTTCCTCTGCAGTATATGGAAATGGTTCATTGATAAACGGAACAATTATAAAGGGGTAAATAATTTAGGACTGCATGTTGCGGACTTGGGAATCCTGTTGCTGTATCTATCCCGCTCATCACGTACACCCTCAGTTTTGAAGGAAATGTCTTTAGATTATCAGAGAAAATTATCGTCATTTTGTTTTTTTAAATGTGTAGGAACTAAGGAATTTGAAGATAAGCTTTTTGCCGAGATAAGAGGAAGGATTAAAGAAGATGATATCTCTGCACCCTTACGCAAAGGGCCTTATTACTATTATGAGAGAACTTTGGAAGGGAAGGAGTATGTTCAACATTGTAGGCGCCTTATATCTGATAGTCAAAAGATTCCATCTGTCCATGACATCATGCCCACAGGGCCTGAAGCTCCTCAGGAGCATGTTATTTTGGATGAGAATGTCAAGGCACAACATCACCAATATTACCGTGTTGGTACTTTTAAGGTTAGAACATATCATTATTATGACATTTTTTTTTTTACTTTATCTGTCTTGTTTCCCAACTTTCAACTGCTTTTATTTTATTTTAAGCTACATGTCTTTTCAGGTTAGCCCAAATAACAAGTTGGTAGCATATGCAGAAGACACCAAAGGAGATGAAATATATACTGTTTATGTCATTGATGCTGAGACTCAAGCTACTATTGGAGAGCCTCTTGTTGGTGTAACAGGATACCTTGAATGGGCTGGTGACAATGCTTTAGTTTACATTACAATGGATGAGATTCTCAGGCCTGACAAGGTGGGCAATATTCCTCGGGACTCAGTATTATTGCTCCATTTGGTTCTAATAATATTTCCTTTTTCAACGATAGCAGCAGCAACAACCAAAACTTTTCGCCCACTAGATGGGGCCAGTTAAATAAATCAAGCAATATCATCGTGTTCTTCCTGAAATCACTTCTTCGGCAAGAGCATTTAATTCAAGACCGCTATTAATGATTTCACTCAGTCGTTCTTGGTCTACCTTTACCTTTAGTTGTTGAGCAATCCTTCATCTTATTACTCTTATAACTGGAGCATCTATTTCCATCTTAACTTAAACTCAACCAGATTCTCACATGCCCAAATTCTGAACCCATTTGACCGGTGTTTTAAATCCCAATCTGATTAGGAGCGAAATTGGCCAAATTGAATTTGACATTTGGCCAGATAAAAATGCTAAAAACAGGAATATGTTGTGATTTAGTGTGTGCTGCTGTGATTCAATGTGCCAGTGATACCGAATGTTGTCTGCTTATTTTTTACCTAGACTCTAACTTCTGATTGATTAAGGGCTCAAATGTTTGTGCTTTTTAAGGGATTTTTTTTCAATTTATAAATAATTTATTATAATAGCTAGATATGTTTATTAAAGAAAGCTAAAATCTCAAAAACTGGAGGAAAAACTATATCACAATTTTTATCCAAATATGAAACAAGCAGGTCCAAACCTTGCTCCAACATGGTATTTAGATAACATTGTTTGTTTTGTGCCATAAAAAATTTCCTTTTTGGTGGTCACATCTCTAAATCATTACAACTGTAATTGTCTACTTTCTACACTAACATCTTAAGTAATACAGGCATGGTTTCATGTGTTGGGAACAGAACAATCAAAGGATACTCTTCTTTACGTGGAAAAGGATGATATGTTTTCTCTCGGTCTTCAAGCTTCCGAAAGCAAGAAATATTTGTTTGTTGAGTCAGGGAGTAAAAATACAACGTTCAATTTTTATATGGATGTTTCTAAGCCTGAACAGGGTCTTAAAGTTTTGACACCACGTGTTGAGGGTATTGACACAACTGTCAGCCATCGGGGAGATCATTTCTTTATTACAAGGAGAAGTGATCAGTTTTTCAATTCAGAGGTTGTATCTTGTGCTGTCAATGACACTTCCTCAACTACAGTTCTTATTCCCCATAGGGAAAGGTAAAACAATTTCTGTATCATTGGTCAGTTGTTTCATTCATTCTGGGCCATAACCTCGATAAATTATATAATAACATAGTTTTTGAATGTGTTTGGGCCACTGGGTAGGGCGTTCGGAGAAGTAAAATACAGCATTAAATAACAGTAACAATCTTTCTGAACTATGCGGTCATTTATTACTGATTTCCAACTTTCTGTTTTGGGTAGTAGAAAATGATGAATTGATCCCCTTTTAAAAGCCATGTATTAGTTAGTTGTAGTTAAGCCTGCATTCTAGTAGAAGGCATATTTTGTAAGATGCTTTGTAAATTGTAAGTAATGGTTTGCTGTTCATGCAACTTTCTTTCTCTATCTCTCCGATTGCAGCTCTCTTAATTACTATTTGATAATTCAAAATTTGTCTTGGGCTTTTTACCTTTTAAATTAACTTCGGTGAGCTGTTCCTTGGCATGGTATTATATTTCATTGCAGTTTATAGTGAACAATTTTTTGTGACATTATATTTATATGATGATTTTTATCATCTCTAAACATCCAAAATCATTAGCATGATTAAATGTAAACAATAGAAAATCTTGGAGCTTGTGTCTTTCTCTTTCACCAAAACTTACATTGAATTTTCTTTAGTGTTAAAATTCAGGAGATACAACTTTTTAGTGATCATCTAGTAGCATATGAGAGAGAAAATGGACTGCAAAAAATAATAGTTTATCAGCTTCCGCCAGTTGGTGAACCACTGAGGAGTCTTGAAAGTGGCCAAGCAGTTAGTTTTGTTGATCCTGTATATTCAGTGGATTCTTCTGATTCAGAGTTTTCATCAAGTATTTTACGGTTTTCGTATAGCTCATTGAGGACTCCTTCCTCTGTATATGATTATGATATGAAGACAGGCATTTCTGTTTTGAAGAAGATTAACTCAGTAAGTTAAACAAGCAGATAAACTCCTAAGGTTTTTTTAATTTTGCATCTGTTCTTTCTTCAGTCTTAATAGTTTGTCATGTAAATTTGTTTGTTCTATGCAAGGCTTACTATGCCCTGTTGTTGAGGCGCTTCTTTCTGGTATATCATAATTTTGACCTTTTGCCATGTTATGCATGACCATGCTTCAAAATATTTCATGTTGTCTGACCAGTACCTTGGGTTTGTTATTCTGACTGGCATTCATATTTTTTTGAGAGATTTCTATATTTTGTATTTGAGTTGTTTTTCTCTTTTGGCTTTTTATCAAAGAATTTACTAATGTTTGATGGATTTTGAAAGAAAGCATATGAAATGCTAAAATTTGACTTTTACCATAAGTTGTGATGAGGGACAGGTTGACTCAGCATTATATTGGAGTATTACATCAAATTAGTCCCTAAAATAATAACAGTAGCCATTCTAGTTCCTAAAATTACGAAAAAGAAATTATAGTCCTTGAAATTGGCTACTATCAGGCATTTCAGTTCCTAAATTGGTATTTGTCAGTTAATTTGGTCCACAATGTTAAGGACCAAATTGACTCATGGCTGTCAAATAAGGACCAAAGTATTAAAAAAAAAAATGTACCACAATGGCAAAAGGCTCCTTGCAATGTGAAGGTTTGAGAAAGGGTCAACGTATGCAGCCTTGCAGGGTTTTAAATAGTACTATAGCGCCACTATAGCAGTGTAGAGGTCTAGATCAACCCCTTCCTGCTAAAAGAGCTGCTGTAGCAGACCAAACAATGGGCTGAATGACAGCACTATGGGTTGATTCCAAAAAATCCGAGAGATTAGAACCTTTTTGAAGGGCAATTTTTGTGATTTTAATATTAAAAATTGAAATATATGGATGTGAACGAAGATCCAACTCAAAAAAATCCACTAATAAAGACTTTTTATCGTTAGTTATGAATGTTATTAATTGTGTAGTATTTAGTTGTATGTTTTGCTTCATAGTCAAGACATTGATGACTTTTTATTATTAATTATGAATGTTATTAATTCTGAATAATTTTTATCATTTTTATAGTTTAAATGTATATGTATACATTATTGTATGAACTGTAAAAAAAAGTCAAAGCAGCAGGATAGCTGTCATATTCTATCTTGGAGCTGGCCACAACATGCCATTTCTGGGATTTAAAACGTTATGCAAAGAGGTTGTTTACATCTTCGAACCCATGACCAACTGATCATCAAGGCACAACTTATTGTCGCCCTTAAGGACTTAAGAAACAACGGTTGTCAAATTTGGGACTAAATTGATTGATATGGTAATGTTAAGTAACCAAATTGACCTGTGATACCAATTTCAAGGATCATAGAGATAGATAATTTTTAAAGTTGGAAACTAATTATTTTTATAATATTAGGGACCAAACAGATTGATAGTATCTATATGAGGGGCTAAATTGATGTTTAACTCTGTTTTCTAAAGGGTTATAAGGCAATATAATATTCATGGTATTCAGAATGTACGAAGTATTCCAAATTCCAACTTATAAAAATAATGGATTATTTGTTAGTAAGATGAGTCATATAGTAAGTGGGGGGAACATGTAGAGCTGGGTTTGAAAGATGTATTGTACAAACGAAATAATTATGGTAATAATGCCTCTATTTTTATCATCATTAGGTTTGCTTCTTCCTTTTTGGAATTGTTTAATTATTCTTTATATTTCACTCAGGTTCTGGGAGGTTTTGATTCAACACGTTATGTCACTGAAAGGCAGTGGGCACCTGCTTCGGATGGAACTTTGATTCCCATGTCAATTGTTTACCGTAAAGATGTTGTGAAACTTGATGGATCAGATCCATTACTACTTTATGGATATGGATCGTATGAGGTAAAATAGTAGAAGCTTACATAGATTGAATCGCATGTAACAAAAACAATTTTGAATTCTATTCTTCGGATTTTGTACTAGATAATGGATTTGTTAGCTGCTGTTTTTGCATTAGTCTTTAGTGCTTGGTACTTGGAAGTAAAGGGAATGTTGTACATTTTTATAATTGAACATTTTGTCCCTTTTTCTACCGCTAAACACTCACTTTTTGTCTTATCAGAAATAAAATATAATCACATCTTTGTCTTGTATCATTTTAGTGACTGCAAGATGCTTTTACGCAGAAAAAACTTATTTGTCCCTTTTTTTATTTTATTGACTGTTTCACACATAGGTTTCTGATTCCTTTGTGCCATTATTGATTCAACTAGTAAAGATAGTTATTTGTTTACTTTAACGTTTGCTCTTGTATATATGGACTGTGGGCACTATTTGTTAGCCTGTTTGTTCCTTTGGTTACAGATTTTTTCCATAAAAGAATCTGGTCTTTACACCTTTGAACATGTGTCCTTCCGTTTCTTCTAGAATCTATAATTTAGTGACCTCAAATAGTCAACAAATATGAAAATATCATTTTTGTGTTGCGCAAGTGCTTGATGCTTTCTTGCAAACGTCCTTATTTATGTTTCTTTTTTATTTTATTGACTGTTTCAGTAATAGGTTTCTGATGCCGTTATTGTCTATGGGCAATGGGCACTATTTGTTACCCTGTTTGTTCCTTTAGTTGCATATTGTTTCCATTTAGGAATCTGTTCTTTACACCTTTGAACATCTCTCCTTCCTTTTCTTTTAGAATCTATAATTTAGTGACCTCATTGTCAACAGGTATGCATAGATCCCAGTTTCAAATCATCAAGGCTTTCATTGTTAGATCGGGGTTTTGTATATGCCATAGCTCATATACGTGGAGGTGGGGAAATGGGGAGGCAGTGGTATGAGAATGGGAAGCTGTTGAAGAAAAAAAACACTTTTACTGATTTTATTGCATGTGCTGAATATTTGATTGAAAAAAAGTTATGCTCTAAGGACAGACTCTGTATTGAAGGAAGAAGTGCTGGTGGTTTGCTAATCGGTGCAGTTCTTAATATGAGACCAGATTTATTCAAGGCTGCTGTTGCTGGAGTACCTTTTGTGGATGTCGTGACAACAATGCTTGATCCAACCATTCCTCTCACTACAGCAGAATGGGAGGTAGCTTTTTCTCTTATTCTGCCCTTCCATTTGGATATTTGAAATACTGGTTAATTGAGTCCTGGAAGTAGATTTGTAGGAGTCATGTCTTTATAAAACCACTTCTGCAGTTTCTCATAGTATACTCTGATCTCGTCAACCTTGATGGTGCACCCTATCATTTTCTGTGTTTTTTGTGGCTTTTAACTGGACCCTTCCTTCTAATTTTGTCTCAGAAATACTGTTTTCTTAATTTGATTTATACATGGTCATTGCATGATGTCCCTTGGTCCCCCCCTTGTGCGTTTTTCTTATTTTTTAATGGGCCCTTAAAGCCGGTGACATTGTTTTAGCATTCTTTTTCATCGTATGTGTTGTAAAATGTATCAGAAGGTAGATTTATTTTTTTAATTCTCGTACCATTCATTGGTCATGTAATAGGAGGCATTATATACCCATCAAAATTCTTCGAGCTCATTATAATGGTGCGGGTCTTCGTTTCATATATGCTACCAAAATTCTTGAATTTCATTATTCAACACTATGATATGATTTCTCTTTTTTTCTTTTTTACAAAGATTGTTTCCTTGTGTTACTACAGGAATGGGGTGATCCTAGAAAGGAGGAATTCTACTTTTACATGAAATCATATTCCCCCGTTGATAACGTGAGAACCTTATGGCTGTGCTTTATCCCTTGTGTTGTTTGGTTATGAAATGAATTTTATGAACTTTTTTTTGAGTTCTATCATATATGCAGGTGAAGGCACAGAACTATCCACACATTCTTGTTACAGCTGGATTAAATGGTAATCATATCTTATTCATGGCACTGAACTATTTGGGTTTTGAACTTTAATACTTAAAGCAAGATTATTATGTTTTGTCATTATTGATAATTCGGCTGGAAAGATATACTTGATTTTACGCGTGACATCCTTACATCTGCTTGTGCATGCTATAGACCCACGGGTTTTGTATTCTGAACCTGCGAAATTTGTGGCAAAACTGAGGGATATGAAGACTGATGATAGCATACTGTTGTTTAAATGCGAGCTTGGTGCTGGACATTTCTCCAAGTCGGGAAGGTATTTACTCTCAGATGTCTTGTCTTTTTACCGGTATTTTTAAATTTAAGACAATTTTTTAAGTAAATAGTAATACAATAAAGTATCATGGATATTAAACAATATAAAAATCACGTTTCTTGAAAGAAAGAAAAAGTTATAGAAGATTTTTGTCTTGGATTGTTAAAAATCTTCTGTCCAATGCGCTGGTACTGCAGATTTTTTCCAAATGCATCTTAAATTTTAGTAATAATATTATTATTTCAAGTTGTTTACATGGCAAACTATGTTTGATTTTGCATTCTTATTATCATCAAATATTTTAACGATGATTAGGTCGAAGATATTTGGACAAGGAGACCAAAAAATATACTTTTTTTTCAAATTACAGGAAATAAAAGGATCAATTATTTTTAAAGATAACCAACAAACTTACACAGATTTAAAGTACAAAAACATATTAAACTTAAGTTAACTAAATTTGAGTGGCTTGCATATTTATATCGTCAATGCGTTAGGAAAAGGCTGGACTATTTGTCGATTTTTGTGTTGTATGAACCAGCTCCAAAGTTGTTTCCCAGTCTTTGAAATGTAGAACATGAAAAACATGTTAATAAATATTTGTAAGAAAGGCAAAATGAAACCAACTTGGGAACCAGAGAGACCATTTCGTTGAGAAAATGTTTTCTATTTTTAATTACAAAATCTTATTTTCATTTTATTTGTTTATTTCTTTTTTCTATCTCTTTTATTTTCTTGGCTGATGCCATCCATGGTTTTACCTTTTGTTAGACATTTGTTTTTCTTTTACTTGAATGATAGAAGAAAAGTACACTCTTACTCACTTTCAAAATATTAAAAGACAAAAATTGTTTCTCAAAGTATAATCAGACAACCGAATGTGTTGTATGTCGATGTAGATTTGAGAAGCTTCAGGAAGATGCCTTCACTTATGCATTCATCATGAAGACTCTGAACATCATTTAGTCTTTAGATGCATGAGGCGCGGATCCCGTCAAGATGAGTCATTATACGGGCTGATGTCAGATCAACTGCGTAAGTAAATACAATCATGGTTCTGAGTGAGAGTCTATAATTTCAGACGTTTGGATCATTTAGGTCTTAAAGGGTCATATTAGTTATTAAAATGCAAATGAATTCAAAGAAAATCCGTAACTATCTTTGCAATTCAGAAAGCATGTCATTGGTGCAATTATATTAGTAATTTATATTACAGATGGGGAGGATACAGCAATCAAAGATGATGCATTTGTGTTTGTTTGGATTTAATATAATTGTTTATCTTTCAAAACTAATGTCTGAATTACTGTTAACCTGGATTTGGGCTGTCATTCTATTATCTACTTCACAGTATCTTTTTATCTTTATCTCAGATCATTATATTTGAACCCTCATTAGATTTTAACTGGTTCATGTTTAATTGGGTGGATCCATTTAAGATGATAGCTTGTTCATTGCCTTTTCTTTTCTGTATCACTTGGGTTAAATATAGTTCTATGTCTTCTATCAGTTAAAATAGTAATCTAAATTAAAAATTAATTAGTCATGTGATAAAAGTGTATCACTCCAGTCAAATTATAACATAACCAATAGCTACCTCTGGAGGGATCTTTTCCACTCCAATGAAGATTGAATCCAGCGAATTTTTTGGCTCTTTGCTCATCACGAGGACAAGATGAGCACAACCTTTGCTTCTCAAATTGATTGTGTGTGTGGATATATTATACTCACGGGTTAACTGAAGCAAAAGTTGGGGCAATATGATCTTCAACCTTTTTATACCTCGCATTTCTCCTTCTTTCTCACGCATCTAACGAGGAAAGTCGTCTACATGGGGTCTACCGATATTTCATCATAAATTAGCTCATCCAAACACATTTACTTCTACATTAATCTTTCTCTCACTTTTATTTTTAAACAAATCCAGGGTTAGAGAAGCTTGATTGGAAAGCTTCCAAAAACAAGTTGATTTTGTCTTATAAAGGAGTTTTATTTATTTTATTATTTTCTTTTATAAATACATACAGTTAGGTTTATTTAAATTGTACAAGTCTTATTTGAGTTTTTCTCTAGACTGAAGCAACAGTATTCACTTAAAAATGTTTGGTAATCTGATTTTGTTAAAATTTAAGAATGCTTATCTTAAATTTAAAAGTTGCAATATCACCTTTTTTACCTTGTGTAAAACTAATTTAATTTATTTCACCTTTTTTATTCTATATACTTGTTTATAAGCTAATCTAAACGGCACTATCAAGTCTTCGAGTAAGAGGATATTAGCCCTTTGTTTAATTTAAAATGTGTAGTAACCTTAACTCTAAAATTTAAGAATGATTACTCTCACTCGTTTTAAAGATAATCTTATTCAAAGTAACTCTTTAGAATATAATCAGGGTGTTGTAAGTTTGTTTTTCTGGTTTTATTAGTGTCTTATGTGGATATTGAGGCAAGAGGTTCCAGGAAGACGCCTTCCTTTATTTATGCCTTCATCATGAAGTCTAAACCTTTCAGCTTAGTCTTTAGATGCAATCAAAATGAGGCGATGGCTTGAGCATGATCAAACCGCGTATAGATACCATCATTGTTCCTAGAGCTACCTTATAAATAATTCCAGACGTTTGGGTTATCTCAGGAATTTTATTGCCTGCAACTTCAGCAGGAAATCTGAAAGTTACCATCTATACAATTCAAGAATGCATGTCTTTGGTGCAATTCTGTGAGTAATATATCTTAATAATGGAGGATGTGGTCATTGAGGGTGATACATTTGTACACTTGCTTGCGTTTGATATAATTGTTCTTAATTGGTGTTAAAACGGACTCCGGTTAACCACATATTCTTCTCAGTATTTTCGTTATATCTCAATGTTCGGATTTCATAAATAAGGATGGTCCTGAACATTGCGCAAATCTAGAAAAGTCTAATCTTTCATCATTGATGCAAGTAGGATTCATAAATACCTATTTAGGACCTATCACTAAGTAGGTTCTTACGGTAGGATGACCAAGAAGGTTGAAACATACTTTAAAAGTAAGGTGATTAAAATTTTATATTGACTTTTAATGTTAATTTTAGTTTTCAAAATGATACTTGTAGAATTGTTAATCAATTTAGGATGTAAAAAAACAGTCAAGGAATGAAGAGGAATATTTTCAGTTTTATCATACTTTGCAACTCTCTAGTGGTATAGCTTATAGCATTCTAACATTTTTATGAATATGATCATAATGCCAAAGTCAGAACATTTCTACCTGTCAGTCCTGGAAGAGACAACTGGCCAAACTTGAAATCTCCCATTTTCCATTTCTTTGCCTCCTTAATTATTTGTTAGCTTCGTTTTCTTTGTCACTTTTTTGTTAGTCAATTCAATTTGACAATGAGGTGATGGAGGCTTAGCTATCCTATCCATGTATTAGTGGCCATGCTCTCTTTCATTTATTTATAGGGAAAAAATTGACTTGGTTTTCTAAATAATGGGTTTGAAATTAACCTGACTTCACAAACTATTTCATAACTTTTTAAAGAATGCATTCTTCTTTGCTAATTAATGCTTTATAAGATGGAATAAATAAATTCAGAATTCCCGCTAGTTATAATACACTAATTGAAAAATTGAAACCGTTAGATTAAGGTGATAAAGCCATGGACAATGTTCTGAAGTGTTGAATTCCATAAAGAAGTTTATCTTTCTCATCCCTTTACCAATAACTGCAAACTAATCACACCCTTATTAACCTTTTTAAGGATCCAATCAAATGTATTGCATTTTGTCGGCATCTTGATGGATTCATTTCAGTTTTGTTTTATATTTTTAACTATGTTTGTATTATTTTTTTTAAGAAAACACACAAATATCTTTAATAAAAAAATATACGTAAAATAAAGAGTGTATTCAATTGAGGCTTTGAAAAACTTTTAGATTACTTTTAAATTATTAGCACAAATAACACAAATATGTTGTTTGGCCACTATCTTCTGCAACCAAGCAAATGAAGGAATGATTTTTTTTTTTTTCTATCCTTTCTCTAGTTCCAAAACTTAACATGACAAATAAATTATTAGTATGATTGTTAATAAAATGATTATAAAATTCATCCGGATTGAATAAGTTGGATGCCAACATAAAACCAACTCATACATTATTTATTCAAAAAATGAAATCACCTTTTACAGTAAACGAGTCAAAGTTCCAAACGAATCCTACACCAACGGCATCATCATCAACAACATCAACAAGAAGTAAAATTTGAAATTGGAACAATTAAGAAATGTAACAAAATGATTATTAATTTTCTTGAACTTTTTCACACGTTCCCTACTTGCAGCTAATCTGTCTGTTTTAGACAAGAATTTCAGACATCATTCTGTAACCAACCAACGTTGTAAATGAGTGGATGACATTGAAGGGTAGGACCCCCTGAATAGGAAGCACTGGTTTGGACTATAATGTTAGCTTTTAAGAATTTTGGGACCCTTTTTTCAAAGTCTTAAACTTAAAGTCTGCAAAATCCAAATTTCAGTTGAACAACAATCATCCCACATGGACCAATCTCTTTCATGGCGCAATCACCGCACTCTAACTCACCTCATCAATTTTGAATCAGTTTCGCCAAAAACATCACCCAAAACAATATCTTCTTCATTCATTCACTCACTCATTCATTCTCATACATGGCACAAACACACACTACAAGATACCACACCACACTTCAATCATCAAACTTATATTATACCATGTTCAAAATAATAAAACGTAATATAATTATTTACAAAAGGGATACAAAACATTGAAAAGAAAAATAGTGTCCTTAACTGGTGATGCCATAGCCCACAGCTTGACTATTATTCAATCAAAACAAAACCAGACCCACTTGCCTTGGCCTACTGGTTCAGCTGAGTGCTTCATTCATTCACCCTTTCCTTCTTCCTTTCCATTTATTTTATCATTTCTGATTAGACACTTAATAACACAATCTAATCTTCTCATTATGCACTCATTACCTAAAACTAAATTCCATTCTATTCAAACCACAAATATTATTGTGTGTGATAAGATTTTTTCTGCAAATTTATGATTAAATTTGAAAACAATTTCATACCAATTAATCCTTCATATTATTGATTTTTCTTTTCAATTGATATAGCCCTCCCCCAGCCCACCCTACTCTCACCATCACCAACCACCACATACCCCCATTTCAATTCACACTCACATTCATCAACTTTTTTCATTGACAGGATTGGACTTGGTTTCAGTAAGGAAATGGTTAACTTATGCACAGGAAGGTGGGTAGAGGTTACAGGGACAATGAATAGTATCTCTAATTGTTCTTGTCTCCAAATTTTGGTCACTAAAGTCCTACAACCTGCTTCATCCTTTAGGGCAATGCAAGTTTATTGGTATGCTTGCGTGACACATGCCAATCAAACTAGTACTTTACTTTCCACAATATCATTCTCCACATTGAGCCTCTAAAAAGGTGTTGCTTTAACCACCCTAAAAAAATCAAGTTAAAAAAAATCATTTCTTTTTAGGTAACTCAATTTCTATGTTTGCAACTTAGATTAAACCTTTTTTTTTTCTTCTATTATTAGGTAATTAGCGATTACAATAGACATTTTAATACACCTAAACTTATAACAAACTAACTAATATATAACCTATGCCTAACTTTTCAACTGTCACGAAAACCAAAAATTAACTCTAAAACCTATAAAAACTCAAGATTTGCAAAGAACACACACAAATGTTAACTCAACTACATTAGTATACGAATCAAGTTCATCAACCCTAACTCGGGTTTGTTAAAGAAACAAGAAAATGCAAGGGAAAATGGACATGAAATCATCTTTTGTGTATGTTTCACTAAAGATGTTAGCTTAAAGAGTAATTAAAATGAACTGATGCATGAATATATTCGAAACTTGTTGTAATTATACTAAATCTTTACAAGTATGATTAGTGACGAGTTTAGCTAGTAGATGAAGGAACTAGCTAAGAATTTTTTTATTTTTTTTACCAACCACTTTAAATTTGGTGACAGATAACTTTTTCTTTTTCCTTTTTTTTTGACATGTTAATTTGTTTAATGATCTTAATTAGCATTGTTCATATATATCCTATGATATTGATGATAAAATTTCATACTAATAAAATGAAAATTATATCCCTTCCTTCTCCAGCATCTAGCTTGATTTCTCCATCAATGTTGCTAGGGTTTTATAGAGTCTATCTTCTTGTTGAATTTTTAGTAAAGTTTCTTTCTTTCTTCAGAGGGATAAAGATAAAATCTCCAATAACTAAGATCCATTTTTTTTTTTTCATAAAGGTTTATATCATTTATGATAGAAGAGGTTAAACTACTATAATTAACAAATAAAACTAAAAATGCATTAAAAGTAGTAAACTTCAGAATTGTGAATAAAAAAATAAATAAAAGTAAAATAGTCTACTTGTGACAAATTCTTGATTGAAACACCAATGTGAAAACATGGTTCTATAGCCACAAAAAATATACCATTTTCATACTTTTTATTTATTATTAAACTATCGTAATGCTTTTTGAAATGATTAAAAAAAAGGAGAAATTATATTGCTGTAAAGGAAGAAAGGCAAGCATACTTACTGAAAGAGGAAAGTCAATATTATCCTCCTTCCAAAACAAATAAAATAATAATAGTGATATACAAAATTTCTTATCATGATTTCAAAAAATAAACAATAAGATCATGATATTTTAACTCACTCTTTAAAAGACTTTTTTTTTTATTGTTAGTTACAAGTTTAAATTTTTTAGATATATATATATAAATAAATATATATATATATATATATATATATATATATATAAATTTTATGCACTTTCACTCATGAATTTTCATATTTTTTTATTTAAAGATAAAAAGTGTAGCAGAGAATCTATAGATTAATAGTCTTGGAGAAAACTCTTTAAAAAGAAATCTTACTACTAACATGTTTTGATTACCATTTCTTACATGTTAAGCATACTTTATATATATATAATTTTTTTCTTTGCATCTTTTTTACTTTAAACATTTTTTGAATGTTTTACAACATATGCCAATCGAAGATGTGAAACATGAATTATAAATATTAATTTTTTAATTCTTGTAAGATATTTTATAAATTTTTCATCATTCTTTCATAAACAAGAGTGATAACAAACACAATAAAAAAATAAATAACACTTCCTTCACTTTAGCAATTGAGATTGTAATAAATATCAGTCCTTTCATTTTGTATTTTTTTTATTTACATTTCATTATATTGTATCGTACAATATTCTTACTTTAGTTTTCAAATGAATAAATAGTTACATATTTTTACAAATTCAGTGACACAAATAAGAAGAGATTTAGAATCTATTTGCACTTGCTTTTTTAGTCATAAACATGCAATTCTTCAGAAAATTTTTACCAGAATAACTTTTTATTTTAAAATAATAAAAACGTACGTATCAGAATTTTAAAATAAAAAATACATAATAATTTATACCTTGTTGAAGTTATAAATTATTGTGCATGTTTAAGATCTTCTACAATATATGCCACAAAATATCTTTTACAATATTATATTCATCATAATTTCCTTTTTGTTAAAAGTGTAAAGAATTTTATACATAGACATTATTAAATTCAAATATAAAATTATCACGAATTTTAAGACTTTTAGTTAAAAAAAAGCTGCATGAATAATTATGGAAATATTACTTTGTTTATTTATTCTTTTTTCAAATACAGTGAATCAAAATTGTAAAAGCACGCCCAAAGATTTATCTAATTGATGTATATTTAATATATATGGGATATTTTATTATAATAATATATAGAAAATTAAATGTAACATTAATGTAAAAAATATCATAACATGAAATAATGAAAAATATGATTGATATGACTTTTAAATTAATTTATAATCTGAAATAATATTGACTTTGAAGTTAGATTTTAACCACAAACTATCATATCACTCAACCAAAAATAGTCTTATGTTTTTTTTTTTTAATTTTCTTTACATTTCAACATTAAATAATAATAATAATAATAATAATAATATTATTATTATTATTGTGATTGTTATTATTAATATTTTTTTATCCAGTATTTTTCTTAAAAAAAGAAAACAACTGAATGAACGTGGACATACCAAACATCTAATCTATTGTCCCCTTTCACGTATTTTATGGGCCATCCTGCTTTATTTATTTTATATTTTTAGAGTTTAATTCACACGCATCATAAGGGTAATTTTGTTTAATTTTAAATGATAAAAAATTATATAATTATAAAAATCAACAAATTATTGCATATGTCAGTTTGTGATAACTTAACACTATAAAAATGTTATATTGTCAAATACATATATTTTTCATTCAAGAATTTTCTTTCTAAATATAAAATAATATTATGTCTCTAAATGTGATTATTTGACATTATCAATAAATTTTAATTTAATTATAAAATAATATAATAAGTGATTAAGATAAATAATTTATGGTAATGTTTTATATTTTAAAATATATTTTATCATTTAAAAAAATTCAAATCCTACTGTTTAATTTCTTCCAGAACAATCCGAAGAGATAAAGAACTCTAAGTAAAGAATAAAGAACCAAATCTCTTGTTAAGACTTAAGAATTAAACACAAATGGAATGTGTGTTGAAAGAAAATGACATGAATGGTTCGCCATCCAAGTAAAGTGGTTTTGAGCAGTGATAAATAACACATTGTGTAGATAACAACTTCTCAGTTTAAATTCTATTCATACAGTTTTATTACATCATTTGATTCCTCTCATGATTGACTCTTTAAGTATCTTTAATTAAATTCTTATACAGAACAAAATTACATGTTTAATTCTTTTTACTATATTTTTATTATTAAATAAAAAGTACAAAATCACTAAAGATTCATTAAATTAAAAAAAAAACATAACAAATAGAAATTAGAATCAACTTCAGTATGTAACAAAAAACAATTAGGAGGTTTATGTAGTGGTTTTTGGTAAAGTGAAGTGGTTTGTTTAGATTGTGCAAGACAGAGAAGTGAGAGTGTAAGAAACAGAGAAGGTGAATTTTATTTTATAGAAGACGACAGTGGAAAGAAAGAATTTGAATCTAGTGCGCTCCAACGTTCAAATAGACCAAGGATCCTCGTGATCCATCAAACGGTCACAAATTTACATGTGAACTTGTTTAAATTGATCCAAGGCTCGCTCGTAAAATCCCCTTTCATTTCACTCACAAGCTTTTTTTCTTCTCTAACTATCTATCTATAAATAACAGAGACTGCTCAATCAATCCTGCATGCAGATCTCCAACAAACAAAATTACAATTATAATTCTGAGACACTTGCTCATTTTTCACCTTCTTTATCATCATTATACCTTCCTCTCTACGTGAAATAATACAATAAGAACCCCCCAATGTCCAAGTGGTACTTTTTCTACCCTTTTCCTTTTTCTCCCTAAACTATACTCCATCTTCTTTTCAAAATTTCTTTTAGTCGCCCAAAGTTCTCTTCTCAGATCCCAACTTCACACCAATCCCTGATCTGATCAAGACCCACCTTCCAAAAATGCAACTTGGGACATGGGTGTTACACCTTGTTCTGATATTTTCACTTCTCAGCCAGTTCTCAGAAAGTGTGGCAGAGTCATCTTCAACACCGCAGGGACCAATCTGTTCAGAAGAAGACAGGGCTTCTCTTCTGAGCTTCAAAGCAAGCATTTCGCAGGACACAACACAAACACTGTCCACTTGGACAGGCAGAGACTGCTGCGATGGTGGGTGGGAAGGAGTTCAGTGCACATCCACAGGGCGAGTAAACGTGTTGCAGATTCAGAGGCCAGAGAGAGATGAAGAAACTTACATGAAGGGTACCCTTTCTCCCTCTCTGGGCAACTTGCATTTCTTAGAGGTAATGATCATAAGTGGTATGAAGCATATTACAGGACCAATTCCAAATAGTTTCTCAAATTTAACCCACCTCACCCAGCTAATTTTGGATGATAATTCCATTGGAGGGTGCATTCCTCCAAGTTTAGGTCGTTTATCCTTACTTCAGTCCCTTTCACTCACTGGGAACCATCTGAAAGGACAGATCCCTCCAACATTTGGGGGTTTGAGAAACCTTGTCCAACTTAATTTAGCAAGAAATTTTCTGACAGGTCCTATCCCCGTTAGTCTTAAAACCCTTCTAAATTTGCAATACCTTGATCTCAGCTACAATTTGTTATCAGCTACCATCCCGGATTTTGTTGGGGAGTTCAAAAATTTGACTTATATAGACCTGTCCTCTAACCTTCTTACTGGAAAAATCCCAGTTTCCTTGTTCGGCCTCGTCAATCTTTTAGACTTGTCCTTGAGCAATAATAAGCTCACAGGGAACATTCCGGACCAGGTTGAAAATCTGAAATCACTGACTAGTCTTCAACTCAGTGCCAATCTGCTGACAGGGCATATTCCACTGTCCATATCAAGATTACAGAACCTTTGGTACCTCAATGTATCGAGGAATTGTCTTTCAGATCCCTTACCGGTAATCCCTACCAAGGGCATCCCTGCCCTTTTGTCCATAGACCTGTCTTACAATAACCTCAGCCTTGGAAGAGTTCCTGATTGGATCAGAAGCAAGCAACTCAAAGATGTCCATCTTGCTGGGTGCAAATTAAAGGGCGATCTTCCACACTTTACAAGACCTGACTCTTTGAGCTCCATAGACCTATCAGATAACTACCTGGTTGATGGCATTTCAAATTTCTTCACTAATATGTCCAGCTTGCAAAATGTCAAGCTCTCCAACAACCAGTTGAGGTTTGACATATCTGAAATCAAATTGCCAACGGACCTGTCTTCCATGGACTTGCATGCAAATTTACTGGTGGGTTCATTATCAACAATAATAAATAACAGGACAAGCAGCACTTTGGAGGTTATAGACGTGTCAAACAATTTCATTTCAGGTCACATTCCAGGATTTGTGGAAGGCTCAAGCTTGAAGGTGCTAAACGTGGGAAGCAACAACATAACAGGTCCAATCCCAGTTTCTGTCTCAAACTTGATAGATCTTGAGAGATTGGACATTTCAAGAAATCACGTGTTGGGAACCATCCCCTCAGGTCTAGGTCAGTTACTGAAACTACAATGGCTTGATGTATCCATAAACGGATTAACAGGGCAAATTCCTAGTAGTTTGTCACAGTTAACTGGTCTAAAGCATGCAAACTTCAGGGCAAACAGGCTGTGTGGTGAAATACCACAAACTAGGCCATTCAACATCTTTCAACCGGTTGCTTACGCCCACAATTTGTGCTTATGTGGCAAACCTTTACAACCATGCAAGAAACAAGCAAGTATGGGTCAGTGAGATGCTGACTCTATCATAGTATATATATGCTCATGCCTTGTGACCATTGTTACATGAGCAAAATAGAATAGGCACCCCCACATTTGAATATTTCTTTTTCGAGGTCCACCACAATGCAAGTTCAATTTTATAATTCAACATTGATTTTAATAAAATATGCAGTCATATTATAACGTGCTTAGATTTTTAGACTAGAATAGTCTCAACGGCTTATATTGTGTGGGCACAGAAAAAAAAAATCACATCAAACCCTGGCACATGTGGTGGACCTTGCTTTTAAAGGTTGACCACAATTCTGAAGATCACCCTGTCCAACAAGAATCTTATCCAGAAAAGCATGGCGTGAATCAAGCCAACAAAGCAAGCAACTCTTACTACTGAATGTTACGCACATGTCAATGTCATGAATCGCTGTAGCCAGGCACCATACTACATTATCGACCCCAAATATATAATGAGCAATAAACAAAACTAAAAGGCAACAACCTCTTGTGGAAAACAATGTGACTACCATTCATGAATATTTCAAGAGAGCATTACAAAAAAAAATGTTGCACTTAGATTTCAACAGCATTTAAAACAGTAAAACCTACATGTAAAATTCCAACTAAACATATTTCAAAATTTACAACCCAAGTCTCACTACGCAATTCAGAGGTCCTATCAATAACAGTTATCAGCTTCAAGGTGTGCCAAAACGCCATGATTAGTCTTCATCCGTTAACTCCTCTTCCACTTCTTTTGCAGCAGTTTCCTTATCAGATCCAGCTTCATCCTAGACCAAAAGCAACATGTTCAGAACAAAAGAACCAGAAAATAAACAACACCGTAAAACATGCCCAATAAATAAAACTTAAACCAAATTACTTCTTCAACTTCACCAGCTCTATAGCTTTCCATAGCCTTTTCATACTCTGCCTTGAGTTCAGCAACTTTATCCAAATAAGGCTTCTTCTCCTGAAACATCAAGGCAAATCAAAAACATTATTCAGCATCATACTAGTAAAGGAAGGCGGAACCACTACAAAACATCCTTCACTTACTTCATCAGTCATAGACTTCCATTTCTCACCAGCCTCCTTGCCAACCTATAATTTTCCAACAAACAAGATATCCAGTGAAACCCAACTACATTTCACTTGGTTAACCAAAGACAGACTTCAACAAAATTTGCCTACCCTTTTAACATCCTTTGAATCAGGATTAGCTTCCTTGAACGTTTTTCGAAAATCATCCCTGCAAAATAAGATTATCTCAATCAGACACTCGAGAAATCAAACGACAGAATCATTAACAGTACAGACACAGGGAGGCAAATCAATCCTTACAAGAAGATAAAGAAGGCCGTGGCAGGACGCTTAGGCATGTTAGGATCCTTGACCTTCTTCCCCTTCTCCACCTTAGACTTTTTCGCCTTTGGCTCTTTGGACTTGGGTTTCTTCCTGCACAAATTCAAAACTCACATTTCAATGTGAGAATTTCCAAATGAATTTAACATAGGTCGATAAAAAGAGGATGAATGAGAGAAATTACCTCTCTGGCTTCTTAGATTCGGCAGCCTGTTCCACAACCTGAGCATCTGAAAAACCAGACAAAATGAAATCAACAACAAAGCGCCTGAAAACAAAAACAAATTAAGACGAAAAAAATGAAATGAACAAATCAGCCATACCTAGGTTCATTTTAATTTTTGCCTCAAGGCTGCAACTGTGCATGTCGATGAGTGCGACCGGCACATTCTTCTTGCAATCGTCGCTAAAAAAAAAAAAAAAAAAAAAACACAAACACACAAACTGTCATCAGCATACACAAATAACAAAACCGGAAGTGAAAGATGCTTTAAAACGTCATCGCATTGAAAATTAACGGCATAAACAGCATTGTGAAATAGGAAATCCAAAACCTAATAGGCTAATGTTAACAATAACACGAATGTTTTCAATCGGAGTAACCGATATAGACGAATGGATTAAAAGCGTTGAAAGGAGTAACGAACCATCGTGCAAAAGCACTGCCATCCTTAGCGCGAACGAGAACGGTAGAAGAGCGAGAATCAACGGCGTCAACTCTCTTCCTCGTCTGGGATGCCATTTCTTATCGCAGTTCTGTTTTGTAGCTTAACAACACACTCAATTCAAAATGAAAACACAAAGGTTTACCATATGGAATTGCAATATATAAAATGAAATCAAAGGAGGGAAAACCCAAAAGCCATGTTTTTCGTTTTAGCGCCAATACCCGCGCCTTTTCCTTTGCATTTCATATTTCCTTCCTTTCACTCTCGCGCGATGCATTTTATGAAATCAATGGGCCAAGTTCATGTTGGGCCCATTATCCTCTTCGGCTGTTGCTTCCTGCACCCCATAATTTTTTCCTATATCCCATAATTATATTAATCCTTATATTTATCTTCTTCATCTTGATCTCTGGAATATATTTCAGACAGATTTTTCTAGAAACATATTTTCAAACACTCATAAGTTTTCAGAAATACTTTTTTTAACATCCAATTTAGAATACATTTTCGGAAAGACTTTTTAGAAATACATTCGAAACACCCAATCAGAAATAAAAACTTTTAAATGTATTTTCGAAATGACCTTTTTAAAATATTCAATCTGAAATGTATTATTGAATTAGTTTTTCTGTAATCCAACCTCATTTTAGCAATATTATTTCATATTGGACAAATTGAATCTATTTGTTCAATTTGAATACAGAAAACATATAATTTATATATAATATAAATGATTATTTATCTTTAATGGTTAGAAAAAGTCAAAGGATAAAGGTATTGAGGGATGGAGATAAAGAAATTATACACAAATAGAAGAAGTTAGGATAAAAAATAAAATTACAAAAAGAATATTTTAAATATTTGAGTTGAGATATAAAGGTATAAGAAGAAATTATGGGGTAGAGGAAACAAGATGCTCCTTTTTTTCTTTTGTTAAGTTTTCATTATTGGGCCATATTCCCGGCCCTTACTTTTAGTACATTTTCTTGTCGGCTGCACCCCCACAATATATAACACATAAAAAATGTCTTGAGATTAGTTTTTCTCTTACCTCCCGCTTCAAGCATAAATCTCTTCAGGCAAAATAGACATTATTTTCTTCACCCTAAAGTCATTTTATTAATAAATAAATCGATTTTTGAAAACTCTGATCATTCATTGAAAAACATTATTAATTACGGCGTGAAATATTGTTGTTTATACGATTTAATTTTATTTATACTGCACTTTCATCGCAACAATTACCCGCAGTTTGCAGAGTGGATACCTTGAACATATAAAATGAAAGATAAACCAGGCAATATTAAAATTGTTCCCATTTGATACATAGAACGTCAAAAGCATGAAGCTGAGAGTACAGAAGATGGAGAACCAAAAAACAAAAGTGAAGCGACCTTTCAACTAGCAAATCCTTATTACATACTCTGAGTGGTGTGGTTATGGTGTGAGATGATTAGTTGTGTCGGGCAAAAGAAGAGAAAATTGCCATCGTCAAAGTTGAGAGAGTAACTAAGAGGGTCGTAGTGAAAGTTGTTCTTAGGGGAGCAAGTCTTCTTCTTCATCTGCCTCTTCATATATGCTCTCACCCTCCAAAACAAACTCCTCAACCTTCTCTTGCCATGCACAGCCACCATCCCAGGCTCAAATGCAAAACAACAACACATCATAACCAACCCTACTTCAGCACAGAAGATAGATACAGATAGAAAGAAAAAGGGATGAAAGCCAGTGAATGGTGCAAGGACTTATATATATTATTAGCACCAGACTGTGTCGATGTTTGTCTGAATGGATGTCTTTGGAGGACTATTTTGAAGGTAGCTTTTTCCTAGGAATTGATGTTGCAGTTGTTGTGTTTTGTAAGAGAGAAAAAGAAGGTCATTACTCTTAACCAGGTAAACCAGGGTATGGTATAGAATGGATAGACAGGCACATGGACATGGATAGGGTACGGAGTCACTTTCACAGATACTTTCTCCTATTCCAATAATAATAATAATAATAATAATAATAATAATAACTTTATACATCTAACGCTTATATTATACTGTTCTTTATGTGTTTGTTCAGATAATGCAAATCCAAGAACAAAACATTATCAAGTCAATCTATAGATGTAGAGTGGTGTCATTGGATTGAACATTCCTTTCAATAACATTTGAACAGAAAATGAAACAAAGCTATGGTATGTTATCATTGTATTTTATTCATGAAAAAGTTTGAGTCTGTGTTCTGAGGAGTGTTTATCAGTTAGGGCAACTTTATTATCTAATAAAAATACAAAAATGGCTGTCAAAAAACTGTCCAAAGATACCCAAATTTGAACTTCATTCTTGACATAAAATAGGGAAAACTGTCGATAATACGAAATGGTATTATCCCGAACAGTGGAAGGCCTAAAATCAGGGTGAGAAAGTGAGAGAACGTTGATCTCATTCTCCCAAAAAATTTGATTGGATGGATGTGTGCATACTTGACTTTTGATGGATGGATGATTGGATATAATGATTACCACAAGTGCTTCTTAGTGTATCCTTCATAATCTTAGTTAAATTTTAAATTATTTATATTATTTTAATTTAATAATAATAATAAATACAAAAAACAATTATTATATTAATAATTATTTTAATAATAAAAATACAAAAATTAAAATAATGTATATAATTATAATATTTTAAATAATAATAATAAATATATAAATAAAAATTATTATATTAATATTCATAATTATATTTATAAAATAATTATAATAATAATTTAAATAAATATAATATTTTAAATAATAAAAAAAAATATTCAAAAAGTATTTGATTATTTTATAATTTTATTTATTTAAATATTTTTTATTATTTATGTCAATCAAATAATTTACAAAGTAAACTTTTTTCTGTATTTCTTATATATTTTTTAATCTAAATAATTTCACCTTCACATTTATTTATCTTCAAAATTATCAATTTTTTCCACCCTGAATTCATCTTCTAATGCAAGTTCATTATTTCTCACTGTGAAACATAATTGTTTTATTTTTTTAATTTAACAAATTTTAGCTCGTTATGGAACCAGATGTTATTGTATCTGTTTCTGATAATAAGTTTAAATTCATAAAAATATATCTCCATTTATCCCATTTCCCTCTCAATAAAAAATTGTGTTTTTGCTGTAATTAAAGTAGGGATTAATTAAACTTTTGAAATCTAATCTGTAATTTATGTAGGATGAAATATATTAGATTTTAAAATTATATTGATTATTTAAATTATTAAAAATATATTTTAGTTTAGTTATATATTTAAACTATATTTACTTTGTAATTTATTTTAAAATAAAATTAATCTAAATCAATCTGATATGAATTAAATTTAACTTTATTCAAATTTAATATGTTCTAAATTTATGTAATGAGGGATTGACTTTATTAGACTTTAATCTTGTTCCAACTCTCTAACTAAATTAAAATATAACTTGAGTATCTCCCACCTAATTTATTTATATTTGAGCTAATCAAATTTAACATGATTTAATTATAGGATTTGTTTGATAAGAAAACTAAAATGATGAAGGAAAGAAAATGAAAAGAAAATTGTATATATATACTACTAAAAATTCTCATTTTTTATGATAATATTTTTTAAAGTTTTTATAAAAATTGCAAAAAATAAATTTTTTATAAATTTAAACAATTTCTTACAAGAAAATTGGCAGAAAAAAACTAGTTTATAGTGATATATTAATTAATCAGAAAAAAACATACAAACATGATTTTTTTAAATTAAATAAAAAGTAAATACTTAATTAATTATAAAATTACTCATATAATTATGATTTTTTATTAATAAAATAATTTTTAAAAATATACATTTATTTTTTAATAATATATATTTGAAAATATAATTATAAAATATATTTACTATAAAATTAGTTTTCTAAAATTATATAAAACTAAAATAATGAAATATTAAATATTTTAAATAAATAAAAAATATATAATTTTGTTCATTTAATTTTTATAATCACGTTTATATTTATATATGATATTTTATTAAATATAATAATTATATATATATATATATATATGTATGTATATTAAAATTGAAAATATAAAAAATTAAATAATTACTGAAAATAATTTCATAAAATATCACATTTCTTGCAAAGAAATATTATTTTCTATTTATTTATCTACATTTATTATTTTCACTTTACACTTTTTCTAATTTTAATCGTCCCAACTTAATTTATATTGATATAAAAAATAATATATCCATAAATACTAAACAAATAAAAATTCATGAAAATTATAACTGTTTCATGTCTATATCTACATACATTTAATAAAATATCTTATTTTTTTACATTAAGATTTACAAAGTTAGCAAAATAACCCTTTTTAAACATACAACTATCTAATTTTGCAATACAATAAATAATATATTGAGATGTAATGAAAACACTCAATTAAAATCCTCAAATTTAAAATAATTCCTTCCTATCTTTTTCATATCACTTAAGACAAGGTTAGAATACCCAGATGATAACATATTAAGTTATTCTTATAATAAATTTTTCATGATTCATGTTTTCGTTAAGAACTTGAATAATAATTTTACTATATTTGTCTTCAGTTATATTACTTTATTTACATAACTCAATTTCGAGACACAAATCTTTTGAATCAATAATGTTTTTTTATTTAATAAAATTTGTTATGTATAACATCATAATAAAAATGTTAATGTTAACACTTTAAACCAATAATGTGTTAAAATAAACTTTATCTTAAACTTGAATGATTAGATACTCAATAACAAAAAAATATTATAATTATTTTACCTTTATATTAATGTTTAAAATAATTTTAAACTAAATATTAAATAATAAATGTAATAATGATAATAAACTTTAAAAAATAGAGTGTAATAATAATTTATTAAAAAGTAAAGAAAAATCTAACATGTCATTAATATGAAATTGTTCTGAACTTTAATTTTTTGGGTTGATAAAAAAATAATAATTAAAAAAATAAGAAAAATGAAACTCCCACTTTCTAATTTGTTAGTTTCACTGTGATACATGATGTAATAATGAACGTTTTGAATAATTAAAAACATTGAGATAAGAATGAAAATAAGTTGCCAATAATTAAAAATGGTTATTTATGTGAAACAAGAAAAAATATCTTTCACCTTTTGATAGCAGATCTTAACTAATAGACTTTCACATAAGGTAGGGGATCAATAAAATTAATTATATAAATAATATCAAATGTAAGAATTTAAATAGATCTTAAATTAAGTTTATATATATACATATTAATTCAACCAATTTTTATACATTTTTTTAAATAAATTAGCAAGTAAATTACTGCTTCATGTTAATTATTATCCACAAAGTAAATCACTATAACATGTATTTAGTATTTACCAATGAGATTATTTTGTTTAAAGTGAAGGTCAATGTTGAAGAATAGAAATAGTGTAAAAGAGGGAGAGAGATGAAAGGTAGACGTAGGAGTGGGGCAGAAGTCTGAGTCGTGAATCATCGTTGTTGTCGAAGTGTAATCTCTCATTCCGTGTTTCCCTCTGATTTTGCGTAAGTGAACTCCTACTTCTTCAACCTATGTCGATTTTATCCCCTTTTACTATTGCTTACCGCGTTTTGCTGCAAAGCCAGGGAGAACCCTAGTCTCTGTGAATGCTCTACTGCTGCTTCTTATTTTCTTTTTTGAATTTCTTCTCCAAAGATCTTTTATTTTTTTTGTTTTTTTTTTTCACGCATTTCACAATTCAGATGACATCCTTCAACTAAGCTTTTGCAATTCTTCGATTTTTACCTTTTCTTTTCCCCAGTGGTTGAGTTTCGATGGTTTTGCACGATTTGAATTTTGGTTTCACTCTTCCCTTTGCAATGTGGTTGATCTGCTTTGGATTTTTATTTACGTTGGTCTGTTTTCTTTCGTTGTTGTTATCATTTGGAGTATGGATTTCTTAAATGGTGGAAATACATGCACTTTGTTTCTTTGATGGGTGAAAAGACTTGTGATTATTTATACAAAATGGTTGTGTATATGTTAGTGGTAGTTGTCTTTTAATTTCGTTTTAATATTGATTTCATTGTGATATACTTTTGTTAGAATTGATTGATGATAGGGTATCACACGGATAGATAAAAGGATGAAACATAATTTGATTTTGGTATTACTCAATTTTATGTTATTTAGTTGGAGGGAGAATTCTAGGTATTTCAGTGATTGTTTGGAATTAATTGGTAGTTGGTTGGAAAGGTCTTTTGGGGAGGATGGATGAGATGAAGAGCAGGTAACATACAAATTAGGTCCCCAGAGAGTTGCGTGGGTTTATGGATTTGTAGCTAGCAAGTGTTATTAATCATCTTGAGTAATCTCTTGACGTAAAGGATGTAACCATGTGCTTATCCTCATTGATACTTCATAGTTCAGACTTCCTTCGTAGCGGGACTGATAATGTTGTCTTGGGGGCATTTTTTTTACTCATATTCAATGAAAATGGAGGGATGTTGTTTTGGATATATTGTCCTTCTATCTAAATAACAATATTGTTAATTATTTTGCAATATCCGTTCTCTTCTGTCAATAAAATCATCATTACTTTTATCTGTAAAAGAATTTTGTACGTGGAACCCGTTTGTTTCAAAACTTATTCCCCATGTTGCCCCAATAATATAGTGATATTTATGTGGTGTTATACTTCCTTATCTTCCCCCTCCCCCTCCCCTTTATTGGTTGGATTTATATGAAAAAGGAATAATGAGATTGTTACCACATTTTTAGAATATCTTAATTGCATTTGTCTGTCGTATAAAATAAAAATTATGAATCAATTCTAGGCGTACCCTTGGGTGGTAGCTACAAGATAAATGCTTTTAGTGGTTGAGTTTCTGATTAAATATCAAAGGCCTATAGAACAGCTGAGTGAAGTTGTTTTCATTTGCGGAAGCTTCATCCACAGTGATCAATTGATGGAGTCGTTTCTAACAGTGGCCATAAAGTGTCTTTTTGCACTTTATTGTTGTACTATCATGATACATAGACTTCAAAAATCCATTTATACCCCCTGGAACTTTACTTTTTTTTTGGGTAAAATATTCCACAGCTTACCTCTATTTTGACTTCTATTCCTTCACACTTTACAGGACTACTTTTATCCTTGGCTTTGTTCTTCTTCATTTAGATTTGCAGTTCACATTGTTTTTTTTTTTTTTTTCATCTAATTTGTTATGTTCTTATTGCTCATATGTTGATTGTGACTGTGTGTAAACTGTCACTTATTATTTAGCTTGACTTTTTTTTAATTTTGTTTTGATTTTTGAGTATTTATACGGGCATGATGTAGTACATATTTTTTTCTTTGTAGTATAATATTCAAAATAGTGGGCATCCTGGTTCCCTGCTATCCCACCATCCAATATTGATAACTATTAACCATGGCTTTATCATGTGTTGTCATGTGGAATGGGATGTTCATGATACTTTTTGTCTACAGGCTGGCACAACATTTTATGGTTCTGTTTGTAGAATCTAGGGTGGTTGAGGGAAGATACATTGTTATTTGAATTTCATGGACGGGTGTATATATATTAGTTCGTCAGATGATGACTTGGAGGAGATAGTTGATCCTAGGAGTACTCTTCCACATTGGGCTACAACCACTGAAAGGAGTTCAGGTGTGTGATCTTTAGTAAAACCTCCCTTCTAATATATAGTTTGTAAATTACTAATCATATACATGCAATATTATGTGCAGATTATGGTAGGCAGGATAATTCTTCAAGAGGGGCAAATAGTTCAAACCTAAGTTCTTCTAATATTTATAATCATTCACAAATCAAGCCTCATACACTACCTGTGTCCAGCACCAATGCACTGAACCACAGAATTGCACGAAGAGATGAGCCTTCCTACCATGCCCAGAATGGAAACACAAGTCAGCAACAAGCAGTTAATTCCCGAATTTCAAATTCTCATGGTGCAGATTATGAGAAAATGTCATCTCAGCAAGCTTTCAGGAGGACCCTTCCTTCATCTCTTCAGCCTTCTGCAACAAGGGCTCTTCATTCTTCTTCATTTGCATCAGACAGCAGATTAAGCAACTTAAAAGATAATGCAAGTAGTAGTCAACTTCATGATGCATATAAAAATCGTCGCCAGGGAGTAGGGCCTAGCACATCCAGTGACAGGGGCTACATTCGTGACAATTTTAGCAGGGGCTATGATGAAGATCGTTACCTGTATCAAAATGGTGGGAACAGGATTCTTCCATCATCTTTGGCACCTGGAAAGGCCATAGTTCCACACTTTGCTATTTCTAGTGAATCTGCATATCGTTCTGGAGCAGGTGATGAAAGATCTGCTGAAAACGATGAGAGACTAATTTATGAGGCAGCATTACAGGTATTACGTGTTGTTTGTCATTTTGTTTGCTGACTAGCTCCTTAAATTCTTTAAGTTGTATGAAGAAGATATTCCCTCTGTTAAGTTTGAGCAGAAATCATTTAGTTGAAATATTTTATCTTGTAAGTTTAATGAATTTCTTTTATCCTCAAATATGAAGCTTTGTTTGGGACTTATATGTGGTGTTGTCAAAGTTGACTACTTGGGAAATTGGGCCTGTATTATCTCTTACCTATTTCGATCCATCTCTCTATCTCTTCCCTCTTCCCTCATCACTTCTCAATTTTTCTTTAACCAAACACCTCTATTTCTGACTTTATTGCTCATCTATTTCCACTCTACCTACTTATTTCCATCTTACCTATTTCTCTCCTTTCTACCAAACACATTCTAAATAACATCCCACAACAATAGTTAGTGCATGAAAAAATACAATTAGTTCGTGGTTAAAAACATAATCTTGAGTTTCACTTGGTTTAGAGTTTAATCTTATGCTTTATCGATGTTTGTCCTGCATCAATGTGATTTGCGGAAGGTGCTTTAAAAATCATTTTTTCAGTGCTTGTATGTGTGTAATGGGCATTGAGAATCATTATTGTCAATTGTGATTTTGGTTATCACAGGATATCAGTCAACCTAAAACAGAATATGACTTACCTGCTGGTGTATTGTCTGTCTCTCTTCTGAGACATCAGGTATTATGACTTGTCTATTAAATTTGTTATTATATCTGTTCAGAGCCATTTATTTGTGAGCACTCTATATTTCAGAAAATTGCATTGGCTTGGATGCTTCAGAAAGAAACCAAGAGTTTGCATTGCTTGGGGGGGATTTTGGCTGATGATCAGGTGAATGTCTGATGATAATTTTTTTAACCAACGGTTCTTTACAATTAATTCTGATTATTGTTACCTGAATATCAAAACCTTGTTCAAGTAGGGTCTTGGAAAGACAATCTCAATGATTTCCCTCATTCTGGCATTGAGGTCATTACAGTCAAAATCAAAAACAGATGATACATGCAATCACAAAACTGAAGCTTTGAATTTGGATGATGATGAAGATAATGGTGGTGTAGATGTGGAAAAGCATAAAAATGTTGAGGTATCCGATGATTTGAAACCTAATACAGAACCTATCAGTTCAACGCAGGCACCTGGCAGGAAAAGACCGGCTGCTGGTACACTAGTTGTCTGCCCTGCTAGTGTTCTTCGACAGTGGGCCAGGGAACTTGATGAAAAAGTTGGAGGTGAAAAGCTTTCTGTTTTAGTGTATCATGGGGGCAGTAGGACAAAGGATCATGTAGAACTTGCAAAATTTGATGTGGTTCTAACAACATACTCTATTGTGACTAATGAAGTTCCTAAGCAACCAATAGTAGAGGAGGATGATATTGAAGACAAAAATGGCGAAAGATTTGGGTTATCCTCTGAGTTTTCTGTTAGTAAAAAGAGGAAAAAACCATTTAATGGAAATAGGAAGAGTAAAAAAGGTAGAAAAGGAATTGACAGTTCTATCGAATGTGGTTCCGGTCCCCTTGCAAAAGTAGGTTGGTTTAGGGTTATTCTAGATGAGGCTCAAACAATAAAGAATCATAGAACTCAGGTGGCTAGAGCTTGCTGCAGCCTTAGAGCCAAAAGAAGGTGGTGCTTATCTGGAACACCTATTCAAAATTCTATTGATGATTTGTATAGCTACTTTAGATTCCTAAAGTATGATCCTTACGCAGTATATAAGTCATTTTACAACACCATAAAGGTTCCAATATCCCGAAATTCAATTCAAGGTTACAAGAAACTACAAGCAGTTTTAAGGGCCATAATGCTACGTCGTACAAAAGGTGAGTTTCTTATATTTTGATTTCTCATGTCCCGCCGACTGATGATAGATTGTACATGTTTACCTTTTTACTGGTATGGTTTTGGATTTTCAGTGTCCTTGCAATATGCTCATTGATCTCCTCTTAAGTCTAGTCATCGTTTTGAAAATCATTCTTACAATGTTTTCTTCTTATTTCATGTTTGACCTTTGTTACTGATGTGCACTGTTACAGTAGCAGCATGAATTCATTCTTCAATGTTTTTTCTCATTTCTTGTTCGACCTTGTATACTAGTGTATTATCATTGAATAATCAATAGAAATTCATTCTTGTATATAATGTAAGTTTACTGTTTAATCAAAGATTCGGATAAAACTGTCATTAATCCGCAAAGAGTTCAAAGGGTTACAAAGTCCCTTTTCATGATTTTGATATATGTGGCAGTGGCTTGTGTGGTAATATTGACATCAAATATTGTACTTGGTGTCAGTCTTTTTTTGTTATTTTCTCCCTTGCTGAAATTTTTCCATCAGAATGCTAGGCATAGGTTTATATTTTCATATGCCAGTAAAAATATAAAAATACTTTAGTAATTGCATATGTGTAAAGGGGAATACCCCTAAAGGCCTAAGCAGGCAACATGTCGGGTTTGTGACTCATGCCCATCTGATAGCATTCCTCATTAAGCATGTTAGGTTTGTAAATGTCCAAAAACACCACCATGGGGGATGGACAAATTGGTTATAATACAATTTAATTAGATGTTGTGGAAAGTAGCCAACTTTTTGTGTGTATAGTAAGCCTTTTACAGTGTTGAGTTTCAAGAAGATATTGTTGATTTGTGAGAAGAGAAATATTATAATTTTTGTAATGATATTATAAGGATATGTAGAGTCATTATTAATTATCGTAATTATTCCTAGGGTGGTAGAGTTCTTTATATGATGTACATTATTGTACGATTTAAATTAAAAATTAGAACTACAATATTCGCTTCACTATATTTACCATCTTTTCAAGTTGGTATCAAAGCTCCCAATCTTGGGGGCTCTTCATCCGCATTCAAACCCTAACTGCCTTAGTTGGAAATTCTATTTTTCTTAAGTTTGGGTTGCCTGAAATGCACTAATTTTACATTTTTGGGGTTGCGTGAAGTGCTCCCAAGTTACTTGGTCCTGAGAGTCTCTTTCATATGTAATATCATAGGAGATGAACTAAACCCAGCTTGGTCCAAGAGCATCTCCAATCGTCTAATTTGGAGGTAGGTGTTCATGCTTTTGAACCTTTAGAAAATTCCTTACACAATAAATGTGAGCATAATCTTCATGACCTGCCTATCCCCTTGAGAAAAGAAAAAGAGTCTTGTACCAAGTATCTTATTTGTTAATTTGTATCCACTAAACACCTTTTTGTGCAGCATCAGAGTTTCCTCTTTGTAATTGGTGCAATTAGAATCCGTACATTAGTTTAAGAGGCAGTAAAAGATAAGAATTGGGTTCAAGCCATGAATGAAGGGATGGTTGCCTTAAAAAGAATCAGATTTGGGCAATTGTTGATAGACCAAAAAATAAAAAGGCGGATGCAAATGGATCTACACTGTGAAATATCAGTCTAATGACACATTGGATCACCACAAAGCGAGATTAGTTGCAAAATGATATACTCGAACCTACAGGGTTGATTATGAGGAGACATTTGGGCCTATGTCAAGCATGAATATGATTGGGATCATCCTATCATTGTCTGCACATTTTGGTTGGGAGCTGCAATAGTTTGATGTGAAAAATGCTTTTTTGCATTGAAATCTAGAGGAAGAATTCTACATGGAAATCTTGCCTAGATTTGGATCTATTGAAGAAAGGAATAGATGTATAGGCTAATGAAAGCCTTGTATGGACTCAAATAGTCACTCTGTGCTTGTTTGGGAGACTTACCCAGGCTATGTTTTCCTTGGGATATTGACAGTCAAGGTGACCATACCTTGTTTATCAAACATTCCTCAAAAGAAATGTGTACCCTTCTCCTAGTCTATGTTGATGATATGATTGTTGTAGGGGATAATGAGCATGAGAAATTGATCTTGGAAAAAAAGATTTTTGGCTAGCTTGAGATGCAGGATCTAGGAAAATTGATGTAACTCCTTCGGATTGAAGTTGTATGCTAAAAAAAGGGTATATTTATCTTCCAAAGGAAATATGTTTTAGACCTTCTCAAAGAAGCAGGTTAGATTGATTGCAAGGTCAGTAGAGCACTTATAAACAAAATTGGGAATATGAAGAGATCTTTGTAGTAAATAAGGGTCATTGTTAGACACTTGTGGGAAAAACTCATTTAGCTAGTCCACATCAGACTTGACCTAACTTATGCTATGAGTGTGGTTAGTCAATTCATGCATGATCTACGAGAGTGATACTTACAGGCTGGGAATAAAATCTTTCAATATTTGAGGACAAGTCTAGGAGGGGGTTGTTGTTTAAGAAGGATGAAAACTCAAATATTAGATGTATACTGATGCAAACTGTGTTGGTTTTGTTCCTGATAGGAGGTTCACCTTACGATTGTATGTTCTTGGGTGGAAACTTGGTGACTTGGAGAAGTAAGAAACAAAATGTCATTGTAAGGCTGATTTTCAATCTATGACACAAGGGTATATGAATTGTTAAGGTTGAAAGTTATTTTGAATGATCTTAAAGTGAAATATGTATAGTTCACAACTCTTTTGTGACAATCTTGTCCAACATTTGTATTGCTCACAATCTTGTTTAACATGATTAGACCAAACATATAGAGATAGACCGACACTCATCAAAGAAAAATTGGTTAGTGGGCTTATAAGTGCTTCTCACAGCACATCAAGACTTAACATGCAAATCTGTTTACAAAGATGCTTCCCACAAAAATGGCTTCATGATTTTATATGCAAGTTGAGAATGATTGCTACCCATTCACCAGTTTGAGGGAAAGTGTTAAGTTACGAAAAGATATTGTTGATTTATGAGAAGTATTATCAATTATTGAAATGATGTTGTAGGAATATGAAGAGTCATTGTTAGTTATTGTAATTATTCCTAGGGTGGTAGAGTTTCTCTATATAATGTGCATCTTGTAGTATTTGAATTAAGAAATAGAAGTATAGTTTTCTCTTCTTCACTATCTTTCCTGTCTTTTAAAGTTACAGCGTATTGAAACACTTGGTTTTTGTAAAATCTTTTTTTTTTGTTGCCTTGCTTCCATGTAAGGTAGCCGCTTGGGCTTATAATGGGTAGTTTTCAGAGGATATGCCAATGCAGGACCACCTGTAGGGACTGAATCGAAGACCTTAAAATAGTAACAAATCTGCTAGAACAGTTTCCTTCATCCCTACATGCAGGATTAATGAATTTAATGTATTTACAATAAGATTATAGTCTGTACCTAATAGTACATTGCCAGCCTGTTTATTTTTTTGGCAAAATTTTCTGATGTTTTTAAATGTTGAATTGTTCCTTTTATTTAGTGAACTCCATCCCTAATTTCTTTTACCATTCCTATTGTGTACAATGTAATAGAAATATTTTTGTATGTTTGACTATGAACATAGTATTGTTTGGTTAAGGGAGTGGACTGAATATTTTAGCCATCTAGGTTTTGATTTGTGTATTTGAGGTGAATTTCCCTTTGATTTGTAGTCAAATATGTAATAGTATTGGTCTCTTCTGTTTTATAACATCAATTTCTCGCATTTGTATAGGAACTTTGCTTGATGGAAAGCCAATAATCAATTTGCCTCCTAAAACAATTGAGCTCAGTAAAGTGGATTTCTCCATTGAGGAGCGGGCCTTCTACACCAAGTTGGAAACAGACTCACGCACTCAATTTAGGGTTAGTTCCTTTAAATTGGTTTATATTAGTACTAACTTGGACAATTTGTCATTTTACTTTTTTGTTTTTCTAAATAGAGCATCCAGAAATGTCCCTTTGCTAATGAGATTTTAAACTTAGCGAGTAGAAGCTCATTTTGATAGAGGTAAAAGTAATTTTCTATTTGGAGGCAGATTGGGTAGACACTAAACTAATATTGGCAGCTTCTAGGATAAGATTCAACTTGACCTGTAGACCTGAATTTCTTGTATTAGTTTTGTTGCGATGATAGGGTTTTGGTTAGTAATGAGGACAAAATAGCAACTTGTCTATCATTAAATTAAATCTGTTCGAGCATACAGGTCAACTTCAGAAAAAATTTCACTCAAGATAGAGTAATTCTATATTAGGACTTAAGCAGAAGAGGAGAGACCAATCCTTTTAAGGATACCAATTCAGCCCTACAAATCTGGTTTGTAAGGTGAGGTTTACACCTCACTTATATGTTATAATTTAGTCAAATGTCTAGTCAATGTGAGATCTTTAACAGAACTTTAGCACAAAAAGAGAGCCCAACCCAAAAGAATGGCTCATTAGGTGGGAGAGTCTCAAAGCTTACGTACACATCAAGTAGCTTATCCTACTCAGTATGGGATCCGTAATATTCTACTCTCTTTTACACTGTATTGGAACTATTTTCATTTAGCGGATTTTTTTTTTTTTTACATTTAAATTAAGCAAGATCGTCAACCTAGTTATATTATATTATATTGATGCAGTGTATTTGAAATACAAATCAGTTAACATTTATAATAAGAATTAGGTGAAGTACCAGTGTAAACTAATACAAGCTCAAGCCCAGTGATGAATTATGAGTTAGTAACTCTAATTAATAAAAGAAATAATTAGAAAGTATAATGAAATTAGGAGACAACTTCCAAGATTGCTTTATCTATTAGATGAAATTGATGTCCGATTATATCCTAAGGATATTGTAAAATACAACGAAGATATTCTATTATATTTAGTATTTTGCATATATATATATATATATATATATATATATATATATATATATATATTCTACAAGTATTCTAAATAATTAACACAATGAATCAAATCCATACACATTCTATTTAAGAAACTCTCGCATAACTCCCATATAAAAATATTGCATAACTGTACTACACTAACTTAACACACGTACCTCCCATGCAACATGTTTCTGTTGTTAAAATTTTAAATTAATATAGCTGTTGAATCTTTTCATAAATAGTTCTGAAGTGCGTATGCTAACTTATGCCATCAATATCATTTCATTGGTCATGATTACTAAGTTGTTTGTTACTCTCATAAACATACAAAAGCTTTAATTTTGTAGTGCATTTCTTTCATATTCCCACTTAGTTGGATAGGTGAATCAGTTATGGGCTGTGATATACTGAATATTTAAGTGCTGGGGGTGGTGAAGATTTTAAATTTCCCATATCTCATTCTCTGTATCTATCTATTAATGTCTAGCATACACTTTGGCCAATTATAGTTTATTTATTTATTTATTATTTGATCTTAGTTTTTTGAAGTATTGTAGATCTAACATTAAAAACTTATACTTTGCAGGCATATGCTGCTGCTGGCACAGTGAACCAAAACTATGCTAATATTCTTTTAATGCTCTTACGTCTCCGTCAGGCTTGTGACCACCCCCTTCTAGTTAAAGATATTGATTCAGACCCTGTTGGGAAGGATTCTGTTGAAATGGCAAAAAATCTTCCAAGGGACATGCTGATTAATCTGTTTAATTGTTTGGAAGAAACTTTTGCTATCTGTAATGTTTGCAATGTGAGTTAAATTCAGATGCGATATTTTTATTATGTTTCCTTTGTTATGAATGTGATGGTACTCCGGATCCTTTTGATTATAACTTATATAAGTTATGCTGTTTTGTTCCTATATTATTGTGCTCTTTTTAACATTTGGAGGCAGGCTTCAAAGGTTTAAAAAGTGATGGACTGACTTTTAACTGAAATTTTTATGGATATTCTTTTAGGAGTTTGGTATATTTACACTCCCCATAGATGATGCTTGTTTACCAAATTGGGTTAAGTTGAACTCCTATGTTCTATTTAAGTAAATTTTGATGATGAGTTTAAACCATAAAGGGTTCTAGTCGTGAGTTTTTCAAAAATAGACATGTTTATTATTTCAGAATAATAAGAAATATTTAAAGGGGAATGCTTTTCTATGGAAAGTTTTTAGTAGTGTAGGTAAATATCCAAAAGTGTCCATTACATCTCAATGCATTTCACACACAACTTTTTTTTTTTTTTTTTAATTTACTCTAAAGTTCATTGTGATTTCCACAGCTCATATATATATATATATATATATATATATATATATATATTCAAGTAAATGATTTTTTTTGTTCATAAAAGAACATTTAGACGAAGAGATAGTAATCAAGAACACGATCCTTTACTGAAACCATATTTTATTGATTGATTACTTGAATCTATGTGACTTTTATTATAATTGTTTAGTTGAATTTTTAGATGTTGATTTCTCATTTAACCTGTTATAGATGGTGGTAAGTAGTGATTTGATGTTGATAATGGCTCTGGCTGATGTGTACTGTGGTTTCAACAGGATCCCCCTGATGACCCTGTTATTACGATGTGTGGCCATGTCTTCTGTTATCAATGTGTATCAGAATATTTGACTGGTGATGATAATACGTGCCCTGCAGTTAATTGTAAAGAACTAATTGGTGATGATCTTGTTTTCTCGAAAGTTACTTTGAGGAGTTGCATCTCTGATGATGGTGGCAGTTCTAGTTCTGCAAATTCACATCTTTGTGATTTTTCGCTAGTGCAGCAGAGTGACTACGTTTCATCTAAAATCAAAGCTGTTCTTGAGGTTTTGCAGTTAAATTGTAACGTGAAGATATCTAGTTCTGACTTACCAAACTCCTCTGAATGTTGTAGAGATTCACCATCTTCTGATAATTTATATGAAGACTGTGATTCAGATATTAGGGCTACAAAACACACAAGAAAGTATTCAGAGTCCACAACTGAAGCACCGATAAAAGCTATAGTTTTTTCCCAGTGGACTAGCATGTTGGACCTAGTTGAGACATCATTGAGTCAATTTAGTATACCGTATAGGAGACTTGATGGTAGAATGACTCTGAGTGCAAGGGACAAAGCTGTTAAGGATTTCAATACTGAACCTGAGGTGTGGCCCTTCCCAACATTGTTATAGCTGTAACTTCTTATGGAAACCAATAGACACAAAGCAATATGAACCAATTTTTAGTAGATGAAGTAGTGTGAAATTTAATCCTCTTCATGGTTATATCAATAATGTTTGTTGATATTGTAATCAGTATATTTTGCAACTACTTGGACTTGAATTATCCACTGTGTTCTAAGTGTCTCAATTGTCTGACTAATTGAAATTTGTTCCAGATAGCTGTTATGCTGATGTCACTAAAAGCAGGAAACCTTGGTTTGAATATGGTTGCTGCTTGTCATGTTATTCTTTTGGATCTTTGGTGGAATCCAACAACTGAAGATCAAGCAATTGATCGAGCCCATAGAATTGGACAAACTCGTCCTGTTACTGTGACACGGATTACTATAAAAGATACAGTTGAAGATCGGATACTGGCTCTTCAGGTATAATATCAGTCAGTTCAATTTTCTCTTATGAACCAAAATGAGTTCATTCTTGGTCATTTTGGATTTAGGTCAGCAGGAGTGAGGCTTAATAGCTAATTGGAAATTGCTAAAGTTCTGAACTGTTTTCCGTTTCGCGCTTAACCTCTCAGTTTTAATATTTGCTTATTTTTTAAATTCATTAAACAAAAATTGACTTGTTGATAGCTAACATTTTTATTGCACAATTACTTTCTGTTTTTCGTTTGAACATGCAAAAGATACGAGTCTCCCTGTGAGATTAACATAAGTTCTATTAGGGTTCAGGGAGAAAAGTCAATCTCGTTAAAAGATAAAAGGGGAAGTCAGCACATGAAGTGATATTTTTTTAAAGGTTATTTATTTAGTACAGTAAGCTTTGATATATGGTAGGGAGAAGTTCATGTGATTGAGGTGAAGATAGAATTTATGTGTCAAATAACAAATTCTGATTATGTTCTTTTATTGTACCCTCTGGCAGGATGAAAAGAGAAAAATGGTTGCATCCGCTTTTGGGGAAGACCATGCTGGTGGGTCTGGAACTCGCCTAACTGTGGATGATCTGAAATATCTCTTCATGGTCTAGACTAAAGACCTCTACTTGCTTGTTCTTCCCATGATGGACAATTTGAAGTTTTGTATTGTTTTGGGCGGTTTGGCATGGATTTACGATTTCTGAAGGAGGGTATGGCTGTTTTTTTGGTGCATGCTGACATCCGTTGCACAAGTTCGTAGGAGAGGCTTGGTTGATCCAAGTGGTAACTTGATCTGTTTTGAAGCCCACAAGGGCAATTTTGTCCTCCAAGCTGTCATATAGCTGAAGGCTGTCTGTAAATATTCTTATTAAGTTATAATATGGTTTATGAAAATATGACCTTGTGCAACAGCCCTTTCTTGTGTAGTAGTAGTGTACAGTTTTCTTTATAGTCTTCAACTGTGCAGGGAAAGCATAGATTGTTTGTCTAGCTAGGTAGACAGACACTTTTGAATTACTGATTATACTGTGGAGCTAGCTGGTAGCCTCCATACTGTGCCCCCCGCTCCGGTATAATTTGACCAACTCAATGTGGATTCTTATTTTAGAACAAATTCAATAGTTTATATTAAACATTGCTATTTACTATTTAGAATTTTGATTAAACATCGTTATTTTATATAAACTTGAAAATAATTTAACTAATCCTTAATTGTGCAGAAATTTGATTTTATAATAACAAATTTGTTTGATTATTGCTGTGTAGAGTTTGATTTTGTTGTGGTTTCACAAAAAGTAATAAAAAGTAGTTTCTGCTATGAGTGGATAAATGTACAATAAGATTTATTGCAAGTCTGTTTTTGAGGTAAAAACATTCGAATAAAAGTAACTTTAACGTACACTTCACAGCTAGTGTTACTAATATGAAAAACAACGATGTTTTGTTTCAGGCTGTTGAATGGCTTCATCAAAATTCGAGTTATCATTTTTTTTTGAAATTTGTGTTAGTATTCCTCTTATTAGTTCTAATTAAAGTAGTGGGTTTGTCACAGTTATTTATTTAGTTTTTTGTTGGACATAGAAAAGAAATGAATCTGTGTCAATATGTTTAATTTGTAAAGAAGTGTTAAACCTCTTTGTTACATGCAAAAGGATTCGTTAAGAACGCGAGGCATTTGTTGTGTTGACTGTATTTGTGATCATCCATAAGATCTTAAAAATAAGTAGTAGGCAACACTAGAAAACATTAATGCTAATTATAGTTTTTATTATTATTATTATTATAAAATAGAGCAAGTTTCGTTATTATTATTATTAATTTTTGAGAAATAAATAACATCGACGTAACAATGAGGGTATAGAAACCAATATTTTTTAAAGGGTTTCTTCAGATCCAGTGAGAGAAAAAAAGCAAGGTATATCCTATACGATCTTAATCTGTGATCAAAGGGTGCATTACTCAATTTCTTTCCTCTCTCATTTTTTCACCAACAGGTTCCTACTTTATGGTGGGCCTATGAAGTGCTGACAAAGCAGAAGGACTGAACAAAATTACCAAACATATTCTACGTATGTACTTTACATTGATGTGAATGGAACATGCAAGTATTGTTTTGGTGCTAATAATCAACCAGATTAAGGAATAAAAAGAAAAAGATGAGTGATTTATCTTAATCTTAGATCCCTCAAAAGAGGAAAAGCAAAGCAGGAATGGGTTGGCTTGTAAAAGTCATTGCCCGAATGCACTCGAAGCTGAGGTCCCAACAGAGTCCCTGTTGATGGTTTCACATGTCCATAATGGTGGTGGCTCCCCTTCCCTCATCATTCAATTCCTCTACCAGCTTTCACACACACACACACACTCTCACACGCAAGGGGAATCTCTATATGTGAAAGAAAGAAAGAAAAAAAGAAAAAGATGTCAGAACAATGTCCACCCATCAGTAGTGAAACTAAATCATTTCCCACCTTCAAATTTAGTAAAAGTGTTATTTTGGATCCTCTTCAGCATCACTCCACACCATAAACATTACTCAAACACCCAATTCAGCAAATGAACTTTTCTATGATTCTTTTGACTATGCTTAGAGTTACTCTACCAATGTTTGACCACTCACTTTCCATATATCATATTATATTATTTGTGCACCACTTTTGCATAAGAAAACACACTGCACACTTCAAGTTCCACAAGCTTACTTTTCGCATCTCAAAATCAAAACCGAAACAAGCTAACATTATTATTATTATTATTATTAGAAATACAATAGTCAAATAATTAATGACCACATGCATGATATGATTATGTAAACTATATAACACAACATGTGACAGAACTAAGACTAGCAAAATTCATATGGTTGTTGATATACATGGCTATTAGTTGACTTAACAAACATTGGGTCCAAATCCCACAAATCCATTGGCTCCGTCGACTGAAATCTGAATCCCTTCTTGCTGAATGTTCCCTATGATGGAAAGCCCAGAAGAAGAAGGAGCAAAGGCAAAACAAAATGTTCCCACATCATCCACTGGGATCAAAAAGTTCTTAGCTGGAAGGGTCAAAATAGGCCCACCCGAGAAGTAAAACGAAACGGTCGGGACCCGAACCGTCACAAACCCAAACAGGTCATAACACGTGTCAAAAATTGATACTCCGGAAGCCCGGGGCAGGTTCGTTGTTTGGGCTATAAACCCATCCCGGAAAGCCTCATAAGCAGCTGTGGGCAGCCGCGTCACAGCGGTGCCAGTGTCCATAACCACTCCGCCGTCACCCAATTCGGATAATTTGAAAACATCTTCGGATATGGGTATCCGGAGACCCCCAACTCCCAGGCCCGAAAGCCCAACATAGTAAAAGCTTTGGGCACGCGGGTTGTGGATGAGGGGAACCCACGCAGCACCCACGGGCATTGCTTCGCGTCCGAATTCGAGTAATCCGGAGGATTGTGTTCCCCTGCTCACCAAACAATAACTAAAGGCCTCCCCCGTTTGGCCTCCGAGCTGGCCCACGAAGGACATGGGCCCACCTCCGAGGCCCAAAAGCCCAGCGGCGCCCACGAACATTCCCTGGTTCCGGTGCCCGCACCCGATTGCCACGTTTCGGATCAGTGTTCGTCCGAATGTGAGTGTTTCAAGAGCGAGTGTGCCTTTGGTGTAGGAGCCGTCTCCGTAGGAAACTTCGTAGCGGCACCGTCCCTCCTTGCAGCCGGCGTTGTCCACGTGGTTGCACACTGTGGAGGAGCAGGGGACACCGGCGTAGGAGGAGGATTCGGCCGGGTTAAAAACCGGGTCGGATTGATGGTAGCATTGCGTGCAGGGTTCGCATTGGACCCATATAATGTCGCTGCCTGAGTCGATGACCACGTATTGGTTCCGAGGAGGGCTTCCAACTCCGATTCTCACGAAGTACTCTCCGCTTCCTTGCTCCATACCCGAAACCACATCCGACCCGAATGCCTCCGGATCCAAGGTGGGTTTTCCGCCGGTGAGGCGGAGGAGGAGGGCATCCACCCTTCTGGCGTCCCGGTTCATTCGGGCGTTGAATCGGGTCCGGTGGTCGTGGGAGGTGTTAAAGGTGGGAACTTTGTCTCTGTGGAAAAGTTTTAGTTTCAATTTTGTTGATGATGAGTCAGTGGCAGTGTTGGGTTTTTGGTGTTGGTTGGATGGTTGGGTTGGGTTTGGGGTTGGATTTGGAATGAGTTTGGTTTGTGCCAGGGTTTGTTTGACGTCGAGTTGTTGAAAATGAGGGTATGATAGGTTGTGAGAAGTGGAGGTGGTTAGAAGGAGTGAAAGGAGAAGCAGAACTGTGAACATGGTGTGTTGTTGGTGTGATGGGAGTGAGTGTTGTGTGTGGGTGTGGGGGGGGGGGGAGGGGGGAGAGTGAGGAGGAATTTATTTGGTTGGGTTTTGGGGGTGTATAGAGGGGAAAGGGGTTTACTGTGGAAATAATTGTGTGGAGGAGAAGTTTCTGTTTTTGTAGTTTAGTGTTTGGAATGATTTATACGAGTTTTATAGGGTGTGTGGAAAGGTGTATGCATGTTTGAGAGTAGTGCATTCAGGGAGGAGTGGAGTGATGTGGTGGTGAGTTACAGCAAGATAGAAAGGTAGTTGGTGGTGATGGCACATAGTATTTTTGTTAAGGATTTGATATTGGAAATCATAGTTATTAACTATTGATTATGCATTTTTTTGTCTTTACCTGCAACTGCATTGTGTGTACTAGAAGAGCTCTATGGCCAAATAGCATTTTTCTAACTTTCATTGGAATGTTGTCTCTCATTTACTCATGATGTTATTGTTGTTACTTTAATAGTACTAAAATTAACTCGTGGGAGGGCGTGACATGGTTTTGGAGAAAAGGATGGCCCTTTGGAGGGAAAGAAAGGGGCGACCAGGCGTGTTTGTCTGTGACCCTTTTTTTTGGGCCACGCCAACATGATCTGTTTAATAGGAAGAGAAAGAAGGAGTAGTATTACTGTTGTGTGGGGAAGAAAGTGATGAAGGAAAGGACTTTGACAATTGGTACTGACTGAATTTGATTAGATACGGTAAAGTTGCAAGAAATTTCGTAGTTAGACCAGAAAAAGAAGGTTTGAAGGGTAGGTACACATTAACAAATTTGGCTATATATATTGCACAGAAATATGATCTCCAAACATTTGCACATTTCTAATACCGAAGCATTAAATTTAGTTGGCTGTACGTGTACTCTATTTTTTAATAGCACTATAGGTACAAGAATTGGTAGCTATGTTATTTGAAAGTGCTGATATTCAGCAGCAGAAAGAAACAGGAATAATTAGTTGTGGAATACAGGCTTAACTTTTCCATCAATGATTTGCAAAAGTAGAGGTAAAAACTGTGGATTCCTAGCATTAATTCATTCATTGGACTCTGTATTATGCATCTATCCCTTTTAAATGCATTCATGCAATATCCCTGTTGTTTTCCCTGGTTTGGGTTTTCTAAGAGGGAATTAAGAGGAACTGAACCACTTTATTGACTAGGATATGCGCCTGCTTTGTAGCTTTGCCTTCTCAAATAAATATGAAGTCCTCTATTCCTTTCTCTGTCTCTTTCAATCTCTAATCCAAATATCCAATAAGTTTCTTGAATAGCGTGAACCTTCAAAAGTGAAAGACTTGTAAATTCTTTAAAGAGAATACTATTATATAATGTTAGCCTTTTTAATGAGAAACTTTCAATGGCTCTTTGGGCACAATCATAAAGAAAAAGAACATGAACAAGTTACCCACCCAAGTGTGATGCTAGGCATCAATACTTACACACTTATTTGTTTTCTCACTCAGAGATGTTAGATTTGTGAACAAAATTGATGTTCTTGTGACGATCAACCTTTGTTTCCATGAAAGAAAATTCTTACCGAACCATCTCCTACCAAACCTAATGATTCCAGCAGATATGATGTTGGTGCTGCTGAAGGACATGCACGCGTGATGTGAAGGGCAGTTGGGGAAAGGACAATATATTTTGTATACAAGACACAAAGAAGAGTGAAAGCTGCATAACCATTATGCACAACATGTTTCTTCTACATTCATATGTATATGCATGTCCCTGTATGCATGTTTACAATAATTCAACAACATGGATTTCTATGACTCCATTTTCTACATGTTAATAGATAATTTATTATAAGCTTTTATATACAGTTTTCCCAATTTTGAAATTTATTGATACAAAGAATTTTTGATTTTCTGTACACCCTGGAATGGGCACAAGCAGTAATGATGATTCAGTGGGACAAGAAAACCTTTGCCATCCATGACAGAGCCCAAACACTGAGAAAGTTTTTCAGTGGAATTGTGGGATGAAGAGCACAGAAACATGACAACAACAACAACAACAGGTTACCGTAAAACTACAACTTCAGTTTCATTAATTAAAAACAATGAATTTCTTTAATCATGAAGGAATGTTCTCAATTACTATAAGCTAAGGATTAATTGATCATAAATATAAAACAGAAGACAATTCTAATGCACTGAATCACCACAGTTAATCACTGTGGCATCCACCCATATTTTATTTTCAGAGCATTCACTAACAAGACCTTGTTTGGTTGGCCTTTTTGTTTTGTTTTGTTTTGTTTTGTAGTTTCTTTGCTAACATTTGCAGGGTAATGAATGAATAGTTATTTTACATTATGTATAACCTTGGTTGAAAAGGTGATGCTTCTTTTGTTGTCCAAACCGTGCTTCTATTGCGATTAAATGATAAAATAGAGATTAAAATTATATTAAAGTTGACATCACCTTTTTCCCTTTGATAAGTGCGTTGCTAGTTCAAAAGTAGAGTGTTTCCTTTTCACGTTTGAATTATTAAAAAAAACTCTAAAATGGCGGCTGAGCTCATCCTACATGACAATATTTGGCAGCTAATATTGATGGGGGTGATAGGCAATCTAGGTTAGGAATTTAGGGCAAACCTTTCTCTTTTCTTTCTTAATAAAATTTTCTTAGTTATTGGGTTAGGATTAGTGAAACATAAAGTAAATAATATTTGGAATGTTCTTAGCGCGTCATTTATGAAATTTTGGGCTTTCAAATACAAATTGAAAATTTTAAATAATAATTAATATTTTTAAAATCAGATCGGTCCGATAAAAACGTGAATTTATGTTTCAAATATTCATCTCCGTCAAATCAAATTTAATAAAATAATATTTTTATAATATAATAAATTTATTAATATTAATAATTTTTAAAAAATAAAAATAAAAATTAATGTCATGTTATAATAAAATATATAAATATAAAATATATTAGAGAGGATAAAATAAATAATTATTAAAATAAAATAAAAATATAATAAATAAATATTATTTAAAATTGACATGATATAAAATAAAAAAATAAAAAAAATATTGTATCTTTTATATAAAAATTTGATCATAATTTTTTTTTACTAAAACCGATTAGACCCAAAAATCCAGGCAATTTTATTGGTTTTGTTCCGATTTAATTAAAATTTAATTACTTAAAAATAATGGACTAATTTATAATTTAATTCTCAGTTCAATTCAACAACCAGTTAAACCAATCAGTCTACTCTAATTTTTAAAATATTAACCATTTTATAAACAAAAACTAATAACATTAAAAACATCATTTCTTATAAAAATTATTAGAATAAGTAATTTACATTAATAAGTGTAAAATTAATTAATTTTGGTTGATTGTTTGTATAGAACATATAATATAACTTAGCTTAAATATAAGAGATGCAAAGCATGACGCACTAATTAGCATTAGCATTTAATGCTTGTTCCTATTGGATTAAGACATAAAGGCTACTAAAAACAAATAAAACATGTCTCCACTTCTCTCAATTAAAATGCCAAAGATTTGGTGAAGTAAGCACACAAATGAAGAACAAATAGTGTGAGAAAAATAAAGGGGGCAAGAGAGACAACATACAAAAGACATTCAAATGTATTAATGGTTATTAATAGGACAAGACCAACCAAGAAAGATATTATTGATAAATGTGAGATAATAGTGGGATTGTCACAAACACAATATAAAAATAATACTAAAGTTATAGAAATGTACTAGGGCATGCACGAGTTCTCAATAATTGAACCATTATTACTACCTAAAAGTTGTTCTTATATTTTAAGAGAATCAATAATATTTTTTCCTTCTCCTTTTTCCACTCACCATGTATATCTCATATCAGAATGCATGTAATAGTTGGATATGTTTACTTGGTCTATGATTAGACAGAGTCAAGTTAACTTTTTTCATGGAAGAGAATGTTAATTTATCACTGGCTAATTAAGTGAGTTAATTGTTAAAATCCTAGATAAGTAATTTGAATTAGAATCTTTACTTTTAGTTTTATAACTTCTTTTTTCTGGTTTTCAGGTTTATCTTGTAGTTTTAATTTATATATACTAATTCCTTTTTCATTAAATTTTAAAAATGTCTTTATATTCTTTCTAAAGTGATTTTATTGTAAAATTAAAATAATATATAATAATAAAAGGTTAGACAATAATTAAAGTTGTGATATTTTAAAAAATATCATTAAATAAATAAAAATGAAGGTAGTAGTTATTTTAGTGCATACCAATAAGAAAAATATAAACTATTATATCTGGAGACTAAAATATTCCTGTTTAGCACATCTATTAATGTAGCAGTTTTCTAAAATTTGTTATTTATTATATATATAAAAAAGTACAGCTGAAAAAAAATATTACAAGCATTATTTTGAATTTTGTAAAAATAATTATAATTTTGAAATAAAAGTAAATTACTAAAATAACTATATATAATTTTAGACGGAAGATAGTATTAGATAGTACATGAAAAGTTGTATCATGTTTCTTCCTTCAGAGTCTTGCAATGAAGAATAAACTTTTTTTTTCTTTAAAAGCACTAAAATCAAAAGAATAGTACAAAATGAAGAACTTAATAATTAGTCTATTGATCATCGTTATCCAAAATCTATTGAGAATATTGTCCAAAACGATAATTTTGATAGTTTTTGCTAAAATAAGACCGTTGCAAAGTAGAATATTATTATATAAAATTAATAATTATTAACTTCTTTCTAATCTTGAAATGAAAACAATGAATCAGTGTCATACGAGTCTATACAAGATCTATATTAGATTCGTGCTTTGAAGAGAGTAATCATGTTAATTATGTGGCTGAACCAATGAGGCGATTTCTGTTATGATTCTTTCTAGAACTAGGAAGATAATTCTTCGAAGAACTGGAATATGAAAAGGGAACCCAAGAATTGAAAGATTCCGATGTATTATTGAACTGAAGAGAAGGAAT